GCGGCCATGAGGTCGAAGAGCCACGCGACGTAGGGCGCCCAGTTCTGGTACTCCTGGAAGTAGCCGGAGTTGGTCCCCAGCGCCTGCGCGAGCTGTGCGCCTTCGGAAGTCCGCCTCACGTCGAACCACTCGGGAAAACGGACCCCCGGAGGTCGGACCACCGGGTTGGTGACTGACTGCGGAAGGAGACGGGGGTCCGGTAGCCAGACGGTGTCGAGAGAAGCCGTAGGCGGACCGTCGTTGAACCGGACGGCTTGGTCTTGAAGCCACTGCTCCGCAAGTGTCCGGTTCATAGAAAGAACTCGGCCAAGACGGCCGGGGAGGGCAAGGCACTCGGTGCCTTCGGGTTGTGCCAACAAGTGGCGCGAAGCGAAACAAGATAGGAGGGGGACCGAGGGGAGAGCCTAAATAGCCGCCCCCGCTCAGCCCCGCCAAAGCCCGCCAAGTCCAAGCCGCCAAAGCGGGCGGACCCTTGGACACTCCGTACTTTGACTGACCCAAGGTACTAGGAAGGGCCAGAAACCCGTTTGAATACGATTGCGCCTGATTCGAAACTCGGCGCAACCCACCCAACGTCGTCCTGGGTGGAAATCTATTAACAAGATAGTTAATGTCATATCCACCCACAAGTGAAAGGATGGGTACCGAGCAAGTTCCAACTCCCACCTTGGTATCTCATCCTTGGCGAGTTTTGATTGTGCCATTGCGCCCCCTCTTCCCAATCTCCTCTCAAGCTGACAAGAAGTTGAGGCCCGAGCCGCGTTTAACATTCCATCAGGAAATCTTCTTCGAACAAGTTGTTCGTGGTAATCAAAGAATTAGACAAGGCGAGTATGAAGACTTGACCGAAGCAGTGCTGGCATAAGTCAATCCACAACGTTACCTCTTCGGAGATGGGGGGTTCCTTAGAAGATTTATCTATGAGAAAAGTTGATGCGATGCTGGAATCGAATGGCGGAAGTCCAGTGAAGTCAATGAAGTCACCTTTCTGTCAGGGGTTCAGCACTTTGCAGCCAATCCTCAGTCATTGTGTGGACGCATCGCTGCTATTTTGCACAAATTCTGGCCAGGCAAGAATCAGGCCCTGATTTTGTTTCGAGGTGTACTCGGGCACTGATTTTCTTGCGAAGGAGGACATCCACAATAAGTTCACACTGGCAACATTTTGTCAAGCCAATCTTCTAGGATGCGGCGCACGTACAGACTCATCAAGCCAGTCTACAGATGTGGATGATTTCTGAAAACATTACGACCAATCTTGTTGATGATCTCCTTTCGTACGCTTTCGCAGTGGGAATCGCTCTTGATAGCCGAGCAGCAACGACATCAACCACTCAATCTATTCCGGAATTCTCGAGCCGCTCGCGTCCACTGTGTCACTCAGCTCCCGAACATGATGTAAATGCCTCTTTTCCTGCCGTGCCTAGGATGGCATACATGGCAGACACTCGTGCCTTTTGCACCACAGCAGTGGTTAATCAACTTTTGCTTCTGGACCCGCTGGCCTTCTTGCAAAGACATTTCTCCCAATGCATTATCATCAACAATCTCCTTGACGAAATTGGGAATAGGTGGATCCTGGATCCCGTTCGTGCAGTACTTTGCATTTCAATTAGCAAATCATGGGCACTTCCTGTTTTAGGCAAATAGTGAGCTGACAACTACCCCTTGCATTGACAAGCAACATTCTCGATGGCGATGGGCTTTGTTTAACAAATGTGATACAGCCATTCGACAGAATCTGCCTTGCTTCATTGTCAATTATCTCAAGACCTCACTACCTGGATTACCCGAGCATTTCACCAGTGCAGTGTCACAAAACGGGGCAACAAGGTACCGTGAAAATGGCACAGGTTTGGCGATGGGTGCTCACAGCGCCTTCTATTATGCGCAGAACAGCCACTTCGATTGGTGAAAGTTTCAAGGATGGCATTTCAAAAGAAGCAAATGGCGTGAAAGCGGAAAAGGGGCAACTGCTGCCAGCTTCTCAGAAAGAGACAGATTGACATCGTGGAATGAACCGAAGCACTAGCAATGACATCAGAATGGTCAAGATAGCTACAGGGACTGAAGCAATATTGGGATCCCTGTATACATCATATCCGGATGTATGTCCCTGCAATGAACAACGGTTGTCCTCGGGCTTTGTGAAACCTGACTGCCAGTTTTTGGTGCTTTCATAAGCCCGAGCTCTTTTCGTTTTCTTTTGGAATGTTGGCCACCACTGTTGGGGGATGCTTCAAAATCTGTGCAGCCGTTCATCACCAACGTGCCATCATATCTCCCCCCCGCACCTGCGATTGGCCCCGGCACACTTATGCAACAGTGTTGCCCCATGACAACCCAAGCAGGTGTAGAGCCCGGACACAAGTGCATTTCCTTCAAGCGCATACCCGTGTCGTCAGCTCCACGGTGTCTATACTTTGGCTGGGGTCAGATCAGTGGCTCGCGGACGCCAGGGTCAAGACACCTGTCCATGTGCGAATGTGGTTGGATTGTGGAACCCCAGCACCAGTCAGGGGTGATACTATCAACCTGTCATCTTGGACCACAAAGCTGTTTCAACCCAGTCTAGGCATCGTGCTAGCCACCCAAAGTAGGCCGCTATTACCGTGATAGACCGGGTCGCAACAGCTTTGTGGTCCAAGATGGCCCCCTCGGGATGATGTCAACCCTATCCAACAGTGGCCCAGAGAGAGTGGCGTGCAGCACCCTATGCAGCCACATCTACATGATACGCTATATACGTATATGCGTACATATATGCGTACATGCGTGGTGGTCCTGGGCAACCGCCTCGCTTATGGGAGGCCATTTCCATACTGAGGGCGTGGAGGAGCAGGTCGTTGACGAACAAACGCGTTTTCACGTGCCATGAGAAGGAACATCCAGACGTGGGTGAATGCTTGCTACGACGCGATTTCCTTCGAACCCAGAGGGGGTCCGAGATGTCGACTCGAATGCCTCCCTTGTTCCGGTGAATCAATCCTGCACCTTTGACACCCTGTCAGAGCCGGCCTCGCAGCACAACTTGTGTTGTGCCAACCTGTCGAGGTTCCCAGCACTCAACTACGAGGGTCTGAGCGGAATCCGGTCAGCAGGCCGACGAGGTGGTGGAGCCGTGTTGTGTCAGCATCCCATGATGCGTTTCGATGATGTCTGAGGTTATCAACGAGGACCGTGGGAGGTGACACAACAATCAGACCGTTGCAACTCCCGGGGCAGGCCAATGACAGACAATTTTGCTGGTGGGACGATGGCTTGTGCTTTGTGCTCGCTCCGCAATCTTTCGCCCTTCTTTTCGTCCATGACGCGAACCACGTTAACAACTTTGGCATCTTCAATGGGTGCCTGGGCTGTGGTGCTGCTGCTGGGGAGTGTCGCGTGTACACTTCATCTTCCGAGTTGATGGCAAGTGTCACATGGTGCATCGCTGAGGATTTCATCCGACCCACCAGGCTGGCGACTGAGCTGCAATTGCGTTAGCTGTCCCAATATGTGGAACGTCACTCATCTTCATTGGCACTTCCATTTCAACATCTGTCAGCCGCAGGTGGTAGGCAGCGACAACGTTGAAGGAGAATCACAGAAAGCACGTGGCGGCGGCGGCAACTGAACATCTGCTACAATTGCCTGTGTCAACAGCTCATTGTGCCCACGACTGCCTCCTCCCAGACAACCCCTATTGCCCCGGTGCAATGTATCAGCCAGTAAGGGAGCCGCAGTCGACATCTGAATCCAATTCAGCCGCCCTGCATTGCCACTGTTCACTATATCAGCCACTGAAAGGGCCGGAGTCGTTCATATAACTAGTCATACCTCGCCGCCCTCCTTCTCCTCTTCTATGTCCTCTACCCACTCAGTCTCTCTGCACCTGAGTTTAAAGCCCATCCTCTGCAGCGTGACGCCCAGTGTGCAGCTCCGCTCCACAAATTTTCACCAAGGCTTTCGTTCTTACAGAAGTCTTCAGTTCTTGGATAGTTCTGCACAGACAAGCAAAACTCTAGCGTGAGGGCAACAAACACCAGAGCGTCAACCCACATTAACAGAGACTCCGTTGACTAACGTTGGATTGCGAACACTGGATTCCCATGCAGCAAACAGAGAACAAGACAAACAAGACAGTAGAAGACCAGGAAGGCTGCGCTGACAACGAAGAGTCAGCTCACCAATCGCCCACCTTGATGTCATACATCTCTTTCTTCTTTCGCTCCTCTTCTGTAGCCCTCTCCTCATCCTTCACTTTCTCGTCAGCCTTTCGCTTTTCCTCGTTTGCAATGCGTGCCAGCTTCTCACGCTCGTTGTAGGCCTGCAAACGGCGGATTGCGTCCTGTTTCTTGAGCTCTTCCGCCTAAGATCGCCAATTTTGAAAACGCACCAGCTGGTGAGCAACTGCTAGAACACTGCATCGCATTGGTCAACATGGGATCCATATCACTAGGGACATGGTCGGTACGTAGGCGCCACTTGCAAGTGGAGACTTCCTTTTCGCCCCGCATGGCATTGTTCCAACAAGTGCAGCTGCAGTACAGTGTGTTGCAAGTCTGCAATAACCAAGATAATCAGCTTGACATCCGACAATGTTGGGTGCAGGCCCGTTTAGCAGGCTTTTGCGAGTAACACATATCACAACAGATATTTTTGGCTGTGGCGACCGGCTCGTTGATCAGCACACCTTGTCCCGCTCCTGTCTCTCCATCTCTCGGATTTCCTGTATGTGCTGAGCCTGCTGCCTCCGCACCTGCACCTTGAGCAATGTTGTGTCAGGATGTGAACCTGCCATTTCGGAACAGCTGAGACAAATCCCCCTAATCATCAGCCGAGCTGCACAGAGCTTGTTGTGCCCAGGTCAAGCAGTCGCAATACAAGTGCCGCACGGGAAGCAGCAAGTCAAGGCCAGCTAACACATAGACATTGGCGCAAGCACACGACGAGCAGCTGCATGGCCCACCTCTCCAACTTTGTCGCCCATGGTAGGCGTCCTGGAACCCTGCATAGCATCACTGGTTCTCGTTGCTGCACCCTGCAGCCACAGTTATCAGCTATAAGCCGTGTGAATATGCCACACAACCGGAACAGCCAGGGATGGCCAGGGGCTAGGTGAGGGCAATACTTCCAACACCCTGTCAACCAGAGGCAATGGCAAGGCGATACATTGTCTCCATGTTGTCTTGCCGATGCTGGACTTTGAATAAACGTGTCCACATCGCTACCCCTAGCTACCTTGGTGTCTTCTACTGACATATCCAGTTAAGGTCAGCAATTTAGCACCTTTTGATCAGTGCAGTTACTGGAAAATACATGTAAAGCTATCTGTGGTTGCAGTTTGTACACTGCCAGGTGCCATGACCACATCAAACCAATGGAGTACGCAGCCGGAGTCAAGAGGACAGCTGTGGTAGAGGGCAACATTGCCGAGTTGGGGCATCGAGAACCTTGTAGAAGGAAGAGTACACACTATTTACAGAGTCTGCCCTGAAGGCAGGCGTTGGTTAGTGGGTACTCCATACACGACCCGACCCTTGGCTGATGCTTTTCAACAAGGACACAGAACTCGAAACACAGAAGCAAGTCCTCATGCTCCACCTGGAGATCTCGGTATCACCATGGTGGCATCAGAGCCTGACAAAGCCACTCGGAGTATGGCCAATTGACATGCGACATTCTGCACAACAATTACTTCTGCTGTATAACAGAGAGCACTGCAAACCTTCGAGTTCTTGGTCGCTTATCGGCCTATGCCGACAGCCAATATGTGCAATGCATTTTTGCGACCTTTCAGAACCCCTGAGCACGATTTGTGACCGCATTCAATAGACGCATGGCATTGGTGGACAGAACGATCGTGGCTGCCCAGGATCCGTGGATTCCAAGCAGCAAGGCAGCTTATTTGAGCTCTGCAGAATCGCAATCTGGCTGTGCAATCCGCAGTTGGTCAAATAGGCAAAGCTTCCACCATATTTTCAAGGTGATCATTCTCACGTAACAAATTCGCCTTCCAATCGCAGCGGTGATTGTGATATGATGGAAGCCAAATGGCAAGTAGGTGCACTCAGGCTGCATCAACGCAATTCGCCTGTTTGCACCAGCCACCCATGGGCCTCACTGGTCTCGCCAATATTCATTGGCACTGCTTTTTAGGGCACATTCTGTGGCCAGGGCAGCGGCGCAGGCCCATCTACCCCCTACACAACTTGACAAGTGTGTGCTGCTTGGCGCTGGTGCCAGGTGCAGCTGGTTTGGCGCCCCCTGACCCAGATGTGGTGGCAACACACTTGTCCCCAGATGCCATGATCGGTACTGACAACACGAAGCTGCATCAGGCATAGCAGTGTGGCAATGCACAAGAAAACGGCAGGGCCACTTCCCGGTGTCCTATCGTCACAGCTGCCAAGCGCATGTCAGGCTGATGCAGATTCATGCAAGATGGCAGCGTGCATTTTTTTTTTGTTCCTTTTGCATGCCACCATTTCTCTCCACCCATCTGATGCTGTGTCCTGGCCTTACTCTGCAGTCTTGATGCTGTGCCTGTCCCAGTCCCCGGTCCCGATCTTGCATGTCCTGCCCCAGTACATAACACATCAGCCTCCAACCAATACATACACCCTTACTTCCATCTCACATAGTCTTAAACAATGCTGTGCCGCCCCTTGCCCCCTCCCCGTCCGTCACATTAATCTCGATTAATCTTCAAATCGACCTCGATGAGTACCTGAGTTTTTGCGCAGAACACCAGCGAGTTTCTCCACAGTCTTGGGAGCTAGCACATCGAGGGTGAGGTCGCCTTCTGGGCTTGAAGTGGCAGCAGGGTCCCTAGATATGGCATCCCATATTTGGCACAGGGCGGCTTCACTGGAGCAGCCAATCTCAGCAGACAGCCTCCTGAGCTGGCCAAAACCGCCCTTGTCCTCTGCATTCCCCTTCAGCAGGACAGCCCTCAGCTTCTGCAGCTCTTTGTCAAGCGACACAAACTCCTGCAGGGACAAAGGGCGATCGGCAGCGCCAGATCCAGCTTCCAGAGCGCAACCGGTTGTTCCTCTTGCTGTTGGCACTGCAGGATGCTGTCTGGGCTTCATAGCTGGCCGCGATGCCTCTTGCAGCTTCCTTTGCCTACTGGCGGCTTTGGGTTTGGCCTGGACATTGTCTTTCTTGACAGCAGATTTCGGTCTTGGTTGTGGGGTGGAAGCCGCCGAGGCTGGGACCTTCTGCAGCAGGGAAGCCATGGCGGCCTTCGACCTCTTCTTGGGGGGAATGTGGTTCTCTGCAGATGAGTCTGGACCTGAACCAGGCCCCTGTGGAGGCGCCTGGCGAGGTTCGCTTGTGTGTTGGCACTGCAAATCACACACAATCGCCGTTTCAGCTCGCGGAGGCCAGCGCACCATGCTAGCGGCCAGAACAAGAGCGGGCACCAGAGCACACGTCCACGCCCTATCTGCTCCCTCGGAGCCCTGGGGTGCCCGTCGCTGCCTGATACGCTTCCCGAGGGCAGGCAGGTTTGCTGAGGAGTCGATGAGCAGGCGCCCTCGCACGCACAGACGACAGGAACAAAGAGACCGCATCTCACAAACCACAGCGACAGATCGCCAAATCTGCCGGCTGCGCATCCATCCACAACACCGACACGATCGCGCGAAGGGCGAGGCTGGCCCCGGCAGGTGCAGGATCGCCAGCCGATGCCAGCGTGTCACACGTGTCCTGCGCTGCCTGCGCATCCCAGGCCCAATTGGCCCAATCAGCAACCCGAGCACAACGACCGCATGGAGGCGGTCGGCTGCGCAGAGGCCCCCACAGCCCCCGGCGCCACAATCAACTCAAGCATCGGACGCGAGATGGCGGCGGGCGTGGTGGGGCCAACCACAAGGCACAACCCTCGCACACACAACCCGCATGGCCCCAGCTGCGAATCAGGCCACAACCTTCAGGCCGCCAGTGCAGGCGCGCGGCGACGAGCACAGCCCGGAAAATCCGGTCCACGGCAACCCCGCATCCCCAACGCTGCGCGAAACCGCCCCACCCCTCGCTCCACCTCTGGACTGTCCCTCAAACCGCTTCCTCGGTCCGATCGCTCGCCATCACGCAGCGGGCGGGCCCCGCCGGCACCGCGGGCTCCTTCCCCGACGCCCTCCGCCTTTGCAGCAAGGCCGATACGTCATCATTCGCGCGGCCACCACCGGGGAGCGGGAGGAGTGGGTGGGTGGGTGGGGGGTGGGGGAGTCTCGGGCCCCTTACCTGTCCAGCGGCCTCCCTCAGACGTGCCTCGACCCCTGAGGCCAGCCACCGGCTCTCCCACAGCACTGACATCTGGTCGCCCATTTTGCGGCAGACGTGCCCCGGTGGGTTGTACTCGCGGCAGTTGGCCCACACAAGGCGCATGTCGTCCCTGAACTCCAGCGGCGAGGCGTACCCCCGCTGCCCGCCGCGCCCACGCAGCTCCAGGCGCTCGCCCACGGTCCCCAGGTCCATGGGGTGCTTGATCACGTTGTAGTAGTCTGGCACCTGGGCCCGCACGGGGTCCACGGGGTGCAGGAACGGCCCCGCCAGCCTGTGCCGCCTGATGTTGTTCAGGATGGTCTCGCACTTCTTCCACAGCGGGCGCATCTCCTGCTGGTCGCCACGCGCCTGCGCCGGGCGCTGTGCGGTCGCCTGGGCCGGCTTGAGGCATCCCGAGGTCAGCTGGGAATGGATCCTCTGCCAGGTCTTGGCCACGGCGTCGGGCCTAGCGTCGGGGGCTTCAGTGCCGGTGAGCCAGCCGCGGTCGGCCTTGAGACGGGTAATGAGGGCGTCCTGCTCGCGAATCTGGGCCAGCAGGCCGTCCAACTGGCGCCGCTTCTCCGCCCGGTCGGAGGCGTCGGTGGCGGCGCCGCCGGCCTCGCGGGACCTCTTCATGGCCTCGGCGCGGGGGTGGAGGGTCCTGCGCGTCGGGCAGCGAATGCCGCGGCGACCGGTTTCGGTCTGGGGTGCCCATTTGGTGGTGGGCAATAGGCAATGGGGATGATGGGGCAATAACCGGTGGGCATTTGTTGTCATGAAGATGTCGAGGGCAAGCCAGGGATAGGCGACAGCGACGAAGGGGACGACGAGGAAGGCCGGGTGAAAAACTTCGCTGAAATTTGGCAGGAGTCCGTTAACGTTGTTCTGGGGACGTGCGCTCTGGGTTCATGTGAGGGGTGCTGTGCCTGTAGCGGGAGGCAGGCCGGTTGGCCCGCGAGCAACCGGGCCAGCTAATTCCACAATGGAGACCAATGGCCATCAAGAAACCGTTGTGCGGTTTGGGAAGAAGTGCCGCAGCGTTCGATTGGGTGCCTGCAGGGCTCCAAGCACGAGTTCCAACATCCAGCCACCTTGCTGCGTCGGGCAAAGAAAAATCCTCACTCGAATGGCGATTCCCGCTCGAGTCTGCCACGGGAGCCAGGGCTCATGCCCAAATTTCGATCGACAGTACAGGGAATGCCTCCATTACCGTCGGCAGCGTGTATCGGTCGGCAGGCAACGCCCCGCTGCAGTCGTTGCCAGTAGGGATCATGGTTGGCCGCTCCCCACCGTGGTCTGCGTCCAATTCCAGTTCGTCGGTTCTGGGCATTCACAAGCCCTTGAGGAACATCAGTACAGCACCATCGAGCTATCCCAAATTGGCAGTAGCACCCGCCACACGCAGCCGACGTGCTCCACCCACACAATTCTGACATTCGCCATGCGGTCGGCCTGCTTCTGTGTCATCCCTCAGCTCCTGTCTCCCATTGGCAGCCCCATCGGTCCAAGCCACGGCGCATCAATCGGCGCATTCTCCAGCGTGTGTTTGCAGGCATCGCCGATCGTCGGCGTATGCTGGCGCTCGTCGGCTTTCGTCGGAAATCGTCAGACGTGGTCGATGTATCCACCGGCACTGGTCGATTTGCACAAGCGGCCGTTGGCAGCCATGTGCGCAACCGTCGGCATTTCCGCGGTCATTGCGTCAGCACTTCCGTCGACATCCCGTGGCCATGTCCGCCTGCACGCCTCGGGATTTGTAAGACGCGCCCTGCCCTTCAACCATCAGTCGGCTGCCATCGTGGGCAAACTCCGTCCCACGAGCCTTCCCTTCCCATCCAGCGGAACAGCAAATTCAAGACGAAGCCTTGGGGCCATATTCGACACAACGGCCCTGTGGTTTCATTCGCCGAGGCGCAAACAAAGCTGAGTGATATGACCGTGGCCAGACATATGCCACAGGTGCAGGACGGGCATGGATTCCTCCCCCTCAATATCAAGGCTGTGGGCACCCAGGGTGAGGCGCCCAAGGGGAGGCGCCCAGTGAGACCCACCCGGCCTCGCGTGCACCCCGCAAGGGCTTCGACTTGCCCACCAACAGACATCTCAGGCAAACCCACTCACACCGGGCCAACCTCCTTCGTGCGTGGCCCCTCCTGGCGGGAGAAGTACGAAGGCACAAGCTCAGGTAGCCAGCCGGGCTCCACGTCGGTGACCTGGCGCGCGTACACCCGGTTGGTCTTCACCATCTCGGTGAACACGATGTACTCCGGCCGCTTGGCGCACAGCACGGAGGAGGGGTGGAGGTGCACACCCTGGGCGGACGCCAGCAGCCGGTAGCTCCTGTCCGGCTGCCTCTTGGCGGCGTGGGGGAAGAGGCCCGAGACGAGGGAGCGGCGGATGGGGCTGGAGTCGTCGTGGCAGGAGGCCATGGGGATGCCCAGCTGGTCGCAGCAGCCCGCCAGCTGCTCGTGGATGCTGAGGGCCTTCTTCATCGCCCTGCCTCGCCGAAACACGAACAGCTGGCTGAGCGCAGGTAGTTAAGAGAGAAGAAGATTTCCTACATATGGTGCTGCGACATTAATGTGCATATGACCGTCCGTGCTGTGACCGTAGTGCGTGACCCAACAGAATGTACCATGGCCACGTCCAGGGCCCATGGGTAGTTCAGAGAGGTCACACGTGGAAAGTACACATGGCTGATATCAATGGAATCACTAATCACCACTGTGATACTTGTTTCAACAACAAAAATGTGCGCTTGGGTATGACCGCGAGATGTGCTGAAGGTAGGCCTCCATAAATATCCAGATATGTGCTCTGCTCCTACACACGGCCAATGCTGGAAACTAATATTTTCAAGCAGATTCCCTCCACTAAGGTCTAAGCGCCAACAGTTCGACTGCGTCTTGGCACGCCGCTGATGACTTTCGATTCCTGTCACACCTTGAGTTCAGATGCGGAGGCACATTGGAATTGCGCGGAATGATGACCATGCAACAGTAGAAGTTGACAACGAATTGGCCCCTTATGTGCATATACTGGGCTACCATGTTGATCGTCAAATGCTTGAAGTTCAAGCAGCTTTGTGTTATAGGAGACAGTTCTGGAGCAAACACAGGTGCTCTCTTCATTCATCTCTTTATCTGATATCCATTGCTTACTACCATCAACAACGGTAGTTATACAGTTGCTCCTACATTATGATTGTTACTATCACAAACTGCAATCCCCTTCGTTATTGGAGTTATACTGCTATTGCACACCTGTGATTGATGTAGAGGTCACGGCACCAACGCATGCGCTCCTTCTTCTCCAAGGCGATGTAGTGGTTGAAAATGTGCAGCAAGGTGAGATGGTCCCCCCATGGGCTGACGAACTTCTGTCGTCGTTGGGCCGCTTCCTCCTGGTTTTCCCTGCAACAACAATTTGATATGTTAACCTCAATCTTGAGAATGGGAGATTTGGATGAGACACCATGAGTTAAGGGGCCATTGTAGGCGGTTCCAATGGAACACTGACATTCAGATGGGATGACGCCAAATACGCAGCGGTCTGAAAGAGCAGAAAAAAATGGCCCCAAACGCACTGTTGTGCCTGCACTGCTTGGACGGATTTGACGCATGATAGACTACGCTTCCTGCATGCTGCAAGCACAGAATTGCAAAAATTAGAGCGCTAACATAGCGCCTTATAACATGTAGCAAAATGGTGTGCGGTAATTCTCTGCCGGCGTAATATATCCAATGCCTCAAATACAATCACGGGTCCACGCAAGTGCATTTGAGACACAGGCGCCTTCATACCTTGGCTCAAAGAAAACGTTGTCCGTGGACACCATGGAGATGACGGCCAGAGCTTCCTGGCAGCAACCCATTTCGCCAGAAGCGAGCACCACACGGCCGAACATGGGGTCCACAGGGAGGCGGCTCATCTGCTCGCCCACTGGGTGCGTCAGGCAGCCCTCTTTGTTCAGAGCGCCCAATGCGTACAGGAGCTCCAGCGATCTGAAAGCGTAGCAAAAAAAGGATGCAAGTTGGCACTGCATGCCATGCACCGACGATGCGTATTGTAAAGCTGTTGCATGCAATGCAAATCCGCATGTTCTAAGCTCTTCAGGCTGTGCTTGGAGCCATCTGTATCGCTTTTGACGCAGTGCAGCGTGCCTCGAGCTCTTTTGAACTCTTTTGGTTTCAAAGGCAGAAACGTCATGCCAAATGTAAATACCATCGCCAGCATCAATCAGCTTCGATACACTGGTCAACAGTCACAAAGTACTGTCCTTGCACCTTCAAGTTGATAACGGGCAGGACCGTCGTGGGAGCACAACGTGTGATGAGGCATGTACAGCTTTGTCCTGATGCTTCACAACCACTATGGTAGTGCAATTCTGCTGTGAGCACATTTGATCTCAAGGAAACACTTACAAATACACATATATTGCACACACCTTGCACACATAAACGAAACACGAAACGATAGCCTCTTGGCGCATTACTCGACACGCAGGACATCAGCAAGGCAGTTGCGGTTGCTGTCCGGTGACACAGTGCAGCACTTGCCTCATGAGGGCAGCTTGTGGTGGTGGGGACATGAAATCGAAACCCAGCAGGTCATGGACTCCAAGGGCTTTGAGTTTGATCACCGAACTGCTCAAATTTGTTCGCACAATCTCTGGCGTTGTCTCTGGCTGCAGACTGAAAAAAGTTCCTTCGGTGTACAGACGAAATGCTTTGCCTGGACCCTCGCGACCTGCACGTGAAAATTAGAAGCCATTGCCTGCAGCCCCTTACAAGCTTTGCACAGAATCCCATACTCGTCTACAGCCTGTCACAAGCTGCGGAACTTCACACCAATAAGTCGCCAACATACACCACTGCTATGCTGCAGTGAGACGCACAGACAGAATGGACCATGGGGAGGACTGCTTCAAAGTGTGAAGGAGCAAGGTAGATGTGAACAACACATGCATGCAGGATGTAATATCCAATGAAAGAAATAAAAGGGAGAGACAATGACATGAGCACAGGGATGGCCAAATCCTTGTAGCGACCATGAAGTAATATGCACTGACCACACACAGACAGTTGCACCAACGACAGCAACCACTGCGAGCGATGCTGTTTCAAATCTTTTTTTTATTGCCGTTTCAAACGTCTGAGCATAACAATGCCACCTGCTATGAGGACACATGGATGATATATAACCAAGACACCGAGCTGTTGCAAAAGCATGCCTGTATACAATCCTGGCGTGCAGTCTACTTGTTGTAATTCTACCCCTAATGAACTCTGCTAGCTTGGTGGAACGAATGCAACACAACATCATTGCGCCCTTTCAACTTCCCAACAAATGATGGGAATGGGAAATCACTCGCCTGCACGGCCACTTCGCTGTGTGGCCTGTGACTGGGAGATGGGAACCACTTGAAGCGAGTCCACGCCCGATTTCGCACTGTAGCCCCTGGCCTTCACCATGCCTGTGTCAATGACATACCTCACACCTGGGATCGTCAACGACGTCTCTGCTATATTGGTGGCCAGAATTGCTTTCCTGGTTCCAGGGGAGGCAGGCTCAAACGCCTGGAAAGAGCACAAAATCAATCAGAGGAATGCCGCAGAAAGACAGCCGGCTTATGATGCCCAGTCAAGGTGTCGTCCTTGGGAGAGCTGGCACACTGTTCCTCACATCAAGTTCTCTTTTTTGGCATCACACCTCTGCAGCCCCGGTCACAAATGACAACAACACTGACGTCAATATAGGTGCTCGGAATTTTAACACGCACATTGCCTATTTCCATCGCCCACATGGACTGCCCCTGAGAGACGATCGTGCCTGATCAATCGATTCTGTATCCGAGAGCTGGCCTAGTGAATACATGTTCCTTTTGGCAAATTACCATGTGCTTTGGTAACTCTGAATATTGTGCCACTTGCTCACAATCTTGAAACAACAGCTCTGCCCCTCCCCACTCCACAAACTAAGCAATGTCGCAAAGGGTGCTGGGCGTGCCCCAAGGGAGCAAGAGAATTGTAGCGACGCCATAGTTTCAAAGTGTCCAAGAGAGGCAGCAGAAACCACAAGGCACCCACGCCTTCTTTCAACGACTGACAAGTTTTATACTCCTCTGAAGGTTGTGCAAGCAGCTCTGGACAGAAAGATGCAGATGCACACATTGACCTTCACCACATCACAGGTGCCTGGCTATGATTCCCGACCTCCATGAACCACATTTTAGGAACTGATCAATTGGCCACCAGCAGTACTCAAGACGCCTTCTTTCTTTCAGCTTGTGTGCATATCCAACGTGTTCAGAGGCTCCCACAAAGTACTTTTCAGTACAAACCAACGAACTACATTGCATATTGTAGCAGAGCTGGTGTGCCAAAATCACATGAGCCGCATCTTCTTGGCTACATGCATTGCCCTCGTCTCAAGACAAAAGACTCAAACCAGCAAGCTCATGCACATTGCAGGCAGAGCAATATGCAACGAATGCTTCTTCATTCAAAGCCTATTGTGCAGCTTCGTCAGTGACCTTGCCCTTAGGCCCAACTGGTGGAAGTGCCAGTCTCGACAGAGATTTGTCACGCTTTGAGGGAGGGATTGGATGTAAAATTGTACCCTGAAATTGCTCTGTGGAGAAGGGTGGCACCACAAAACCATGACCCATTGCCCAAGTAAAGTCATTGCTTTGCATAGGTGCTGATTTGAAGATGCTGTGTAGGTGCAACTGTATTATGGTAGCATGCATGCTGGGACCAATGGTGAATACTGCCTTATTCACAAAACAGGCTGCCAAGGAAAGCACGGCTCCAATGTCTACCACTCTGAATCTGACACTGAAAGGCGTTTGTCACAGGATGACATAAGACACCAGTTCCCCTGCAACCCTAAAGCTGACAAACATAGCCACATATACACAACCACTCGTCCTGTCTCCATATGGAGAGTCGGTTGTTGTGCAAAGTATGCACTTTCAGGCAACAAATCCATGGTGGGGCAGGAAAGCAAGAATCACATTGGGGAAATTGCATCGGCTTCAACAGCTGTGGTGTTGCCTCTCCCTTCGGCACAACAGTCATCAAGCTGGGTTTGGGACTTGAAGTCTCCAGCAAGCTCATATCTCTATTTAAATTACTTCAACATTTCTTTTGATACTTTGCGTTCGCGGGAAAAGATACACACATCCAGTTCACCTTCATCTGCTGGTCTGGTGGCATGGCAGCGTACATGCTGATAACATCAAGCTGAAGCACTTGCTGCATCGTGGCCCTGAGGGAAGACGCCGCGTTCCTCATCAGGCGAGCTATGGACTCTATCTCATCCTGGCCCGTCAAGAAAACAAGAATATCCCCGCGCGGCTCTTCAATGTGTACCTTTTGGAGCAGCAAGGGAATGCAATGAAACCGGATGTTGGATACGACTGGGACAAACACATCATTCCTTCAGAGGCCTTTGGCACCTTCTCTCCTAATACATATGAAAATCTTTGGAATACAACAGGCATAATGGTCAGGCTTGCAGGACACTGATGCACCTGGGGTGGTGACAGCTGAAATACCTCTACAACGTTGAATGTAACTGCTTTGTTACGCACCAGAATGTTGACACTGTGGAGTTGCAGTCGCTTCAGCCAACTGAAGGACCATGTCAGCCATCTGATGCAGAAAATGATATTTGATGGTCAAACAGGAAATCAATGGAATGGGTAATTAGAAGGCAGCTCAAGCAACCCTGCTGATGCGAAAGTGATATACAATTTCAGCATCATCGTGCACAAAAGAATTTGTCACATTTGCAACATAATCCCTGTGTGACAAAGCAAATTGATAAATGAACGTGGCAGAGCAAAGAAATCCCATTACAGGAGTGAACCCTCACACGTCAAATTTGCAAACAGGATTCATATTTACGTACATCCACAGACATCACATCATTTACACAGATTCTGGCTGGCTATTGGGTGCTTTGGTGCCTTTCTTGGGTCGTTGTTTGCTTTAAAACAGGATTCATATTTACGTACATCCACAGACATCACATCATTTACACAGATTCTGGCTGGCTATTGGGTGCTTTGGTGCCTTTCTTGGGTCCTTGTTTGCTTTAGCTGTGTTCAAGCATTTGTGCCATAACGGTTAGCATTAAAGCAGCTTCGAATGTACCTCCAGATTTCTAGAACGGACATCAGCATCCACTATGCGTACGCTGCTGCTGCCTGCAGACGGTCACCTGCAAGGTTGCCTGTAGTGCAGCATCCAAGTAGCTATCTTCTGCCACCTTGGTGTAGTGAACCTCCACCGGATGCTGACGACCCCTGATGTACACCACGCGGGAGCCCTTGAAGAAGTCCAGGAAGGCAGACGCATTAAGCGTTGCAGACATGACGATGAGGTGGAAACCCGCCCTACGTTGCCTCTGCATTTTCAAAGCACAGGCACAGGCGCAAGTGCCATTCATGAAACAGCCACATGGAAGACTCAGTGGTATGCGACACTGGTATAAACAGATTGGTCAGAATTTAGAACTGTCCCCTTGCACCAGCTGCTGATGCACAGGTTTTGGTCTTGTCATATAGGGAAATGTCCATGGTGTGCGATGGCTTGAATATACTTTCACACACCTTTGCAAAGCTCTAATAAAAAAATCGTTGGTGGCATGATATTGGGTTAGGACTTAATTTCTGTATGTGTTCACTTTCATTGGTGAAGAAGATTCGTTGTTCAACATTGTTCAGCTGCACAACAAAATCTCCAATTGCACAAAATGGCATTGTCGCCAAGACCTTTGGCATTAAGGAGCAACTCTCTCACCACGTTGGGTGTCTACTTGTCAAAATCGAACAATGAGAAGATCAATGACCCTGTGTCAATGCAGAGTTATGGCAGGCAGCTGGCAGTACAGCAGTTGCGCACCTGAATTCGCTTCAGCAATCCAAGCAGCACATCCGTTTGCAGCGATCGTTCATGAGCCTCATCGACAATGACAACCTGCAGCCATGCAAACAGATGCATAACCAAGCACTCCAACGGCATATGACCAACACATAGACAAGCAAATATCCCACCAGTGTATTCCCAACAAAGGGATAAGTGAAGGCCAACAGACAGCACACAGTACATCACCTGAGCATGCCTGAAAGACCCAAAGATGGCTGCTGAGCACACAACAGAGAACTGGTGGGTGGACTGCTTGCCTTATGTTGTGTCAGCATGGGGCTTCGCAGCGCCTCTTGCAACAGCATTCCATCTGTCACATACTTGATCTTGGTGTGTTTGGAGAAGTTTTCGTCAAAGCGGACTGAGTAGCCAACCTGGGCCAAACCAAGCAACCTCTTTAAGAGAAGGATGAAAGCTGGAACATAAAGGGCACAAAGAAGGAATGTTTCACACAACACAACAGACAAAGTACCTGCAAACCTGGTATTCAAGCCACCTCCACAACACAACACAGAGTCTGCAGACAAGCTATTTGTTCCACAAGGACAGTTTGCGTCGTGTAAACATCGGTGATAACAGCAGAGACATCCATTTCGACAATGAAACGCATAGCATTTGCAATTCCAGCACTCATCCTGCACTCTAATTCACAAATGATGGTCCTGCAAGTCTGAGACAGACTGTTGTTTCTTTGCAACCTTGGAGTCGCTCCCTGGATGCTGGCCACGGCTTTGCATCCACTGCTCCCTATGTGCCTACACTTTCCACAGTGTTACACGCTCACCTTAACTTAGAAGAACAGGCCATGACAGCAGTTCTGACACATACACACATCATAAGACCACGCATTGCACAACAATCATCCCATCCTCATATCTTCCTTGCCAACCGCACCTCCTGCCCAAGCTCCACATTCATCTCCTCTGCCACCCTCTTGGCAAGCGTGATGGCCGCAACACGCCTTGGTTGGGTGCATACGATTGTCCCACCACTCTTCAAAAAACCCGCAGAGTACAGAAATTGTGGCATCTGTGTTGACTTGCCACTGCCTGGTTCCCCAACAACAATCACTGTGGACTCCTGTTTCACTATGTCCACTATCTTCTTTCGAGCTTGCCATATTGGGAGAGATTTGCGATGGGCAAATAGCGATTGGCGCCTTGGAACAAACAGAGCACTGTAAGCGACAGAACAGCTCTTCTATAACATACAACGGTGGTGGCGATGAACGCTCACCTGGCACGTTGCGATGGTAAGGGACAAATTTTAAAAAGTCCATCCAGTACTTGTTGCTGCTGGTGCACCGGCAGGTCGAAAGCCGCTGTGCGATGAATTGATAATTTTTGCGCCATAAAGCAACATGGTGGTCTTTGTCAGTACAGGTGCTGTTCTTTGCGCAGGACCAAAGACATGTCTTTGACTATGGCTTTGCAAGTTTCAATCTGAGGCAGCATCCAGCACCATGACCTTTTAGTATTGTGGCACAGCATCATACCCTTTTAGTATTGTGGGTTTCTCGTTGTTGCTCTACAATGCTGTAAAGGCCTAAAAGCTCGAATGAACAACCATCAGGAGACAACTCCAGAAAATTCTGGGCAAATTGCCACACGATTTCACAACACTCGCAAAGGGGGATGCGCATTGCATGACACGTTCCTTCATTCTTGAAGAATCATGGCCAATACTAATACAAATCAAGATGTGAACCTCGCTGAGAAATACGGAGGACAAACGCAGCCTCATAAAGAGGCTGCTCTAACAAGATCTTTCCTGTCAGCACAACAAAATTTGGGAGCCATTCTTCCACTGAGACAGGGATCAACAAGCCATTTGTGGGCCTACCACGCAGCAGCCAATGCAGACACCAAATCGGTAGTTATCTGATCCACAGGTTTTTTCCTGACGCATGGTGTTCGGATTACTTGCATAAAATCTCGTCTGGCAGCCGCGCATGATACGCTGTTGTTGCGCCCCTCTTGGACGGTAGTCTCTACAAGCTCAACGCGCGTCTGTTAACGAATTGCTGTCACGCACCACCGCCTGCCGACTGCTTGACAAACACCAGACGCGTACGGACGCATCGCCCTCGTGCCACCGCACGCCTTCCCAAAGGCACAACCAGCAACAATCCCGGCCTCACTGATGCAATCTCCACCAGGCTCCCATCGCGTACCAGGCCAACGTCTCCCCATTTTGCTTCCTCTTGAGGCCGGCCATGCGCCCCAGGCCTTCTTCGGCGCGCCCCCCTGGTGTCATGCACCGGCCCGTTGGGCCTCAAGCCTCAGCCCGCACCGCTGCGCTCGGAAGGATCAGGCCGGCTTGCAGTCCGCTCGCGTTGCTGCGGTCGCTTGGACTGAAGCAGCGTCCACGAATCTGGGTGCGGGCAAGCTGCGTGCATGGCAGGCGCTATGCGAACGGCACAGGGGCGGCTGCGGACCGTGGGTTCGAGGTACTGCGGTCTGCTGGGGGCGCACGCGGCCTTTTATGCCCGGCGGCATTCAGCGCCCAGTCGGTTTGGTTGCAGGACGCCCAAAAAAGCGGAAACCACCCACCATGAGTCATAACCTGGGCCAAGGGAGTGCCGATGGCGACCAACAGGTGCGTCCCGCCTGCGCAGTCCAGCGCCGGTGGCTCTGGCCTCGTTCGTAGCGGGATGGAAGCGCTGCGGTCCTGCGGCGCCGCCTCGACGTCCGCGCTGCTGGCGCACCGCCGTGGGCCCGCTCTGAGGTTGCGCAGGTGCGAATGGGGTCGCCAGGCACCGATGTGATTGACGGCCGCCACCGCGAGCGGGTTGCCTTTGCGCTGCCGCCCCGGCTGACGTTCTTCGGTTCTCTGCGTGGCGCCGCTAGGGGGGAATGCACTGCAGTGCGCTGCGCCGCCGCGCCTGAGACCGCGGGTGAGTGAACGGTGCTTCCGTGCGCGTGTGAGCTTTGGCGGCACGTGCTTTTATGTTGTGCACTGGCTTGACATCTTGGAGGTGCTGCTGACGATGATAATGCGCTTGGGGCGACGCGTGTGAGTGACTGCCTTGGCTTTATTGTCCCGATCCGGCAAGGATCAAACGCTGTCAGGAGTCGGACGTTCTTGCCTGCTCTGGCCAGTCGCCTGTACATTACTGCGGAACAGTTGTTTGAGACCTGCATAAGCATTCTAGAAACCAACATTGCGGAGGCCAAGAGTGTTGTTCATTGCCTTGAGAGCGCAAAGGCCTCGTTTCTTCCACTTCCCCTGACGTTTGTCCTGTGATGCCAGCGACCACAAGGGTCAAGAGGAATGAAAACTTCGGGAAGCTCCAGGCTGGCTACCTGTTTCCTGAGGTGGGATGCAGTGATGCAAGTGGTGCTCCCTGAATCGGACCGCTTCCTTTTGCAATAACTTTTATATGCTCTGCTCCTACAATACACACAAATCCTGGGGTGAGATTGCATGTACTGAAACCCGGAGGCGTTGATCGTTAGACAGATGCAGATTTGCACAGCTGATTCTGAGTGTTGCGTGGCTTACATGGCATGCGACTTTGGCTTTTATTGCTACGATGCAGGCAATACACACATGCTGTCCTGGGGTGAAAGCTTGCGGAGTCAAAACTGATAGATTTTGTGGGGTACAAAGTGTTCATGCTCTATGATGCTCCATGGAATGTGAGGAACGTTGTGCCTTGACAGTACTGGTTGAAACTCGCCTTGAGGTTACCTCTATTCTGCACACAGACATTGCTATCAGTGCATTGCTGAAGCAAGGAATACTTTCTCCTGAACCCAAAGTGCAATGACAACAGAGCTGTTGCAAGGTTGCAGCAAATTGAAGTGGAGACAGATGCAAGCTTGCTATTACATTACTGCAACACTGCTACACTGCTGGCCTTGGTTGTTTGTGCAGATCGCCAGGCGAAGAAGGGAACATGAAGCCAAGTATCCTGACAAGCAGATAATCAGCCTTGGCATTGGGGACACCACAGAGCCCATACCATCGTTCATATCAGATGCCATGGCAAAGGCAGCAGCTGGGCTGGGAACACGTGAAGGCTACAGCGGGTAAGAATTTGTGTGTGTGGTTGCCGTTGTCTGTCTGTGGGCTGGCTGGGCTGCATTGTGCTGTTAAACTGCCAGATTTAAAAAAACTATAATCTGGAAAGTTAATATGTAATAGTATCAATGTTTGCATTTGCCACTGTGGTTGTTTCCTTGCTGTGCAGTGTGTGCTGCATAGTTTGTGAAGAAGTAACAATTGCTTAATGCTGCAGTGGGATGTGTAGAGCAAGCATGAAGGGATCAAACCTAACTGCAGAATGATTGCGCAATTCCTTTGCTTGAGAAGCAGTTTGTCAACCATCTGAATCCCTGGATGCAGGCATCTCTGTGTCAGCCATCCCCTCGTAACTGGATTCTGCAGAGTTGTGGCGATGCAGGGACAACATACATGGCTTCTCCAATGCTATGTAGCGATGCAATCAACTGCAGCTGCAACTAGTCAATTGCAGTGTCAACGTTTCTGAAACCATGGTAATCCTTATTGCCGTGCTGGGCAGGTACGGTGCAGAGCAGGGCAGACCTGATTTGAGGGAGGCCATCGCCAAGGCATTCTACCCTGGGCTTCGCAAAGCCGATGAGATTTTTGTGTCCGATGGGGCAAAATGCGACGCAGGTCGCTTGCAAATGATGTTTGGGGTGGATCGAACAGTGGCTGTTCAAGATCCCTCATATCCAGTATATGTGGACACAACAGTCATCCAGGGCTCCACAGGGAACTACAACCCAGCCAGTGAAGGCTTTGATGGCATCGAGTACATGCTGTGCAATGCTGACAACGGTTTCTTCCCAGATTTGTCGAAGGTATTTCACTCACACAGGTGCCGACTTCAGGCTGTTGACTGGTACAATGAGCCAGTTGTGGGCAACCATGCGCTGACAAGTCACTGGTATGAATGTACAATTTGGACGTCAGCATGGCCTGATGGCTGTCTTCTTTGTATGTATTCTTGTGCTTGTGGTCCTGCTGCTCAATGCACAGACACAGCGTGACAGACACAGTGCCACATGCAGCATGTTCTTCAAGAGACCCCTTCTGAATGGACTCCAGAAAATGGGCGCTGTCTGATGCCTGACATTAGTGGGCGGGTCTGCTAGGTGCCTCCCACAGATTTGATATTCTTCTGCTCGCCAAACAACCCCACAGGGGCAGCAGCGACGAGGCAGCAACTGCAGGAGCTGGTGGATTTTGCAAAAAGAAATGGCTCAATAATTGTCTACGATGCAGCATATGCACTCTACTGTGAGGAGCCAGACTGTCCGAAGACAATCTATGAAATTCCAGGTCAGTGGCGATCTCACACTGGAACTGGGCATCAAGGACAAATTGTAGGGCAAGCAAAGTTAGCCCCTGAATTGCGGCACTGGTACCCTGTACTTCATGATGAACTCAATCACCCTCTCACAGGCGACCAGGTCATGATGAGAGGTTTGTTTGATGGTGTCCCACTCAGTAGGTGTCCAGGATTCATCGTTTCTGTGGTAATTGTAGACAACAGGAGTGCAGCAAGTTACTGCAATAGTATCAGCATGAAAAGGTCCCTGGAGGGACTGCAACATGTTCAGATTGCAACTTTCCAAGCTCATGCACGTGGTGACATTGTACCATGGTTCTGGCATTTGATGAGGGGGCTGTGGACTTGTCTGTAGGTGCTGATGAGGTTGCATTGGAGGTGAACTCCTTCTCGAAATATGCTGGCTTCACGGGCGTCCGCCTTGGCTGGACAGTTGTCCCTGATGCGTTGAGATTCTCTGATGGGACTCCAGTGAAGACGGACTTCAATCGTATCATGACCACTTGTTTCAACGGGGCATCCAGCATTGCACAGGCAGGAGCACTTGCATGCCTGGAGGTATGGGTTTGCCTTGATTCTGTGTTTGCACAACCAGCATGCTGCTGTGTTTCAGAATGAGCTTTGGTTTTTGTGGGCTTCATGCGGTGTGCCCTCTTTTGCATCTGTGTTAAGTGTCTTTTCATGCGGTGCTGGCCATTAGTGCCACTTAACGTGGCTGCAGGTGGAATTCCATGTGGCAGTTCATGGTCTGGGGACATAAGCACATTTACGAGTTTATGCATGTCCACACAGCTACTGGTTGGGGTATGCTTGTATGCTTGACACGTGTCCAACGCAGCCTGTTTGCAATTCTCCGAACTGCCCTCTGGCCATGCCAAACTTGTCCCTATTCTATTTGAATGGGATGCTGGGCTACCGTGCCGAATTATTTGTGTCTCATTTGCCTTCACAAAACAAAGCGCAACTCTTGACTGTTACAGGTATTGATGGGCATATGGGCATTATCTGTACCACTTGTTTGTCCTTTGGACAAATAGACTTCCACAGATTTCTCCAGCAAAAATGCAACCAGTTGTCCATGTCAGGGAGGCTAGACGGAGCACAGCAGCTGAGCCACAATGTTCATCTTATGTGCTGCAACAGCCAGAAGGCTACAGTCAGATGATGAATGTCATCAGCTTCTACAAAGAGAATGCGGCCATTCTACGGAAGACATTCATTGACATGGGCTTCTCGGTATATGGCGGTATCAACTCGCCTTATGTGTGGGTTGGTTTCCCAGGTCAAAAGTCCTGGGATGTGTTTGCTGACATCCTAGAGAAATGCCACATCGTGACCACCCCTGGAAGTGGGTTCGGCCCTGGGGGCGAGGGATTTGTGAGAGCAAGTGCATTCAGCACCAGGTAAGTTGACACGCAACTTACGTACGCCACATTATATTAGCATGCTGCTGGGCTATGAAGCAGGGGACTCAAATCGGCCATGAAGTGACAAGGATATGTGTTGCTGTGCTGATGTGTAGTTTCGTTGATGGGTCGTGGGACATTTATTGGTGGCAGTTGCGAGCCGCTGGCAGGGTGCGGTATCCAACTGTTCAGAGCCACTGCTCAGAGCTGGGTATCGAACAAGCCTTTACAACAATGGACTTGCACATTGTGATTCAGTGGTGTGTTGCTTCAGGGAAAACGTGAACGAAGCGGTGAGCCGCTTCCAGGCAGTGTTTGGCAGCAGCTGATGGTGTGCAGCCAAGGCAGGCCAGATCAGCATGCAATGGCAACTTCTGACAGACCAACAGGAGCCGTTCAGCAGTTTGCACCTGCAGTGGACTTTGGTGTCGAGGCGTCGCAGCGAGGAGAGACTGTCGGCAATTCGTTGTGGTGGCTTCAGAGCACCGCCCCAGGACCATCCATAACAAACTTTTCCTGTTGTGGAGTTGTTGTTGAGTTCCCGCTCCTCAATTGTCCCACCGGTCCCATAATATGCAGATATGGTAGATGATGCAGGTGGTATGCAGATACCGTATGACATGTAGGATGCAAACTGGTACAGAAAGCATTGCCACGACGGAAGACGGCTTGACGTATGGGATGGTATGTGCCGACCAATTCGTTGACGCTTAACGTAGAAAACAGAAAAAGGAGAAGACATCTCTTGAGCGTGGCTCTTTGAAACGGCAGGTTGCCTGGCGATGTACCTTTTCTGGGAATAACAGAACGGGTGAAATGGCGCTTGCATATCCTGGAGACAGGCTGGAAATAGGGATTGCCAATGTCTGACGCCTGAACTCTTGGAGATGGCCCGGGAGGAATGGGCAGCACGTGCTTTCCTTGCGACATTGAAGTGGTTTCGCAACCAGTGTTGCCAAATTTGACTGCCTCTTTATATGGGCGTGGATGCTGGAATCGTTGCGAACAGCGCGTCTGTAAGAACATTGGTACCGCGAATTCTTACAATGCTGCTGAAGAGTATCCCAAAGACGGATTGCAGCGATAGGACCACGCAAACCCTAAATCGATGGGGGTCTCCTGGAGCTTGCTGCCATCGCCGCCTTTGTTCCTTTCAGCTGCGCCAGCCTTGAAACACACGTGCAACCTGCAGGCTTCCACCTTCTCCAGAGGCGGAAATTGGACAAACATCTGACGAACAGTCTGAAAAACTGCATAGCAACATTGCCGGATGGCCAAGTCACATTCTCGCACACAGCAAGAAACTGGCAGCTTCAGGTACAAACTCAACAATGGCGCTGCCAAATTGTGACAAAGAATTGTTGTTTTTCAAATGTTTCGTCGCCTGTGTCGTCAGCTCATCGTTGCTAACTCCTATGCGACTCAATCTTCTCTGTTAAAGAATGTTGATGCAAAGATGTGAACTATCCCTATATCTCCTTCCCCACACACACGGCGATTATGAGTCAGACCCGGCATGCCCTCGCGATGCGGGAAAAATAGGGGTAATGCCATTGCCGCACCACACATAGCATCCGGATCCAAGCTGGCCAACTGATCAACGCCTTGTAAAGTTTCGGGGTGTGCACCGTCGGGGTGTGCACCGTCGGGGTATTGGTGAGAGGGCTTGCACTCACTCTCGCTCTGGATACCAACGGCTTCCATGTTGGAGGCACACTCCCGTGTCGCCTTTCACACCAGCGGCTCGTTCAGGCTCGTTCGTTTCAGTTCAGAACCTGTGCTACTCGTCATAGAAAACGAAACCGTGCCCTTCACCACCATGCCCGACCCCACGCTGCACACGGGACGTCACGTCGTCGTCAAAATACGGTTCATACGGTTCGCCTATGTTCACAGGAGGTGCATCCGTTGAAACGGGAGCGGCATGGGGTGGTGTGGCATCAAATGCCATGCCGCTGGCAACCACTGGAGGAACCCGCCCGGCGCATGTCTGGCCCCGTCCAACGCGTGCTTGGGTGTGGTGCTCCACGGACCCTTTTGCCCCCGCGTCGCGCCCCTCACTCAAGACGCCGCCCGCGCTTGGGCCTTCTGGCCCAACGCCCCAAACTCCCGTGCACGGCACTTCATTGCGGGAGTCGCCACGAGGTGTGGGAGCCGGGGGCTGCACCCTGCGGGCTTCGCCTTCATCTGCGCACTTCTCCTCATGCCTGTCCTGCGCTACATCTCTTTGGTCCGTGCTTCGCTCACCCGCCCTCGCTGCCAGGGGAGCTGCTCCCGCACTGCCGTGGTACTTCTCCCAACTGTCTTTCACGGGTGCCAGCCGGGCGCACAGGTCCTGGAGCGGGCCCGGGGAGCCGCCCAAGGCGCTCTGCAGCCGAACCAGTGGCGCCACCGGGCTTGGCTGGAGGTCAGAATGCGCCCCGCCCCTCGCCCTCGGGTGTCTGACTTCTTCGTCGGTGTGTGCTTCAGGCGCTCCGTCTGCCTCTTCGGCGCTGCCGCAGATTGGCGCGCTGCTGGATCTGCGAACGGGCGACTCGCCATCGGTCGATTGAAACCAGTTGGAGTTGTCGGGCTCTGCGGGCGCGCCGGCGTCCCTCCTGTCTGAGCTCAGCGTGGCGCCGGACGTCTCCGGCGTGACCTCCAGCGATCCGCATATGGATGCCATCGACCCTTGCACCGAGCCGGGCGTGCTTGGCGTCATTGGGAAGTGCAGCACGTGTCCGCCGCATTCTTCGGAAGAACTTATGGACACGCCGGAAGGCAGTGCTCCCGCGCTGCTTTGCACACCGGCAGATGAGTGGTGCCGACCGAGGAGGAGCTCAGCCAGATGTCCTTTCGCCTCTGCTGCAACGTGCGCAGCGTTCGCCTCCCCAACCTGCCTGCTGGCTTCAAAGTGCTCGGCTGCACGATGGCCACGCGCACGCGCATGGGTTGACGGCCACCAGGCTTTCACAGAATCGCGGTTTGGCTGCCGCGACCCGAGCTGCATTCGCTCGTCGTTGAGGTAGCCAAAACTTTCTCTGTTGCAACTGCAATTGTCCTCGCGCGCATGCTCGGGTGATGCTTTTGCGCCGCCCTCCCGCACGCTTCTCACAGGAACGCGCCCCATCGCCAGCCGACCTTCGCCGCCATTCTCGCGAGAAGGCAGCGTCCCTGGGGGCCCGTAATTGGGAGCAGGCCGACATTCCGAATGCGCTGCTCTTGGTGGTGCTGCGTTCAATTCTCTGTCGAGCTGACGCAGTTGTTTCTCCATCTCTTCGATTGAGGCCAAAGTGTCTTCCAGCGGACGATCCTCCGTGTTGCTGGATGGCACTCCAGATGACGGGCTCCCCGTCAGATCCCCGCTTGTTGATTTGGGGTAACCAGGCGATTGCGCACAGCCCTCCAGCGACATTACATCTGTGTCACCAGAGCTTGGACCGTTTGGCGTACCTATCCCTGGGAGACGCGGCCGCTCTCTGCACATTTTTGAGTTTCTTTTGCAGATTCCGGCAAACTGCCGAGCGGGTTTGACGCTGTTCCCCATCGACCTGGCAGCCTGCGTGGAACAGAGGGAATGCTGTACATACCACGTTCAAGCAGCACATGTGCAAATGGACGGTCACACTCGTGTTTTGCTTGTGCGCATGTGCACCGCAACCGAGTCTAACCTCAACCCCATGCACACGTGATTCGAGCTGGTTCGTCTGAAGGGGATGAAACGCGTGCCCACTGCATGCGCCCAAGGCTTGAATACAATAATCGCTAGGATGTGGCGAGGTGATAATGTGCGGAACCTTTTCAGGCAATGCAAAGTTTCGCCAAGAGTAGCATTTCCATGTGTATCTCACCGTTCCTGTGTGCTCCAGACATCCTGAACATCCCAAATCTTGCGGGCGCTGCGATTTGACATGATTCACAGATGTGCACCTGCGTTCCCGGCTACTCATTCTGGTCTGTTGAGCCACCTTTTCCTTCGCGGTCCGCCTGTAAGATTGAATTTTGCGTTGCTGCGCCACAAGCTGCGACTCCAAGCGGCGAATATACCTGTCTTTCTGCAAATGCAAAAAGGGACCCGATGACACGAGAGGTTGCAAACACTTTCTGAGGAAGCTTCAGGACATTTTTTCCTACCAAGTACTCAATTGCCCGCGTTACCCAATGATTCAATTGCCCGAGTTCAGAAAACAAATTTCTTCTTCTTGTTAGGGACGCCTACAACTACAGAGCTTCAACAGTGTTGTGTCTTTTGCATGTAAAATACTGCAACGAAATGTGGGGCCATATTGATGCATCGGGTTCACGAAGTATTATTCTCACACGATTGTAACACAACGGACCTTGATTTGAATTAGCGGTGGCGCCTCTGATGCTCAGAGCGATCAAATGGTGTGGCGCCCCCCGTCATGGCCAAACCTATTGAGGGTGTATTAGGATCCCCTGATATTTCTGAGTTTGTTTTGCTTAATGCATGCCGCTGGACATCAGCGCTGATGAGAAACCAGCTTACCTTAACAACCAAATTTTCTCGCTTTTTCATCTGTTGAGTCAAGTACTTAAGCCTGCGAACCATTCCCAGCATTCGAGCCTGATTTTCGGAAGCCCCTTGGCGGGCTGTGTGGCGGCTAGTGGCAGCCTGCCGAGAAAGGTCGTGATTCGCGACTTGAAGGACTGAGACCTGCTGAGAGAGTCTGGACTCGCGCTGCTGAAGTCTGTCACGTTGTTGGCGAAGGGCTGCGATTTCGTTCAGGGCGGGCTTGATCTGAAAATCCACAACCCGATGATTGGCAATTCGGGCTACAAACTAAAGAAAAATGGATCACTTGTATGCTGCGAATTGCACACAACGTGTGGTGCAGATTCTCATGGATAGATTTTTTCATTAGAGCTATGCTTTCGCGCCTATTTCTGCCAGTTCTGTCCACACCACCTTCGGATGCAGCTCTGCGCCCAGGTTGCGGGCAGATCAATCAGGGCAACGAAGACGGCGTGACTCAATCAAATATTGTGTTTTCATTGCGCTTGGCGCATGAGAGGATATGCATTCGGCGTGTGGAATCCACCGGAACATGACTCCGCTAGGCACGCCAACATCTCTCCTTGCGGGCAACCTGACCAGCAGTATCCTGTGTTGTCATCGACGGGGACGATAAAGAACAAATATCATGAAGCTGCTCTGTTGCAAACATGTTGCTATTACATAGGGCATATACAATTGTACATTGTACCGCTGGCCACACCGTGACCCTACATTGCGTCCCTGCGTGGCACGGGACAATTACCTTTGCAAGTGCCGCTGGCTCTGGAATCGGAAAGTGCCTGGGGGGGCGCGATGTTGCAAGCACCTCTTCTGTGGCCAGCTCATCCAGGCAGCGCTGGCGGATGGCGTCCCTGACGGTGGGAGAGTCGCTTGCGCTGCACTCTTCAAGGCCTCGCACATACAGCTCCTGGGCGGAATGATTGAATCAAAGCTCCTGGCGGAACAGCGGAAGAATCTGGCGTGGCTCTGCAATAAGAAAGTGCACTTCTCTGGAGTTGGAGGGAAGAAGTCTTGTCACCCGCTTGTTGAATGTAGCAAGAGCGCTTACAAGCAAGTACGAAAGACCGAATGCCACATGACGGATGCGCATTGGCTGCCCATGCATGTACGCATCTTTTGTGTCAATAAAAGCCAAAACATTCTGTTGCAAGAAAAATTCTGAAGCAGGTATTTGCCAAAAGGCACATGCCTTTACGTCACCACTGCTCACCGCATCCCATCGTTTGGGCTTTGGAAGCAATGTTAATATTAGCCGACATTGAGAAATTCGGTTGAGTAATTCGCTGAACGACTGACAATACCGGTGAGCATTCATACAGACAAAACCTTTTTATAAGGTGCGGCTATCTGATATGCTTCTGGACCCTTCAGCCCTATTCAGACTGACTTTTGTTGCATTTTACCCTTGCATCCATTAGGAAGGAAGGGAACCAGGAAACCAATAGCTTATGCACGCACAAAGTGATACAGGTCGAATGGCGAATATTTTTCAATTGGAGCGTTTTAAAAATATTGTTTTTGTCCCCATTCTCACAATATGCAACTGGCCACCATATGAGATCGTAACCTACGTACATTCACCAAATGCCGACTGTATCGTTTGACTTGTCAGAAACCGCAAGGTACACACAGTACATTTCTCACGGCCTCATTGACAATGGAAGCAAAGGAGCTCTATTGCGAAAAGCAGAACTTCCAAGACACATTTCTATCTTAGCGCCCTTGCTCTGAAACGTGGACAGTTTGAGAAATTCTGGTACGCTACCTGAAGATCTGCCATCCTTCTTTCCAGGCGGTCGACCTTCTCGCGGTGCAGCTCCCTCTCCCCTTTCATCTGGATGATCTCCGAAGACATTCTTGCATTATCGCTTGCCAGGGCTTCGGACGCTTCAGCCACCTCTTCGAGCGTCGAAGCCTGCCTTTCGGCTCTTTCCTCAAGGCGCGCCACGCGATGGGCCGCGGCCGCCTGGGTACAGTTTTGGCGGGACGCGCAGAACTCCTCCGTCACGGCAACCTGATGGAAGAATCATCCTTTTTTCACCGTACCGCATTTTACCTTGCAAGGCGTTGTTCCAATGTAAAAATCTCCCCGAATGAACTGGCGCCAGGCTCCTCAGTTGAATGCAATGTCTCTAAGTGACCTAAGTCTTGAGTTGCACTCGGAAAGCTGCAAGTTACGCAGCCCCTGCTCTCCGCCGCACGCACTCCATATGCACCGCGAAACCGCGTTGTGAAAACAAACGACGCCGTACCTTGCATTGAAGCTCCGATACCACGCCCAACAGCCTCTTGATCTGCTTTCTCATGAGGTCATTTTGGGTAGCCAGGCAGGCCGCCCTCTCCTGCGCCCGAGCAAACTCCCAAATGCTCTCTTCGATGCCTGCCGGTGAATGAGGATTCATTCCAAACCTTTCTTCCATCCCCAGAGAAGTCTCCTGCTCTTGTTTCAGTAGCCACTGGAGGTGCTGCCGGCGGGCAGCTGAGCTGAAGAGCGCCTTCGACGGTTCTTCGTTCTCTCGCGGGGCAACTCTGCATGCGCCTGGGCATGGTGTGCGATGACAGCCAAAGGACAGCTTACTCGCTTTTCTGCCAGCGAATAAGATGATCAAGTTTTGTCTCACCTTGCCCTTTTGAGATCTTGTTGCTACCATGTTGGCGGATTTACGAGATCAGCGAACAAGTAGATTAACTCTACATTTTATGCTCAGCAGAATCTACTGCGCAAAAATACTTTCCGAGTTGTGCGTTAACAGGAAGAGCGCTTATCCTTTGCAAGGGCGAAGTGGTCTGTGCGATCAGCTGGCGTTGAAACGTAAGGACTTCGTATTTCCCTAATGTTTTGTCTGCACTAATGTTGGTTGCATTCTTTGGACAGGTCTATAATAGCATTGAATTGAATGACTTTTGAATGGGGAAAATGGCCCATTGGTGGGCTAGTGATCAGCTGGCTTTCTGAAAGCAATTTCAGACCCCTTGCATTTGCGATACCCACAAAAATAAAAAATCAATCGTGACTTGTGTGCTCACATTTCTTGACAAAATGTAAGGGACCGAACGCCGCGCTCTTTGCGTTTCCCCTAGATGAGAATTCTGCGATGATGATGGCTTCCGTGGGACAGCGCAGCACCTGGCAACGCTCTTCCGTGGCTTCGCCCCGCCCGCCCCCGATGGATGGGAAAATGCAGTTAACGGCCGCAACCCCCAAACAGCAACACACGTCATCCACAGTCCCTCGCACCTCCCAAACGCTCGCGGGGGTGGCGGCGCACCGGAGGTCACGACGGCGCGAGGGCTGTTTCAGGCGCCAGACGCGCTGTGCTTGGCCGCCCTCTGCCCACAGGCACAGAGCCAGGCACGGACCCTCTCGAGCCAACCCAGGAGGTCTCTCTTGACCCGTCAGAGGATCCTGTCTCAGGAATGCAGGCCCGTCCGTGCCAGTGCCGCGGGCCACCACTGCCGCGCTTTGGCACGGGGAGGCTCACCTTCAGACGCGGGGGCCATGCCTTGGCCCCGAACGGCAGGTCGCGGCTGCGCGGGAGGCTCCCCGCACCCGCAGGCCCGCCCCTGCCTGGCCCCTTCGCGTTCCCCCCGCCAGGTCGGCGGCGGTCTTGGAGGCGCGCTGGCCCGAGGCAAGTCGGACCTGACGTCTGCCGCCATCGTCTTGACGACCTTGCGGGCGTCCGCAGCGCGGCCCACGCTGCTAGTGGGCGGGAGACCTGGGGGCTGAGCGCCGGGATCCACGGCCGGTTTTTTGGGACCGCCGGCTTGTCGCCCGTGTTTAGGCCATCCTCAACCACATGCGTCGACGGTACAATACTAGCACACTCACATCGATGGGATTTGTGCCAGTACTGTACCGCGAGATTGCGGGTCCTTTTCTGTCGCAATGGTGGGGAGAGCTTTTCGTGAGGAAACACACACACACGCGCGCGGAAATTAGGTAATTATCAAATGTCTCACAATTTGTTGTCCGGCAATAATAGTCTTTGTCAAAACGAACGTCAACGTCAGCAATATGGCCTCGCCGCTCTCGTGCACATCAGGTCGGCGTGGGCCACAGGATATGCACTGCCAGACTTCTTTAACAGCTTCTTCCTGCGTTTGCGCTTGGCCAGGATCTGGACACCATCAGCACAACTCAATGCACACCTCAAAAGACAGAAAGCATTCAAAGATTTTCCGCCCTGTCGGGTGCCACGCAGCCCTTGAAATTGGCTAAACGACGGCATTCCCACCGCTCTTTATTCTTAGATTGGCCACAGTTCTTCGCGCACTCCATGTTCACGGCATGCCAGGCCACATGTGCTGGGCCATGCGCCTCCCAGTCACCATAAACAGAAGATTCGCCCGCCTCCTCAAGCCTCATAGTCTACGCATGTGTAGGTGGCTCGAAGTTTGACATTGATTCAAATCAAAATGCCACAGCTTTCGCCAGGTAGCCGGCACTTTGCACTAATTTACACAATATAAACTCACCGAATGAAATATAACAAGCCTGCCAAAGACGTGTTGGAAATCTTCGCTCCCCAATGTAACCAAGAACACATCTATTTGAATCGCCGATTCTTTTAAAGCGCCACGTATGACCGCACCCACGAAAGCCTCTGATGTAGCGTCAGTAAGTATCCCGTGCATGTCCTTGTAGCAAGATGATGTGTTTCGGCAATTCCGTCGCTTGATGCCCACCCAAAGAAGAATGACAATGTGGCACTCATTCCTCTTCATCCTTTCCAGCAGCAGGATGAAGCAATGGTCCCATTGGCATTCACGAATGACGGCCAACCCCTTGCCATGGCCAGGCTCAGCTTGAAAGAATCCCTCATGCGTATCTACCATACCCTTGTCAGCAAAGCAAACATCTTCTTGGTATCAAACCCGTGCGCGCTGCTTTGCTCCCCACACACGAGGTGCTGCCGACCCACAAGTTTAGGAATGAAATATTCACTAGGGCAAACCCGTGACCCCACAACTCCTCTAGCTAGAGGTTGTTCCCAAAGCCCCAAGATTCAGTTCACCAAGTTCCAGGAATGCCCTGAGGCATATCCACGCCACCGATGAGGTGACAGCAACCATCCCCACTATCAGTACCACTAGACCATGGCGCTCGGGCAGGCAGAAGCGAGCTGTCGCTGGGAATCTTTGGAGCAAGTACTGTGTGCGCGCAAGCGCTTCCATGCCATAAACAAGCGCAGTCGGCACCACAAACCCCAGCACGACCTGGATGAACGACACAACGAGCCAACAGGACTGCCCCGACGAAATTTCCTTGCTCGAATCTGCCTGTCCACCGGCCCCCATCATCAAGAAAGTGTTCACGCCCTCTTCGAGCAGTTTTGCAACGTGAGTGAAGCTGTAGGACCCTGTCCAGGCCTGGCAGTAATTGGGAGTGGCCCACAGCAGTGCAACCAGCAGGCTTGCGCTGTTCACGGCGGTATGCACCGGGAAGGGAAGCTGCAAGAGCAGCGGGGATATCATCAGCACTGTCAATGTGGACTTGCGGAGCAGCACATGGAAGAAAGTCCCGACATCTGCCATGTGTGGGTCCAGCATCGATGTGTACCTCGAGCTGAAAATGACGGACAGGAACCTAACACTTCCAACAACCACTAGCCGATGAGATCTGTATCGGTCTGACGACCTGTAGCTCTCCACTGCCGCCCATCCTACGAAAACCAGGAACACCACAAGAAAGCCGTCCACTTTGTGCGCTACGCCGGGGGCCTCGCCCTGAAGCTGTGCAAATTGGAGCGCCATGCAAGCAAAATACATCAGGGCATAGGCAAAGGCAAGGAAATCTCTGCCTTGCAGCAGGTTAGCCATCCTGGCGTTCCAAAACTCTGCTTCATAGTCAGTTTGGAAGAACTTCAGCCACCCATTCCAAGGGGCGCATCTCCGCTCCTCGATTCCAGTGCACCACTCCCTGCTGTCATGCTCCTGTTGTCTTCCAAGAGGGCCAATACCACAACACCCCTGGGCTGTTCTCTGTTTTCTGGTTCGCATCTGCCGTGGCTCAACTGGAACTTCTCCAGAGTCCAACATCACTTCCGATCGACGCCTGCCACAGGGTAGAACGAGAATGCACTTGCAAATAACATGTGTAATGCAGCTTCTAAATGCAGACATCGCAGTTGACACTCAATTTATCTCCCTTCCTGCAGCCATTTGTATAGTGTGGCTCATTTGGCAATGTTGCTGTTGTTGGGCCCAAATTAAACACGCAATAAATGACTGGCTTTGCATAACTCTTCCAGAAGGGAGGTGACACGTTGCATTCTCGAACAGTGAGCGCGCAGTGACTTGCGGTGCATTAACGTGCTGGTTGAATGAGGGCTTACACAACTTTCGTCTCTTGTTCCTTTGTGCAGGCGTCTTGTTCATTCGTGCAGACATCCCAGCCCCTAGTTTCTTCGATGCACTCAAATCACAGTTTCCACTACCTTTGTGTGGCACATTTTCGTTTAGGTGACATCAATTGACGACAATTGTGACTATCCGACGCATGTGGCGACACACCGCAGCGCCGATAGTTCCTGGAACATCCACGCTCTTTAACGTCAAGGACGAATGCTGGGGATGGATTGCACAGTACTTCAAAACCTGGAAGGATTGGGGTTGGCAGTTTTGTAATGACACGGCTTTGTCAGCAGTTAGTTTCGAGCGCTGTGCGGAATGCATGTGCAGCCGTGCAGCGGTTGCCCTGCATCAGGACCCCACTGGCGTCCCCAGCACGGATTGTCCAGCAGATGGGTGGACGAGGTCCCCTGATGAAAGCAAATGGCGCTCAGAGGGCAAACCACGGAAGCACACACAAGGGGGACAGTGACGGCTGATATGAGGCTCACTCAGCAACAGGACGTTGTTCATGTCCTCACGTTGTCGGGCGGTGTGGGTAACGGCAATGCGCTTTCTTGTGGGTCGATTGTTTCACGGGGGCGGCAACCTGGTCCAGAGACCATGGTTTCAGGTATCCTGAGCGCACTGAGACCTCAGTATGACGTGTGCACGTGCGCAGCAACACCTCTCAAGGGGTGGGGAGGCCAAACAGCCAACAGTGGGGAGAACCGAAGTCAAAGTTGGGGGGGCAAACTTTGCCTGCCCGTGAACCACAGTGCCGAACTCCGCGACGGCACATCGAGGACTGTGCCGATGACCATCAAGCCGGTGTCGATGCCACTCGCGAATCGACGATCCAAGGACCCAGCCAAACCCAAGGGAGCCAATCATCCGGTACAACGCCCTCACGTACACATTTACCTTCACGCACAGGCGGCTCCCTCGGTGCGCGGGTCACGCTGTATACTGTGATCGCCGCATCGTCTCGGCCAGGCACAACGGAGCTGACCACGCAGTACGGTACCTTCGCGTACAGGTTCCTCTGCACGTACATATAGCGCCTTTGTTCGAAAGTGGGCGAACACCACACCCGCGCGTGTGGGTTCCACGGGACCGACACCCCGCCGTTGATGGCCCTTACCCAGTGCACAATGGCGCTCGCACCACGTGACGCCGGTACCATCCCCGTTCGTATATCACCATCGTCATCTGCCCGCATTCGTGGGCCCGGATCACTATGGTTACCCTGGGGCCCGCGCGTCCGACGGGGGCCGTTGGCGGCGCCCCTTGCCCGACGGTGCGCCCACCTCCGCGGGCGCGGGGTGCCACCTGAAGACCCGCACAGCTGTGCGACGGGAGCGCAAGTAACGGTGGCCGAGCTTTCGGCGCAACTGTCCGCGCGCCGCCCTTCGCGGCGCTTGAGCGCGGGAGGCTTGCGGCTCACCGTCGGCCCCCGGCTCTCACACACCGACAAGGGAGTTCCCGGGAGGACCGGCCCGCACATCGGCTGAAACGCACGGTGGGAGGCGGTCCCGACGCGGGCGGCAGGCGCCGGATGGGGTTCGGGGACGTCGGCGATTGTATGCGGGCCTGGCGGGGCGGTTGACGCCATTGCAGTGCGAAAAACGGGCGCGCGGGACGGCTCTGCCGAGCGCCGGTTGTACAGGGTGCCGGGCGGTCGCGAACAGGCTCGCTGGGTTTGAATCAGGCGAAACGCGAAGCAACGAGTCGGAGATCAATTCCTAAACGCCCGCACGCTCGGCTGGAGAGGTCTCAGAGGCGCGATGGCGCCCGCGCGGGGGCTCGAGGAGGGCGCACGGATTGCTCCAAGCCGGGCGCAGCATCCAGGCGCCGCCGACCCGTCGCCGATGATCGCGGCGCGGCGAGCGTGCGACCGGCGCACTCGGGAAGATCGTTTGCTCTCAGAACGGCTGCCGACGCCACGAGGGGCAGAGAGAGGGAGCGCGGGACGGCGACCTACCTCAATGGCAAAGCGGCAGCTGCGGTGTCCCCAGGAGGGGCCGGTGGCGCTCGAAAGGAAGCGCGGGAAGGCCGTTGCGGAAAGCCAGACCTTGACCTGGGGGCCCCTGTCCACCGTGACCGGCGCCAGGGGGGTTCTTGCCTCCGGGCAGTTGGTGGCATACTGCCGCATGGGCCCCCTTTTAAAGAATGGGGGGGATTGACAATGTAGGCTTCGAGAGCGACAGCCGTGTGCTTGGGTGTTGATGGTACGCGCCGTCACATATGCGAAGGCCGTGTGTGACTTGGGCTATACAGCGAGGTTGTCGTTGGTGGTGCACAAACCTGCAACCAATTGGTTGCAAGCAATAGACATGCATCATCAACGATGCTGGTGATGGTTCACCATCAGCGGGAAAACTTACGCATCGAGGGGAGGAGGTGGATGTCAGCCTCCTATTCCGCCCGAGCAGAGCACTGTCCACGATTTGTTCCATGACAATGCAAGATGCTGCCACAAACCGCCACTGAGTTGTCATGCGTCTACACGCAGAAATTCAAAGTACTCGGCATAATCAAACCGCCACAACAATTGTTTCCAATTCCAGCACGCCGCATGTATACAAACAAACGATGCACAAGCGGCCTGTTTAAATGCCAGGAATTGCGGTTTTCCGAGCACTTCCAAATCAGTCCAGTGCATGGTAAGGAAAACAAGCCATGTCGAATTTCAAATTGGTACACTTATAGTCAAAACAGCTTTCTTTTTAAAAAGGCAGATCACCCCTTTCCCATTGGCGGCAATCCTTACGTTGATAACGCAGCAACACTACCCAATAGTACGACACACTATCAACATGTCTTCGAGGAAAGAAAACAGGCAGAGCGGCCGCGATTGCAGAGAGCAGCAAATGGGATGCTGGAAGCCGTGACAGACGATGCATCCATATGGGTGCAGTCCCAAAGGGTGCCAATCGATGTCCTTGAGGGGCACCGCTAAAGAATGAACGAATGAAGGTGGTTTAGAGTTAGTCAGAACCTGTTGCCTTTCATCAACGACGGTATGTCCCTCTTCTTAGTTAATGTTGGGTTTGTGCGAATTGTTTAACTTTTAACATCACAAAGGCTGGACACACACACCCATCACCTTAGCAATAAGAGAACTCTTCAGGATATGCCTAAAGCATACATGCATTGATTTGGTATATACCAAATTCGACACTATCAAATTCGGTGTCAGCGGAAGGTACTGAGACAGAGCGCTCCTTATAAGGAAGTGTTCGATGAAGCCACACAATGAAAAACCATTGCACTGCATGACTCACATATGTTATTGGTTCACGAACGGTGTCAACCGTATGTGCGGTACACATTGCATGGGATGGCTCGAGTAAGCCACCATTGCTGATGGAAACAGAAAGTGATAACACTCCTGAAAACGTTAGGGCTGCACTGCCCTGGGATTGAGCTCGAAGGCCGTGGCCAGTTTTTGCCGTTTCTGAGCGGCTTGCATTGCTATTCAATACCAGCACTGCCAGTGCGCTCGCGCTGCTGCCCAAAAGTGACCAACTTTCGTCGCTGCACAGCTTCTTCGAGGTTGAAAGAAGCATCTTTCGTATATTACTTCCTCCGTCCAAGAATAATTGTCCTCTATTTAAAGGATAAATTTCGTTACCTAAACCGCCTCAAAAGTACTAATAAAGGTCAGAATCGAAAAGATTGGGTCCTAGTACCCTTGACTACCAATTTTTGTGAAAAAAGACCTAACCCCACTACCTTTGATGGCCCCCTGAAATTGCCTAAGATTTGGCCCAAAACTGTGCATTCTGATTCGGCGTTCGTTGGAGATCCATGTGGTTCTGGGTCGTTCCCGCCCCCGGCATGCCAAACCAAAGTTGTGCTTACCATCGCAGCGAAGGGCAGCGTCCCTCTCGTGGTTTAGCGCTTGCCAAACACGCTCCACTGTGTTTGGATCCCCATCGAATAAGCCCGTTGTCACAGTATCGACGATGGCAGAAATCACTTCCCTCCCGGATCTCCGATGCAAGGACTTGCCACAAGCGGAAAAGGCAAACGCCCAGCACGCTCAAGCTTGGGCTCTGTGTGTGCTATCGTTCTAAGGCTGTGCTACAACTTTTCTCTAACATAGCACCTCGATTGATCTTTGAATCGAGGCCTTCGTGTGTGGCTGGGCCCACACTCCCAAAATTGGCACTACCGGCCAGCTTGTACGTGCAGTCTGCAACCCTTCCCAATCTGCATAGTCTCAACTTGTCAGAGAGACAAAAATGATTTATCTGACCGTTCGCATCGCGTTCCACCTTTTCAATTGTCGCGGCAAGGGTCGACTTTGCCATCCCCCAATCCAAGCCATTCCCCCAATCGTCCGCCATAGATTAGGGTGATGGCCATCACATTCCTTCGCACCTCTTCAAGAGGCTTGGGAGGCCTTGCACGGTATCGCTCACAGCAGCGATGGAGTTCCAAAGGTCACGGCCCAGAAATCTGGGCCGGGAATGCAACCCTGAACTGGTCAATCGATCTCGAATTAGGTCAGCGAAGCCACGGCGACTTCCATGATCAAGCCCACCAAGACATGTCATGTTTTCTGCCACTTTGCTTGTTCGCAGGGACCCCTCCAAGCTTGTGTCCAAACGGCATGGACAGTTTTTCACGGGCGGTCTTGTTTGGCCGCCGCAAAGTCGTGCTCCTCCCCATCGCGAAAACGGCTGTTTCGGTGACTTTGTTGAAAAACGGGTGGGTTTCTGGTGGGAGGACCCTACTACAAAGTGCTGCTAAATCCTCAATACTAAACGGATTGACCTGAAATTTTGACCGTATATTTCCAAAACATAGGCGTACCATTGGTATAAATTTCATTGGAAAATAAAATAACTGTGATAGAGATGTAGCAAAGTCATAGAGGACAATTAATCTTGGACGGAGGAAGTATATCGCTATGCTGTGGACAAGGCTGCCCTGACCCGTGGGGCTGATCTGTGCCCTGACCTCGCCGGCTTTTGGGGAGTTGCTACGACCAGTTGTGGCGCTCAGGGGGGCAGCTGCGAGAAGTTCCACAAGCGCGTTTGCATGCTTGACGGTCAATTGGATGTTTGCCACTCGTCTGCAATTTCCCTTGCCGCCGCTGCTATTTGTGGTCGTTGGTATCGTTGTGGCCAGTAGTTCTTCGTGAGGAGCCAGTTTGCGCGAAGGGCAACGCTTGTTCATTCAGCGCACCCTCAACTGACATGATGCTGAGGCTGTCGACGTTGCTCAGCTGCCCGCTCAGGGGTTGTTTGATTGCGCTGTTTCCAGGGATGACCGGCGGGATGGAACGCCATCATTAACAATACATTAAATGAATCGTCATGAAATCCATGGTTAGTCCTGATACTCCCACAGGGATGCACATGCATGCACGGAAGCTATAGGGCTTTAAGATGCCCTGACATAAATGCTGTACTTTTTTCGTTGGTGAGGGAGTCGTGTCAGCGGTCTGAGGGGAGCTGGCACCGAATCGACCTGTATAGCATGTGAAAATGTTTTCCCATCACTGCCATGTAGCCCTATGTGTGTCATGACCTTAGGGCACCACCAGAAAGAGATACGATTGGCTTGATGTGGCTTAGCATGCATGTCATACATGCATTTGCCTGTGTTGAAATTGAAAAAAACAGGATTGAAAGGAAAGATAAGAAAAAGAATGTTCCTGGAGGGTGGGAAGGATATGGGCTGGGAGCGTTGGACTTTTGTCTGGGTGGCATGCCGGGGATGCATGCAGACAGAAAAACACTAGATATCTGTCAGACAAGGGTGTCTTGGGGACCTGTCCACGCTAAAGCGTTGAATCGGACAACGCTAAAGATGTTATTTTAAAAGACATGGGATAGTGTAACATCAATGACGCAAGGCTTCGCCAAACAGGCCCCGGCCCCTTAGAATAATGGGCATGTGTTGTAACTACCAAGCCCAAAAATTTTACATTTCTGCGCAGCCACAATAGTGCACCGTAGGTCCCCACTTCATCTACTTTTGTATAGTACCTATATTCTCTGTATGGGCAGGAAGAAGAATAGAATACATTGGGGCAGATGCTGAGCGAGGGCGCTGGGAAGTGCCGCAAAATACGGTATCTTTTCATGCAATGCTTTGTTACCGCCGCTTGACCAATGGATGTAATGCACATGGGCTGCATGGTGAGCAAGGGGCCAAGTTCGGAGGAATGTTGTGATGGCCAACGACGCTGATCGGTATGGTAGGTCAGCAGAAACCACCCCCATCAAATCACGTGACGTTCAGTGACATGTCTTCCTCTAACTAGTACTTTAGGAGAAGACATCATCTTGGATTGCACTACAAATGCCTATGATCTGTGTCAGGAACTGTGAGATTTTGTCGGGATTTTGTGTGAACATGATTGGAAAGTATTCATCATTTGACTCTTTTTATTGTAATGGGCTGGTTTGTACGTCAAGAAAACAAGTAGAAATCAGGAAGTCAAGGCGTCATTTGGGGATCACTGATACGCTGAGAAAATGATATACATTAAATGTCTATAAAAAAAGCCTGTTGGTTTTAGTTTTGGTCACAAAGTAGTGAAGTGTTGTAAATTATGGGAGGGTTTCAGCCATTGAGCTGAGGGGTGTCTTGTACATTGGTGCCATGTTCAATGCGTTCAATCTGAGTGCGCATTGAGTAATCGGTTTGTGGCTGGGCCGCGTGTGAGATCAGAAGAGTGCTGCCCATTTAGAAGCGCCCACATGTGACCTTTTGGGTGGTCATGTCACCTTTTCGTCCTATAAAAGAGCCTTGTGCTCCCCTGGGGTCGCCAATCTACCGTTCGTTCGGGTTTGGGGTTTGGTGGTGCGGTGCTGATTGTCGTTGGGTGCCGTGTGAGGCGATCAGCTGTGTCACGTGGAAACTTGTTGGGGGGCAGAGGTGCTGGGTGAGCGCCAGCAGTTGTGCTTGTATTTTTGCCTTTTAGGCGCCTCAGAACCCAACATTCTGGTCTGAATCGTGTCCCTTGGCCCTGGCATGGCACCTCGCGGCATGCCGCACGCGTCCCCCTGCGCCTAGGGTGTTCTTGCCGCTCGCTCAGGTGGAAACCAAAGCGGAGGCTGCGCAGCTGTCACCAGAAAAAAAAGGCCAACTAACACGTGTTTAAACTTGTACAGAGTTTACGTGTTTGGGTTACTTTCTTGTTTCAGCGTGCAGAACATTGATGAAATGCATTTCACATGTGTTAGCAAAAAGTGTTATTTGGTCCTTTCTTCGCTAGTGTGGCCGAACAGGCCGTGCGGCTCGCTGAAAAGCGCATCGTCGCCAAAACGCGTTGTAAAGAGCGCTGTGCGACGTGTGATGAGGTCGACGCACAGCCACACACGATTCTGTGCCGTAGAGGCGCATGATGCGGTTGAATCACGGCCGCGTGGCACGCTAGAATGCAACGAAAGGAGCGTACAGCTGCTTAGAAGCGGTGCGCTGTCCAGCAACCGTGGTGGTACACGATCCATGTCGACGCAGGGCAGGGTGCTGGCTTTCTGAGCACCGAATCGCTGCCTACGGTCGACGAAGACGTGTTTCTGCTCCATTTTTGTAAAATGGGTGGCTCACACGAACAGATGCCTAATCTATCAAGCTATCAATGTGCTGCTATTGTTTAACCGAAGTCACTTTGCACCCCTGCCATGTTGATCACCTGTGCCAGCGAAGCAGCACCAAGGAACCACTTTGAGCCTCCCCAATCCTTGTCCACTCGAGGCACTGCCAGATGCCGCATCACTGTCACATTAACGGATCTGAATTAATGGGATCCCGGTGTGGGTCACGATACTGCACATGTTCAGGCAATGGGATTCATTGGTGGTCCTGCACACAGGCCACGGGGGGACACTTTGCAGCTTGTTCGCTCCCACTGCACCCAAACAGTCATGTGGAAAACTATGAGGATGTCATACATTCGTTGGAAATTTATTGATGATCCACAAGAGCGCACGTTGTTGCCTCGACCTCGACCAGTGTCACATCTCCTCTGGCAGCCAGGCATCAAACACAAAAGGTGTTTGGCTGATCCTTGATGCAACGGCTCGGCAGCAATCGGCCCCTCTCGCATCGGCATTCATTGCGTGAGACTGTGTGATTAATGACGGACGTTGACAGGCCTGATCTAAGACAGAGTCAAGGATGGTGCCGAGGGGGTCTTCTTATTGGCTATGACGAACTCGCGTCACATTGCTGGTGAGGCGACAGCACCTCACTGTATTGCCGCAGATCATCTGCTACCGCTGTCCCCCTCACATGCTCTGTTGTCGCTCAAACCCCTTCAGCCATCTCTCCGCTGGCACCAGAATTCCTCCAAATTTCTCCAGCAGTTCCTCCCTGTGCGACTTCAGTATTTCCTTTGAGTCCTCAACCCATTTAAGAGCAGTTTGGGCGTTGGAAAGGAAACATTGCCTAAAACACCGATGCAACAGTTGGTGAATACTGAAATGGTCCAGGCATAAATCAGACATCTCATGCCGTTTCGTTAATGCGCCTGCGCATTGGGTGTGCCACACACAACTTCTGCGACAGCCATGGCGGCGAGCTCGTGGTCTTGGGTAGCTCTTTGGGAGAGGTGCGAGGGTGGGAGGCAGAGATGATGTTGCGGCCTTCAGGGCAGTTGCTCGGAGACGTGGCTGATAGTTGGGCTGTTAGCCACGGCAAGCAGTACTGCGCTACTGTGCGCGACGTGTGGCATCGCCCGGTTGTGGCTCCACGTTGTTCTGAGGATGCAGTCACAGTCAATGGTGGCGTTCTCAGACCATCGTATACAGCAGGTCTTTCATACCGAAGTAACTTCTCGGCACAGATGAGGCAAGAGCGCCTCATTATGCCAGGGAATTTTACCAGAGACTGATGCTGCATCCTGCTCCACTGACTTACCATTCAGGACAAGTGCGTATAAAAAGACTGGTGATTTGCACATTGTGGCGTCGTAGAGAATTGGCCCCACGCGATAAAACAGGGCAATGCTAGGAACCCATGAGCGAAACGCTCAGGAGCACACAGAAACTCCAAATTTATCTTGTCGAATGCACTCGCTACCTAAAGCCACACACCATCCACGATGTGGGCTCCGCATCCAGGGCAGCGCCCTATCTCGTCAAAACTTACATGGCATATCAGAGACAAAGCTGCAGGACCCATATGTGCCTGCAAGCTCACGAAGTAACAACCACCACCCCTCCTCCCTATTCTGTTTCATGTGCACTCGGCTTTCGAGTCTTCTTTCCCATTCGTTGTTCACGATCTTCCCGCTGCTTCCGCTTGACACCCTGCACAAGGAAGCAGCTCAGTGCGCTTTTCGGAAGAGCACCTCAAGGCTCAACACAGCAGGCAGGCTGTTAGTTAACACTGACAATTGATGCAGACTGTACTGGAGGCGAATGTGGAAGAAAGGAAAAGGTTTTGGATAATTTGTGCCCTGCACTGCTCAACGTGCCCCTCAGAGGTGGTCAAATGGTAGAAATGGCGATCGCATGAGTGGATGCTGCTCTCCATGCTGAGAAACGACAGCTGATACTTTTTGCACTGTTCCAGTTCATCAACAGAGCAGCAGCAAGGACAGCCCACGAGGGTGCATTTTGCTTCAGCAGCAGTGTCACAGTTTCAGATGCTGGGTGGACGTACCTTTGGCTTTGTAAGCGCCATGGAATCGACATCTTGTCTTGGAACATACACACGGCCAACCTTGTTGTGAAGTGTGTCGATATCCACATTCTTCTCCTGCGGGGAACAATGATACAGTTAGCATCTGTAAACAATGAAGCACTGGCAAATGGAGCAGAACCTATTATGATGCACTGAACCCTGCTCCCTTGCCCAAGCTTCACACACAGCAATACCTTCTTTTTAGTTTCCAGCCGCTTGTGCGCTTCTTTGGACAGATCAGCAGGGGCTTCCCTGAAACGGCGCACTTCCAAATGCATTCTTGGGCCTATTTCTTTGAGCTCCATTTGCGGAACCTGCTGACATGCACAAAGATGATGTTGCTGTTGCAATGTGCACTGTTGTGCTCAGCACACAATCCATATGTTGCCCAGCCCAAAGATAGTGTGACATATGCCACACCAGGCAACATACATACCCAGACATGTCATTAATCGCAAGTCCACAAATTCCGGGACGGGCAGCAGCTAGGAGCCAGCTGCACACTTGCAGACCTGAGTTCCAGATTTCTTGAGGTTGATCTGGCAGTGAACGAAGGCCAGTTTGTCATCTGCTGCAGCCATCACCACAACAGCCCTGTCCAGACCCATCACATTCAGCTGTTTCACAACCCGTCCTCGGAAGAAATCCAGGAGGATGTTCTTCACCAGCTTCAGCACAGGCACAGTCTCGAATTTGTCGCCAACGAACAGGAAGCTTGGCTGTACACACACAATGACTTCAGGCCGTTACCTATGCTCACGAGCTTTCACATCAAAGTGAAACTGTCAACCAACCATTGCCCACAAAATGCCTCACTAGCCTGTGGAATCAAGTGTAATCAGCACTATAGATTATGCTGGCAAAAGAAGCAACCAACTGTGATACATCAACTGGTGCACGAGCACTTTGTCTATGCAAGAGGCACAACAGCAATTTCGCACCTTCCCTCCCAATTGGCATCTTGCACATCCGAAGCTGCCCAATGACTTGAACCCCACTACTCCAAACTCCACCATGTCATAAAGATGATAGTTGTACATTCGCCCCAGGAGCAGGTTATGGGGCCTTTTCTTTGTGTGGTTGCCCACAGCAAAGAGTCCACAGTCTGTCTTCTTGCAGAAATGCTCCAGAGATGCCTCTCCACCAGCCTCAAAAGGTTTTACATCATCGTTCTTGCGAGTGTACTTCACTGACTCTTGCTGAATGGCAAGGAACAACAATTAGCACAAGCTCCAAAGAAGAGCATACACAGCACAAGAATTGGCATCGAGTGGGACTGTGAGACAGAGCCGCCACAAGTTCTGAACAATAAATATGCTCAACCTCATCAATCTACGGACATTCCTGACTGGCAAATAGGACAAGGTGAAACAAGCCGTGTTGAGGGGAGCTGCAAAAACACACCATCATACCCATTTCAGCTTGTGCAGGTCAGCCAGGACATCTTTGATGACTTGGCTGGTATTATGACCAAAGAGAAAGAGAGCCTTCTTCAGGACCTCAACCTGTGCGCACATGTACCACCCCAAAATCTGTTATCTAGGTCAAGCCCAAAATAGTGCCAAATGGCATTGTCATTGAGGTACAGCACCATCTTCAGGTAATGCTTGTCGCACATTGAAAGGGAACTCTGGTGCGCCACCTAACCCCAAGCAAACGAAAATTGCCAGTACAACAGGAGAGGTTGTTTTAGTGGCTCTGGGTGGCTGTTTTGGTGAGAATTCACCAGATTGACAAAACAAAACATCGACTCCATTCTACCAGCAAATGCCTATGAAAATGCCTGCTGAATGATGCTAGTAAGATAGATTTGGGTGTTCTGGCGACTTGATTTCCCAGGATTGATAGGGATTGTGGCAAAACAAAGCTGCAAAGGACGGTAATGGTTCTCTGCAGCCCTGTTTGCTGTACTGCCAGTCTGATCAACTTGCCCATTTTGCCCACATTTTAGAGCCTGTCATGTACAACATCATTTTGGCACGCAATCGTGATCTTGCAATTCCCTTGGGATCTTTGTCCAACACGCAGGACGGTTCCCAACGACTTCCGCGTCAGTGACCTTTGGCCCTCAACTGTTCACCCAAATCTACACCAACACAAGCGCTACTGCCCACCGCCTGAGGCTCCCGAGCGCGCAAGAGTCTTGCACCCTTCTTTGTTTTGGGCTTCTGAAGCCGCTGTTTCAGTTTGTCCGTCGTCATCCCGCGCGAGTTGTTCGCATGCCACGACGACGGCCTCCGTCCCCGCGCCCCAGCAGCTAGAGATGTCAGCCGACGGAGGTCAGCGGCGGCGGCTCAACACTTGCAACGGGTTCGCCGTTGTCCGTCTTTGCGCCGAGTGGGCGGGCTCCAAGCTTGCGGGTCGCCGCCACAGGCCGACGTCAACTGGTGCTACAAAACTACTGTGCACTAAATGGCACAGATGAAACGCTGTGCGCCTTAAATCCACGCTAAATGCGCGCTGAACGGACATGTCTTGAGGCGAGAGGCCTTGCGACACAGGCGGAACGGGGGACCAGCCTGGTGGAAAAGCGGAGTCCCGAACAACACCCACCGGACCCGTCATGAAGCGCCCAAGGGCTGAGCGCTCTGGCGCCGACGCGGACCCCGGCGAAGACCGCGCCAGCGCTCGCATCCGCGGAGACTCACTGCTGGGCCTTCAAGTGGGCGATGACGCGGAGGAGCACAGACGGGACGACGGCAGTCAGGTCGGGACCTTTGGCTGCGACTGGCGCCTTCCCTCCTGAGGTCGTCAGCTATCCGTATTCCTGGCTCGGCGGAGATTTGATGCAGCAGGCTGCGCGTGCGTTTGTTGGCGGTTGGGCTGTGCCTCGATTTGCCGCTCTTGGGCAAGATTTGTTACAAAAAGAGAAATAAACAGGTCATACAAAGGGCAACCCCTCCCAGGCAAGTGTATGCGAGGTTCATTTCAATGATGTGAAAGATGATATAAAGCTTCCGACGCGAAAAGATGCCGCCATCGGGCGGAAGAATGTTGACGCTTGTGCGCGGCGCCGCAGCTGGCGGATGCGCCGTTCGAGGTGTGCGAGGAGCTTCAGAGCGCGGGGCACAAGCCGTTCAGGGAGGCGGCGCGCGTGAAGGACAAACGCGTGTTCAAGAGAGGGACCAAGAACCAGCCGATGGAGATGTCGTCAAAACGGCCTGTTCCGAGGCTCAGGGTGGCGGAGGGGGGGCCTGGAAAGTAGGGAACTGCGATGTGGGCCTGCTGATGTGCGTCGATGGGCATGCACAGCATCTCTGGGAATTGGCGTTGGGTACCCGAAGTGCACAACATGGTTGTTGGCTGCTTAAAGAACCACTGCGAAGTTGAACTGCATTTGGAATGTTATTTGACTAGCAGCGTCAACATATTGCGGTTAAGGGGAGCAGGAACACATCAACATGCTACAAATACCCACAGGAGACAGACAGGATTGTGCATTAGATTTATGCAGTTCATTGTGGCGATTGAAATTTCAACAATCTGTTGTTTATAGTCAAAATTTGATTGACGGTAAATCGCGATTGTGGCCTGAATGACGGGCGCCGGACGCTAATACCATTTGTGGGTAGACTACCAAAGAACAGTTGGCACGTTTTGATCCATCTCGTGTTTTTTGGCATATTTTGCGATGGGTGATCAAACAAGGTTTCAGAAAGTTGTGAATTTCGTTGGTTTCATTCTGCGGGTTGTCTAGCATCATCCACCGGCCCATGTTGCTCCAAATGTGTTCTGATGTGGTGCGTTGCGGTGTTTGGTGTGTCCTGCATCATGTTGGTTGCCTATTTTTCGTTCTTTTAGCTTCTAGCAGGCAAGTTTGCTCAATTCAAGTGGTAAGCTTAGAAACCGTTTATATTTTTGGGTTTCTGCTGACACAGGACAGAGACAACACATTGTTAGACTCTGAATGTGATCATCCATGCGACCCGACTAGAAATTGCCCGGTCTCAGTGCCACTGCTGCTGCTGTGCTTCAGGCGCTCTTGTGACCCTCGTTTCGAGACTTTGTGTGGTGAATTCAGCATGGACCGCTTTAGAAAGCAGTATAACTTTCTTTACGACGAGTGGATGCCTCAAGAGAGTCAGCAAATCAAGAAGAAGATAAAGGTCAGCTCTCTTGCACAAATCCGCATTTCCGATTGCCCATGTCAAAGTCTTGCAAAGCGATGTTCTTGTTCCTAGTTGTTTGGTGCAAACTGCTTGCTTCCACCAAGCAGATGATTGGTGCTCCCTTCTTGTGCATGCTCACCGCTGACGTTGGGCGGCATCAAATGTATCAACACGGCACACTCAAGAGCTCCCAAAGTAGGGATGAATGTGTTGGCTGCTCGGACGTGCAGAAATGTCGCAACACAGAACGGAAGAATGCATTGAAGGCAAATTACGCACAGCTACTACAGCAAATAAGAGACGAAGAGGCAAGGAAAGACAGGGAAGCATGGGAGCATGAATGGAAGGTGGGTGGATCAGTATTGTGTCCATGTCAAGGTGGGTTTCTGAACAGAGTGAAACATATGCGTGTTGAGACCCCTTGTGAATGGATATGCGCTGCTGTGCAGACGTCAATCCATAGCTTAGTGGCTGCATGTATGGAGCCTTCCGGCAAGGCCATTGTATTTGCCCATGGGTATCAATCATGCACAACACACTGGTGCTTGTGGCACCCTCACCCCCAGAATTTGAAAGGTAGCCTGATTGAAGGCCACGAAGTTCATACACAGAGCTAAGGCGTGTCGTTGTTGTTCATTGGCTCTCATCTCTTTGCTCTTCCCTGTGTTGCAGGCCAAGGAGAAGGAGGCTGTGAAAGCGGGAAAGAAGCCTTACTACCTCAAGGAGAGCGAAAAGGTGAAAATGGACCTTGTGCAGAAGTACAATCGCCTGAAGGAACAGGGTGGACTGGAGAAGTTCATGAAAAAGAGGAGAAAGCGTGCTGCTGCAAAGGAACAACTTGCCAACAGGAAAAGGAAAGGGGCCCCAAAGCGACGAAGCTAGCATCGCCACCTGCCGGAATGGGCTTCCAGTGGCTCTGTGGGTGTGTTGGCTGTCAATGCAGCGACGTCTCTTATTGTGTGTCCCGCACTGACAGTCATTGACCCATCTTGGGGAAGTGATCACTACGAAAGTTGGCGATATGGGCACAGTACAAATGTGAGCAGGAATGAATTTTGGTGCTGTATGGCTGCTTGGCCTTGTTGCTGCTCCTACTTTCCCCTCGAAATCATGCAGTGGGGGGATCAGCATGTCTACAGCAGCATGCCACTCGTTGTCATGACGGCCTTAATATGTGTCGTTGTGCCCTTGGCAGACTGGCACATGAGGTTGCCTGCTTGGGGGCCCTTTGTGCCTAGCGATTCTAATTTGGGGATGATGCTGTTTCCAGCGATCGAAATCTGATTGTGAAAAAGCGGTGTCTATTGCGCTGTGGTGCCCAGGACTGAGAAGAGAACCCAAACCTACTGCAAGCATCAAGTTCTTGGGCTGTAGCTAGACAGGCTGTCAATACGGCTTCTCGGAGAGCTGCCAACTTGGCCACTCCCTTCCTGGGTTGCAATAACATTATGTACTTCAATACACAAAGTATACACGAAGTATATACCAATAATAATTGTTAATAATAATTGGTGGTCATTGCCAACAACGACAGACCATCTTGCTGCTGCACAAGATCGCGCACCGATGTGGTGTAGCTGTTGCGCACACAAAGTCGTTTGTGGAACGATGCCCCATGTGCAAAGTTTGGAGCGGGGATCTGTGCAGAAGTCGATGGCAGTCGCCGGTGGCCTGTAGCCATGGATGGCTGCAGATCGGCAGATCCATTGACATAATGGCGATTTGTGTGACTGCAGCTGTTTCGCTGCCTCGATGCACAATCCAGCAGTAGATCGCCTCACAGCACACAGAACGTTGCATCGCACAATTAGGAAGATTGTTCGACGTTTTCTTCTGCTCAAATATGGTTTCCCAGAGTCCTGAGACGACCATTGCATCAACATTATCTCAAACGTGCTTTACACACCGCGACCAGCAGCGTTCTCAGCACACACATACACACGCAGTTTTTTTTGATCAGTTTTTGAAGACCATTCAACAGCACTGCCGTTGGACCTGCAAGGCGACGACGGGTGCTGATGAATACACCGCAGTTCAGAGTTCAGGGTGCAACAATTCACAGTTGCCCTGAGCTAGGCGCTTTGTAAAGTGCGGAGCCTTTTGGGGGACGAGCGCGCAGAGTTCCCAAACCTCAGCTGTTCCAGCGGCTTATGGACTGGTGACAGCTCGGCCAAGTGGCATTTCAGCCCAGTTATCGTATCCTGTCAGAAGCAAAAGAAAGCTGCTGCGCGCCAATCCGTGACGCGGGGTACTGAAGCGATATGACTTGAACTACGGCCTCGTGCCTGGCGCCCCACCCTCCGGGCCGGCCAATTAGTTGGCCACAATATTGCGGCAAGTTCATCCCCACGTGGGCAACCACGGTTTTGCGTCTTTGGGAATGAAGTTGTTCACATCGAGAGCTGACATGACAAGCGGCCACCGACGCTCACCTTCGGATGGTCACCCTCTACATGCAGGTTCCGCGTCCTACACGCCGCGCTGTCCTCACCAGCAGGACTCCAGCCGCCAAGATGCACCTCCGCCGCGCCCGCCACCTCCCGGGCCCCTGCCCCGTCCGCGCCCACCCGCGTTGCCCCAAGCAACGCCAGTCTTCCCGCTTCCGCCCGCCTGCAATTGTGGCGGCATCCGCTCGAGCAGCCCAGGACCGCGCGCCGCGCGTGCTGTTTGCCGCCGGCGGCTCCGGCGGCCACGTGACGCCGGCGCTGGCAGTGGCGGAGGAGCTCGCGGCGGGGGGGGTGCAGGTGAAGGCACTCCACAGGCGAATGGCTCGCTGTACACAGGCGCCAATGCGAATCCCCCCCCCCCCCGGGGTACCTGCTTTGGGATGCGCGTAATTTTTGCAGCGTTGGCCCTTGTCGGCACCCCGGGGAGGCGGCCGTGGTGGAATGGGGGCTGCCGATGGATTGCCCGGTGGCTGCATCGGCGGCGTCGGGATGAACCCCGCACCCGCCCAGCCGATGGCGTTTCTGGCGGGGCCCTAAGGCCCATCCCCAAGCACAGTATCTGTTCCGCTCGCACACTCGCGTGCTTCCAAGGCGACCCCTGCCAAGGAAACCTTCTCGCGTGAGCGTAGCACCCTGTACAAAGCACCAGACTCTGCCCCTCATGGAAGGCGGATGCCGAAGTGGCCGCCTTCAAAGTCCAGTATCGAAGGCGCCAATGACGCCAGTCGAATGCGTTCCAGTCGTTGCCGGTAAGGAAAAATGCCGCCCCATTATCGGATCCGCTCACCGATGGGCCGGGGGATATTTCGTTGAGCCCCGTCCCCCCACCGTTGTCGTCCCAGCAGGTGTCCTTTGCTGGTGTGAGCAACCGCATAGAGGTCGAACTCGTTCCCAACGCCGGCTACGCGCTGCACGCCATCCACGCCGTGCCAGTAGCGCGGCCCTTGGCGTCCCTGCACAACCTCATCCTGCCGTTCAGGTGGCCGGACGTCTCTCGACCTAACTGCGGTTGCCGCTAGCGCGCCCACCGCGTCACCTTTCAGAATCCCTCGACTAACTGGTGTGGAATGGCGCCCAGATTGTGGCTAAATGCATAACATACGAGCGTAGGTAGGAACAAAAGATGCGGCGCAATATAGCTTGCATTAAATAAGTTTAAATCAAATTATCAATACATCTTGTGGCCTCGATTATTTAGTGTACGACTTGGTGTGGTTGCAACGCCGTTTGCTTAACCAATGCGCGATTGCCGGTATTCCAGTATTGCGTATTGCATAAGCACGAGCAGAAACTATGCCAAATGCACTTTCTTTCCAGGCGTCCCCGCGGTGCCCCACATGCCATATGACACAGTGATGACGGTCGTTGACAGTGTTTGACATGAAACTAGTTGATGCTCTATCAACGTTCCGATGTTCCAGGGAGAATGTCGCTGTCCCGAAGCGCTCCGCCCTCCAGCAGGACGCTTTTCATTTTTGCATCAACCGTCCGGAGGAATGAATGAAGCGACGATCAGTTAACTCAGTCACCTAGCAACAACTTCTGATCCCGTTTCTGGGACTGTCGCATGGAATGAGCCTTGTCTTGGTAACACTTGCTGAGAGTCAGCTTGAGCGTATTGATTGTCTTGTGTCCGATGACAGTTCATGAGCTCTGTGCCTGGTATTTGCATGTAACGAGTTGCATGTTTCAAGCAAATATTTTCGAGCCTGAACTTTTTGGTTACCCTGGAATTCACGAATTTAGTTTTTGTAATGGGCATCTACTCTGTCGTCGTTGGATTATCGCAGTGCATTTCGTTCTTGCTGAACGAATCATGGACACTGCATTTCTTGGGCGAAAGAGGATCTGATGGCTACCTCCTCTCCTCGATATTGCGTACATTGCCTTCTTGAACCACGATGTTGCAATATCATTGGAATTGCATGGCTTTTTCAGGCTTCTAGCAGGGCTGTGGACTGCATTCATGCTGGTCCGGCGACTGAAACCGGATGTGGTGGTTGGAACGGGGGGTCATGTGTCGTTTCCAAGCTGCGCGCTCGCTATCCTGCAGGTCCGTCGGAGTCATTCCTATGAAAGCCTCGCTGCAACGAAAAAGAGTCTGTTTTCGAAATTACAGTGGCATGCATCACATGGTTGCTGACGACATGTGTGCACCAGTAACCCGTGGGACTTTCTGCAAGCACAGGTTGGTTTTGCCACGCCTGTTATCTCACATTAGGGGCGGGGGGTTAAATGTCTCTTTTGGTACACGCAACTTCATCGCTAGTACCCAGTCGTCTTGTGAGTGCAAGGGGATGGAGCATCAATGCAAACCGTGCCATCAGCGCCCTTTGCAATTCTCGAATATTCTACTGTGCAGAAAAGGCTGCATGACAAATCGGTGTGCACATCTTGTTGTATGGTGATCAACAGCCTGGAAGATCTACCTTGCTGCGTTGGACCCCACTGATGGAAACGAACTTTATTCGTCACGGCATATATACTGAACTCTACTCTGCTGTCGTGGTGATGTCCTCTCCCCATTGTGTTTTTGAAACACCAGCACAACATTTTCTAATCCCCTACTGGAATGTCCTGGTGCGTTCTAGGGGATCCCTGTGGTACTGATCGAGCCCAATGCGTATCCTGGACTTGCAAACCGAGTGCTGGGGATCGCCGCAACTTGTGTGTGTACGTCGTTCTTTGATGTAGCCGCGTCGTTTCGAAATACCAGGTATTTTTCTATCCCACGCAGCTGACAGCTCCCTCTCTCGCTCGTTCGAGAACATGCACAACAGCTTTGGTCCCCAATTTCAATTTCATTTCAATTTTTCAATTTCATTTCAATTTTTCAATTTCATTTCAATTTTTCAATTTCATTTCATTCCATTTTCAATTTCATTAAAATAGAAAAATCCCTGCTCTGCGAATCGTCGCTAACTTTGTGGTGTAGCACACAGTTCCGGATGCCGCGCAGCACTGAGCAATTTTCAAAATGCATCTGTTAATGGTTTCTTTGCTTGGCGCCGAGCACCACTGGAAAAAGATGCAAATGGCGCCATCAGATCTTCAATCAAGCAGCATGTGGTGTTCAAAATATTGGGCGTTGGAGAGAATCTTCTGGAAGAATGTTGCGACTGTGTGCGCACCGCAGAGTAATGAAAACGGGGACACCGCTCCCTGCGTCTATTGACGACACCCGCAATTGCGCAGTTGCTGGGGAGATCAGCAACCGCCTCCTCTGCGTGCTGGGAGGCTCGCAAGGGTCAGATGGGATAAACCAAGTGATGAAGGACACAGTCCATGGGATTCTGGCAGAGACAGGTTCGGTCATTGAAAACCCTCACAATGTGACGCCAGATGTTTGCCGGCGCACTGAAACCCATGTCGCTATGCACCGCCGCGGTGCAACATGATGCCATGCCGTGAACAGGGCAACATGCCCGTTGAAAGCAGAGAAAGCTCAAGATTGCGTGCATTTCTGCCAACGTGCCAGGTGCGCGCGTTTTGTGGCAGACTGGGAGTCGACACTTTTCACACATCGCTGGGGAGGTCCCGCGGCACAACAGGTGTGGTCCGGAAAGACTCCAGAGATTCATTTTCTACTTTGCTGGGGGAAGAGGTGCGAGGATCTCTAGTCGAATCCGCCGCCATGGCCACCAATTGCGTGCATTGAATAAACGTCCTCGAAAGGACGCCGTGGGTGGAAAAGCAGTAACTTGTCCTTGTTTTGTACATGAAACACACGGATTGAACACAACGCAATACGAACCAATGCGCTGTGTGGGTGAGGAGAGTTGCGTCGGTTATTGCCATCAACTTGTCGCCTGCATAACGCGAGTGTGCACAGAAGGTTTAGAGCCCTCAGCAAGTTCGCCGTTGTTATTACTTCAACTTCTCGAAGAGTCCCAATGGATATGGCGTCCAGAGACCTGGAATGCGCTATCCAACCGGAAAAAGTAGGACCGAACAGATGCAAGGCGAAGCAGGGCAAAGATACTTTTGTCATTCCCGTGTACCTCATAAACGATGAATGCTTTATGCACACATATGTGCCACATGCTAAAGCGTGTAAACGTTGCTTTCTAGGTGACTGTGACTGTGGCTCCCTGAGAACAATCGCAACTGTGTGCTGAATTGACATGAAGTGCATGGTTTCAGATTGACCATCGTGCCATATGTAGACGACATGCAGAAGGTGTATCGGGAGGCAGCGCTGGTTGTGAGCCAAGCCGGCGCCGTCACATGCGCAGAGCTGCTGGTCACTGGGACGCCGTCCCTGCTGGTGCCGGGGGCGATGGTCGCCGACGACCACCAGACCTTCAACGCGAAGAGGATGGCAGACATGGGTGAGAGCCACTCGCTGGATCACATTTGCCAAAACTTGGCAATGTACTGTCGTCCCACGTTCAAGATGACGACGAACATGATTCCATCGTGGAATGAATCCGAATGAATGTGCATGATGCACAGCGCTTGTTGGACTTGTCTCGGACAGAGATTTCCGACTTGGAAATGGATGCAGCACCATTTCCACACAGCACGTCCACACGGCACGTCCACACGCAGCGCATCCCAATCTGGAGCCAGCTTCAGTGCATGTTCATTTTTTTGCTGTAAGCATTGGTGGTTTAGCCTGGTTTGAAGCACTTCAATTCGGTTGCATCTGCTGGAGTGAGCCTCCTCCCGCACGTGCTACTGCAGAGGCTCGAGCTACAAAGCCTGGATGCGCCGAGCCAGTCTAGCATTCCGCGCTGGATTTCAAACACTGGGCGCCTTCATTTGCATTCTTCCTTCAACGTTCTGCTCATTGCATGAGCCCCCTACGCCTGCTCGCATCCCCCATACGGAGGCTGGCAGGACGACATGAACTCTCATGGTGCTCCATGCCCATCGCTTACGGCTCGCGATGCTGGGGAGCATGGCTACTGCCCGCATTGACCGACTACAGTGGCAGCGCGTCTGTCAAAACGTTGCTGCAAACAAAGACAAACGAGTACCCACCCTCGCAGCAAGTATTTGTCGGGCCCTTGGGCCCCGACCGATGCCCACGGAGCGTTTGAGACGCCACCCTGAGCGTTGCAACCAGCTGCCGGGTCCACATTCGCGAGCCGTCCTCCTAGGTTCTCCCTGCTCCTTAATTCTGCCACAGGGGCCGCTGAAACGATGCCGGAGGCGCAGCTCACTTCCGAGGCACTGTCGAGGCGCGTCAAATCGCTGCTGCAGGACTGGAGAAGATTGGCCAGGATGTCGAGGAGCGCGCGGGACGCCGCCCCGTCCCCCGGCGCCGCTTGCAGGGTTGCGGGAGTCGTCATGAAGGCAATGCGCCGTACCTGGGGACGTGACAGCCGGGGAATGGAGCAGCAGTGCAGCGAAGGGAGCGAGCTGTGTTGATGGTGTGTGCCGCTGTATTGAACGGGCACAACGAAGGATTCAAATACCACATGGGTCTTGGGTCTGACCACTGTCTTGAGGCCCGCCTGTTCCCTCCACCTGCCTGCATTTCGAGGAACATTTTAAAATTGAGATGGCGACGTTGTCGGAGGGGATTCACAGCGCAACTATTTCATTGGCTTGGACGCAGCGGCACTGGCAATTGGGCCCCACTTAGCAGTGCGAAATGGGGCCACGTAGGAAGGCTCCTCCCAGGCCTTTGCATGGGCATGAATGTGATGCTACCATGTTTCGTTGTGCAATGAACGAGGAGGGGTTGGCAGAGATGGGAATAGGTGAACGTCCAAAATCCACAGATGGGACAGATAGGGCAGAGGGCAAGCACACGGCTGGCCAACTAGGACTACATGTGAGACAATTGGGAGCACCTGCACTCACAGGACGCAGGGGCAAGAAGGGGCACGAGGCGTGGCGGCACGGAATGAATGGCTGCGGCAGCGCAGTGTTTTAAAACAACGCCGCCGCGCAGCTTGATGTGGCAAATTCAGCGTCAACTTCTGGATCGGACCCAATGCCAACTTCCACGGCGTGGGGCGCGGGGCGTGGGAAGGTGAGGTGGGGGGTCACACCTTGGATGGCGATCACATAATCTAATGCCAGCCCAAGGCATTGCAGTTGCACGCATCGATTCCACAATGCATCCACAACAATATCTATTGAAACACGCCTATGCCCGTACTATCCCAAACCGTCTGTGCTATAGCTAAACTTGTCGAAGCAGGTTCTCCTTCAGACTTCCCAGGCAAAAGCCCCATAACAGCTGGCCATCGTCTTGACAAAAAAGGGGCTTCACATTCCGGCTTGCACGCTGCGAGCACCCAAACTCCAAGTCCCACGCGCAACGTCATTTGCCTTTCTTGGTCCTGCAGGCAATTGAGGCTGGAATGCGCAACAAATCATGCGTAGCGGTTCCTGGATTCCCTGTACCCAATTTGAGGGCGACCACCTAAGCATGGCACACATATGTTTGCAATGAGGCCAAGATAATCTCTGAAAAACCACTGTCAGGGAGACAGCACACATGACTGCCACGGATATGCTAAACCATGAAGATGGAGTTCATTTCGCAGCCAACCGCACGTTGATGTAAATCCGTCGCTGGAACAACAGGCTGATCGGAAGCTTCTGTTTGTCGCAATTGTGTTCAAGCAAATGCCAATTTCGTCATCCAGATCCACAAAAGCACAAACCTGGACAACATTTGCAGGGGCGGAGAGCAGAAAACAAATCCCGTTTTTGGTGTCCCATTTCATGAGGGGTGCATGCAATGTTCAGGCATCAGGGTCTTCAGGCATTGCAAACAGCGACCCATCTACTTCAATACTGCCCGCAATGACGATTTTCAAAACCAACACAGCACCGGGGTCTCCAACAGTTTGTGGCAGTGTCTCTTTTCACGGCTGGAGCTGCTTATGTTCGCACGGGGCATCTGCACACAGTCTACAGACCATCATACTACAGTGGCTCCAATAATGATGTTTTCAAAACCATCCACAAGTTGAGCTCCTGCTTGCATCCTTGGACAACGAATGTCAGATGGCAGGTGTGACCTTTCCACAGCACTGTCAGATAGGCCATAATACAGATTGGCCAACCATGCGAAACAAGGATGGGTGCATCTGCTGTTCCTAAAGTAGTGCAAAAGATGCCAGCGAAACCATCACCTGACTGCAATCTTGGCTGTTCCAGCATGAGACCAGCACCAATGCCGGCCCCCCCAAGTGATGGGAGGTGCCTCCCTGCCTGCTGCATCCATTCTCGGTCGAACTGTGAAGCCTCCTCAGAGGTCATGTGATGCAGCGTATCAATGGTCTCCTCGCGCCCAGTAGCATCCCTTCTCCTTGTGATGGTTCTTTCCTGTGGGCCAACAGGGACGCCAACAAAGTCGTTGACTACATGAACAGTTTCAGAATATGCACTGAGGAACCACACATCTCCCTTTCTAGCATGCCTGGCCATCCTTCTCGACGTAGAATGTCGTTAAAGGCGCAACACCACAGAATGTCCTGCATCTTAGCACTGCAAATGTGTGCCAGCAGTGCACAGCAACCATGCACTTTTGGACGCTATGCAGCTGCCACAGTGCCTACCACACATGGTTCAAAGCCAGCCCCATCCACTGGACGTGGAAGGCCACTGCCACAAATGCACATGCACAATGCGTGTTGGACACATGTATGCTAGGGCATTATCACAAGGAAATTCCATTGAACGAGATCCAGCCTGCTATGTGAGGGATACTGCAAAATCTCATGGTGCCCTTGTCTAAAGTTTGCATACCTGAGCCACACTCAAGACCCGGCTCTCACAGATTTGAGGCATTGGACACACTTATCAAGGTTCTCTGGGGCTACAGGCCTGTAAAACACAGGCATGGGAGAATCACAGTCACAACTTTAAGCCATCGCCACATACCCGTTCCCTGATTCCCCTGGAAATCGATATCTCCTCCCTGCCTGATCGACCATCCTGGATGGTGGTCTGTGTTTCGCGAACCTGCAGAGATGAAGCACAGACATCAGTACCTTGGCATCCGTTCTACCATCGCCCCATCTTCTTGAGCAGTCAGCCCTGGGGAAGTGAACAATCTGTCCTTTCAAACAGTGTGACTCTGGAGATGGGAATAGGCTGAGCTGTGCAGAGGCCACACAGATGTAGGAGTTTCAACAGGTTGCAAACAGAGGACCAGGAATGGCACTCTATCATGTCGACCCTAGCATGAGTTTTGACTCTGTTGAAGCCCATCGCCCTTGTTGGATTTTTTTTTTCATGGCAGTTCCTGACTGGACAATGCATCGGCCGGTGGCAGGGCAACATTTTTTGGTTATGTTTATGGGGTGGCCTGAATCACATGCCACCCTGCTGGTGCCCATTCTTGAGGTGTTTTTAGATGGATAGACTTGAAACTCTCTGGGCACATGCTTGAAATGGTGGACACATATGTGGAGAAAGCATTGGACACTGGTGTGCCTGTGCCCTTGTATGGGACAAAGATATTCACCACCTACCCCGCCAGGGCCCATTCTTGAGGTGGTTGTGGATGAATAGACTTGGGTGGGGCCAAAGCTGCGGGAGGACGAGTTGCTGTAGCTGAACGTCGCCATGCCCGCATTGCCAAAAGTCGACAGCGACGGCACCATGTTGGGGCCCATCTCCATGTGGAAACCAGTGGACAGCGCATTACTGTCACCACGAGGCTGTCGTCGATCCCTCTGGCGACCAGACTGCTGTCTCCTCTGGCGGCCCTGGTGGCTGTAGACATAGTCATCTGCCATCTCACCATCAATTCCAAATCAGGTGACTTCAAGATTCGCAATGCTAGACCTGAAATTTGAGTTTTGAAATTTTACTGTGTGTGCAAACTGTTGATAACTGTGTGAAGAAGATCGGGTTCAAGGTTGGCAGACATTCCCAGCCCCAGTAGAACAAGTGTCGCTGACACCTGTGTGCCAGAGCACACAAGCCTACTAGGGCGTTGGAGCCTTGAAGGCCAGGGAACCCGCTCAGGAGTGGTTGCATTCAAGTGATGGTGAACAGACACAAATGGGGGACAACTGTGTCAGCTGCAGCCATGGATCTAAGGCCTGCAACAATAACCAGGTAGTTCCCCAGCAGTCCCCAGTCACCAATGGCTTCCCAGCTGAAACCGCCTCCACCAAACCCGTCGCTTTGTACCATCCGCTACCTCAGTATGGCAAGAGTGCCACAAGTGTTCTCGATCAGGCGCGTGCTGCCCAGCACATCATGTCCACCACAGGAGCAAAACGCACCCACCTTCGACCGGCTCTTCAACGATGGGCTCCGCGAGGCGCTGCCCCTCGTTCACATGCCCATCCTCCACTTCCTCGATGACGGGCCCCCGCGCCCGCTGGGGCCCACCTCGGCGGCGCTCGACCTGCGCAACGCCATCAGCTTCCACAAAAACGACCCCCGTTCGCACGATCGACGCCATGCTGCAGCCGCTCTGCAGCCAGAGCATGCGCCCAACGCCAAATAGCCACCGCGCTCGCTCCACTGCGGTCCCAACCATGCACCCTCGCGTCCACAGCCTCTCGCGCCGGCCGCCCCGAGATTACCCGCCCTGTCAAACAGCTGCCGCGCGGCCCAACGCGCTCAACGGGACCTTGTCGCAAAGCGAAACCGACGGCGCGCCCACCTGTCCGCCATGGTGGCCGAAGGGCGCCGGCGGGGCGCCCGCGAAGAACGGGTCGCTGAACGCCGACACCATCATCCTCTCCATCCGCTCGAAGGGGTCCTCCCCGAAGAAGTCCCTGAATGCGCTCCCGCGAAAAGACATTCCGGCCCAAGCACCGGGGGGCAGCACTGCGCGCCCGCCCTTGAGGTCGGCGGCGAAATCTTCAGAGGGTTGGGGTCGAATCTCGATGCCGGGGCGCGCGCGGCGGCCAGGGACGCCCGCAGACGTCCGGAGACGTCAGTCGCCGGGGCGACACGGGCAGAGGGTTTAGGGTGTGGCGGGGCCCGGTGCCAAATTGCAAACAACGCACGGGTTATTGTTGAGAGGGGAGCCAGCGGTGCCCGCCTGCCGTACTGGCGGCTTGCCAGCGGCATAAAATTACTCCCTGTTCTTGTTTGCTTAGATTCGATTCTTGTTTTCGGACACCCTAAACCCCAACTACTGATCCACGCACCGGGACTGGCCTTGTCAGCGGAATAAGAACCAATATATTATATAATATATTCTCCTTGCCAGCCACCCCACCACGTCCAGCAAAGTGTTGCTACGTCACATCAACCGGGTCCAGCATGAAATTACAAGCAGACGCTCTGTCTTTTCCGTGAAGATCCCTTCTTGTTTCGACCTAAACCCTAAACCTTAAAAACCCTAAAAACCCTAAAAACCCCCTGACCCACTGGCGCCTTGTCCGCGGAAGAAGAAGGGATCCTTGCGGAAAAGGTAGAGGGACCAGTATAGTTCCTCCGGGGCCCAGCACAGGCCGGGGTGAGATCTGTCCCTTCACGAAGTTGGGCACGTAGCTCCTCCAAACGGGCCAGGCCCTTGGGGCCTGCCGCGGAAGCCCAGTTCCTGGAACCTAACTCGGCGGGTTTTCCAGCGAACTCGCCGCAGAAAAACTTACTACAATGCCATAGTACCAGTACAGTAGTAGTACAAAAAAATAGTACAACAAAATGTACAAAAGTGCAAAAAAATATAGTACAAAAAATCGCCCAGTGGGGCCCCAGCCCGCCTCTTCGCCCGGTTCAGCCTGCAGCCCGTAGCAACGCGAGGGGCCGCCCGACTCTTCCGTCCAGCCCTCCTGCCTCGCCGCTGCGTGGGCGCGGTGACGATCAGGTCGGCCAAAGGCGGGCCGTAGGCCGATGGGTGCACAAGAGGAGGCCTACCAGAGCGAAAAGATACCCAGTGCTGCCCAAGATGAGGGGAGGGACCCGAATGAACAGGCGCCGGTCGATGGCGGCGAGACGGCCCACGATGCGGGCGACGCACGGGATGGGGAGCGGAAGGGCGGGGCCGGCAACGGGGAATGGGGTGCCGGGTTCAGCGGCCGGGCTGTGAGGGTGTACGCGGACGGTGAGGGCGGGCGGCGGCGTCGGACACTTGGGATCCATCGGGGAGCACCGCTGGCACGAGATGCGTGGAGGCGTGTGCGCGGCCCCTTGGGCGCCGAGGTTCGATGTCGCACAAAGTCGTGAGGGAAAAGGGGGTTGGGGGCGGGGATGGCGCCACAGGGCGGCTGCAGAAAGCGCGGATTGGTCATTGATTCGGTTTGTTGGTGCGTCCTGCGCGCGTCTCGGCCCTCGTGGCAGGTGTGGCCTCTGTTGTTTCGCCTGTCTCCCGACTGAGGGTTGCCGTGCGTCTGTGCCGCAGGGATTTTCGACTTGTTCCATTTCGGACACGCCCGAGCCCTCGAGCAGGCGAAGAAGCTGTGAGTGCCAATGAGACGGGTGGCGCCGCCTGCTGAGCTGTGCGAGCGAGTTTTTTCGCATCCTATGCACGTTACGCGGTGGCGCCTGGCCCGAAAATTGCCGCCCAACATTTTCGTTTGGGCTGCCTGGGGGAGGGAAAAGTTCTGAAGCTGCATGTGGCCGGTGTTGGAGGGATGCTGGTCGCCTCCGTGGCGAATGTTTTTTGCAAATGCACCTGAGCGCGCAGCGAACCGGAAAATGGGGGATGCGTACAAAAGTGCCGATTGGTGTGGCCAGGCAAGGTCCCCATCTGCACTGTGCATTGATGTAAGAAACAGCTTGCATCAGGCATTTCGGGCTGCTGCAGATGGTATTCGCTACTCTGAGGAGATGAAGCACAATAAGATTTTCTTTCAACAGAAAAGAAATGTATTGTGCAGCAGCACCCACGGGGGAAATCTGCCAAGTGAGGTGCGCGCTATGGTGCATCTTGTGGGAAGGTAACAGTCGATTCTCTAAAAGCATGCTCAAGTACAGAGCATCAGCGATTTAACCTTTCCGACTTGGGGTTTCAGTGTGAACATGTGTGGCCATGGGCTGGCTATGAAGATGTGAAGCTTTGAGGATATTTGGAAGGTATCTCAATGTGGTCTCTGTCGTTCAGATTCCCTCGGACGCACTTGATCGTTGGATGCTGCAGTGACAAGATGACACACAAGTACAAAGGGAAGACAGTAATGACTGAGGCAGAGAGATATGAGGCTCTGAGGCATTGCAGGTGACTACAACATCGATTGACACTCTGGGCCTTCATGATGGAGAAATGTAACAGCTGAGCCCCATTACAGATCTTGAATTGCCAATGTAGCAGAGCACAGAATTGCATATGGCCCGTGTATCCACCATGTTGCCAGCGACGCCACTGTACCACCCTTGTCACCAGCCAAGGAGATTGGTTCTTATCAAGATCAGGAGAACGATGTGGCACATATCTCCAAATAGTTGCCATGGTGCTGCACAGCATGTATCCAAGCAATTGTGATGGTGATGCAATTTATAGGTTTCAGTAAATTGTTGCTTTTCAGCAATTGGGCTATTGGAGACAATGCAGCAGGTTTGTTCGCAGCCTGATCATTGAACCCAACAAACAAACCAACTGAAACGGATAGCATTAGTCATGTTTGTCCTCTACTTGTTCCAAAATATGCCCTTGTTTCTTTCCTTGTTTTGCACAGTGTGTTGTGTTGCAATCGCATAGCATTATGCCACAATTGGTAAAAGTAGAGGATACCACCTTGCCAAGCCTATGAAAACACCAACCGGGTGTTTTTGTTGCATTCATGCTGTAGGTGGGTCGATCAGATTGTGAAAGACGCTCCCTGGGTTGTTACCCCTGAATTCATTGAGAAGTACAAGATCGACTATGTGGCACACGACGACCTGCCCTATGGGGATGCCAGTGGTCAAGCAAACGACGTCTACGAATTTGTAGGTGGCCTGTTTGTTCTGGGCTGTGCTACATACAACCCCACAAGTGCTAAACCGTCACTTGCTGTTTGGCTCCTTGGAAATAAACATTTCTTTGCATGGATGTGTTGCTATCGCTTTTGCCATCGTTTTCAGTATGTTGCATCACATCCTTGAGCTCAGGGCCCAAACTCAATCTAACAGAGGAGACGTTGGCTTTGTAGTACCTCACAAGGAACTTCAAGCCGCTGTAAAGCCAAATGATTGGGTGCATGAAAGTGATATCACAATCTCATAGAAGAGAGGTTCAACACTCTGGGGAACCACTGGTCAGAAGCCAGAGCAAATGACAATGGTCCATTTGTTCCAACTGTAAAAGTGTCTACATAGAATACTGACATCAGAACATAAAATGGCGCTATTCAGTGCTACTACATCTGCAGATAGGTTCACAACCTCGATCTCTATTCCCTTGTGTAGCAAGTGCTGTCTGCTGGTGCGAGTGTGTCTCAAGATGTTCATTGAAACCCTGATACACAAGTCATTGAAGAAGTCATTGATGGGTCATTGAGGAGTCATTGAATGGATTGCCCCTTCCTAAGCGGGTATGCAGCGGGCCCTGTTCTGCTTTGCAGCACTATAGGTGCCACCATCGACAAGAATAAAATGGAAAGTATGATGCGTGCACAGACAGACACTCCAGGGATGTTAGCAACAAACAACTCGACAATGTTTGTTCGCAATGCAGTGTAAGAACACAGCATTCATCCATCGACAACTTAAAAGGATAGAATCGTCCCACCTCGCCACTGTTCATCGCAGCAGTATAAGATCGCAGTATGTTGCGAGTGTGTGTTGTTGTTGGTTGTTGTTCATGACAGTGACATCGACAACTGAATGTCATGTCGCCTGCACGTCCAAACAATGCAGTATGTCCATGTCCAAGTGTGCGAGCCCATCGTGGGGCTAAGTATCCCTCAGGACCATCCAACAAGTGAACGAAACCAGGTCCCAAGGAATCAGTGCAGAGATCAAATATTGAAACAACCCTGCTGACAAGGTCCCACAGAAGCATTGTCTGTTGCTGTTTTGTCACTGCAACTTCAGTCAACAATCCAAGTATCTTGTCATTGACATTTCCTTTGTTTTACTATTTTGTCATCTTCTGTTTCATTTGGTGGGAGTTTGCTATTTAGTGGTACTTATTATGATTGTCTGCTGTGTTTGTTGTAGATATACCTCAAGCGTTTGTTGTTTGCCACAGGTAAAGAAGGCTGGCAAATTCAAAGCCACACAGCGGACAAATGGCGTCTCAACATCGGATCTTATTTTGAGGATTATTCGAGACTACAATGAGTATGTGCTAAGAAACCTAAACAAGGGCTATTCCCGGAAAGAGATGAACGTCAGTCTTTTCAGGGTACGGCCTCCTCAGTGTTATCCTCTCAGTTTAATTACGATTGGTTTTGGCCAGTGTTTTCAGCACTTCCAGCCACTTTAATCCCAACCTGAATCACTGAGCGTGGCAGACTGGTGGTGTCCAGTCTTTCTCGGAATTGTGTTGGGGCTTCCTGCAACAAGAATACTTTCAGCAGCTGCGGATGCACATGCAAGAGCATTGTGTGTGTGGTTCTGGTACTGCTGCAGCCATGACTAATTGCCATTTGCACACTGTTTAGTACCAACTTGATATGCACATTGACTACGTGGGGCACCACACGTCGTTCTAATGGGTGGTCTATATTTTGCCCTGCCATCATCTTGCTCCTCCCTTCAGATGGACCCTTTGTTGTTGTGCTAAGGTAAAGATGAAACATTTCTGAGGATGAACCATGTTGCGGAACATCGGCTGCCGGAAAGCACTGGTCGAATCTCAGTTCGCGATCTGAATTCTAATTTGTCGAGCGTATTTTGGGCTCTTTGTTCACTGGTGACATGATACAATTATAGTTTGCCTAGATGTGCCAGTACGGTAGTATGTACTATTTATACTACCTCCATCCCAAAAGTATTGTCGCTTCCGTAATCCTGCTATAACATTGCACGATCTACTGAATTAGTCAATCTGCCACCAGATTCCGATTCCTTGGTCGATTTTGGGCTGATGTGGATCTTGCTTATGTTAGTCATTGCCATACAGCAAGAAAGTCACAGCCTCTTCAAAAGTGTCCCTGTCCATCTCTATCAATGTCTCAATTCCCCGTAAGTTTGTGCTTACGTTATGCTCATGTCTGCCAGCCTATTTCCCCGGTAATATTCAACAACCTTCTTGCAGGCAATAAATGGGCAATACCGTAACCTTTCAAAAATTTTGGCATCGTTGCAATCATACTCTTTTTGGACCATCTCTTCTGCTATGCTGATGCATGTCTTTGAAATTCTCAATTTCTACGACTGGCCATGTTGGCACCAATCTCGGCCGTTTGGGATTTAGCGTCAGCATGTGCATCCTTCGTAAGCTTGGTGTGTCAGCTAGGTCAATGCTCTTGCACTAATCTAGGTGTCACTTGGCCTTGGCCACAATATACACACAATTCTTGTTGACGCCCACAAACTTGCAGCAACCCCGTATCTGTTGCCCTGCGGACTCTGCTTTGAATTTAGACGAATACCAAACCACCAGGTCAATCATCTTTCCTAGAGACAGCTCAGCTCGATCAACATCCTTTGAAGGGCAAGACGAGATTGCCATGCTGCTCCCCAGGTCTCGACAAAATGCAAAGTTAAACATATCAGCTCCTCACTTACCTCGAAAACGGCAGCTCCGTTGGCTATGGTAACTATTTTTTTCTGCGGCAGTGAAATTGTTCTTTTTTGCGACAATGGTGATAATTGATGTGCGAGACGTTGGCATCAGATTTGCCACACCAACCCAGCGCGATCCACGGGGCCTTCTCTCACAACGGCGCCGAAGGCGCGTCTGTTCCGAGGAACCGAATGGCGCCACGGGAGCGTTTGGGGACGCCCAGGGTCCCCACCTTGCGGAAGGGGGCCTGCCGCTGCCATTCGGCACTCACTTTGGCACTGAGATTCAGCCGAATTGGCTGAGGTTGGAGCCCCCCATTTCCTCCCAACCTCGATTTTTGCACTGGTGGCCTGCTGAAATGCGCGCAAATGGCCACGCGGGGAGACGCCGCCACCAACTGGGACCGGGGGGTGTTGCTCGTGACGCCGGACGGGGAGGTCAAGGCGCTGGTTGCCGGCGCCATTGCCGTCCAAGCATCAATCATCAAGGCGCCCACGCCCAGCGCCGTTGACTGGTCACACAACCAGTTTTAGCTGTCGGGTGGGGGCACGTCTTGTGAGCCACGACCTGTGGCGGGCTGCCACTGGTGGCATTTCAGCACTTCGCGCAACTTAGTGGCCAATTGGCGCCGCCCGGCCCTGTGCGTCACCCAGGCCCCAGACAAGCACAGCGTTGGCCCGTGAAGTTAGAGGAAGTAGAACAGCGATCCCTCGGGCTACAAACAACAGCGCCAGTGGCTGGTAGCGGCCGGTGGCAGGTGGCGGGTGGCGGGTCGGTTCAAAGGCCCCGCTGCCTTCCCAAGCTGTGCATTAGTTATATTCACCGTCGTAAAAAAGAATAGTCCAGGTCCACGGTCACAAAAAGAAATATTCACCGTTGGCTACGTTTGAAGGCTGTGCGGATAGCTCTCATGTATTCTCATGAATGAGCTTCATCAAAGTCGTTTTGGTCGAATTTTCTGACTCATACATTTCAACCTTCGTTTGCTCGAATTAGGGAAGCGACAATACTTTTGGGACAGAGGTAGCATGTATTATTAATGCATGCATGTATGTTGTATGCTGTGTCCGATGTAGCATTTCTCAATTATTTGCCGGATATGATGTCTGTGATATGCTGCCTGAGAAATGTCGTGGCAGAGGAGAAAGAGGTGAGAAGTGGAATAACAACAAGCTACAAAGAAAAGGCGTACGTGATGAAAAATATGGCATTAGGAAGATCGCAAAAGGAACACAAGACGACAGGAGCAGCGGATGCTGAAGGCGAAGCACAGGTGTCTGCCCTTCACTGGTTGGTAACTTCTGCTGCTTGGCTGGCTGCAGATGCAGCGCATTCGCGCCTCCCACAACTTGAAGGCATTTCGCCAGCACTTTCGCGAACAGCGCCTCATGCTGTCTAACCGCCTGGAGAAGCGCCTGAGGCTGCTCAACCAGGAGCTTTTCGACAGAAAGGCGAGGCAGCTGCTGGCGGACCGCCTGCGCCAAAACGGAGACGAGTTCGTGCAGAACCTGGAGACGGTCGTGAGCAAGGTCATCAAGGGAGACTACAGCCGGGGGATCCATGTGGCCACGATGCAGTTCGCCTTCAGCCTGGATCGCCTCGTCAGCGGCTTTATTCGCTCTTTCGAACAGGGATATTCGAATTTTGAGACGGCGATCAGGCAGACTGTGGAGTATGGCTTCCGCCGCAACAGTAGGCGGAAGAGGACGAGAGCGAGGGCCAGTTGATGCACGCGCCTTCGCCGGATCGACATTTGTGCATGGGGTGGAATGCGTGCATCCTTGGATGAGGGGCTGGAGTGGGAGGGTGTGCACAGCTTGCCATTTGGGCAATGTACGCAGGGTCTGTGGTTATGTTACTCTTTGGTGTTTATTCTGCCGGAGGCGTAACGTGTCGCAAGGAGTGCAGAACATGGCCTGTGGCCGTTTTTGGAACGTGTTTGGACTGCTGTTTGCAGTGGTGTAGGGTAGGAGTGGTTTAGGACAAGGGAGAGTGCAATAGGAGTGGCTTAGGACAAGGACGAGTGCAAATGACGGTCCCCGCTGGATGTGAGTACAGAAACTGCGTCAAGCAGGCTGGCTGCAGGCGGCGCCTGCTCCAGCTGTTTGGCTGGTGTGGATTGGCGATGGCGGAGCGGAGCGATTGTATCAAGATGGAGTGGTCGAGTGTGTGGGAACATGCCTGTGGCGTGGAGCATGTCTTAATGGGGTCATTTGAGCGATAAGGTTTGTGCTGGCGATGCGTGCCAGGTAACAATTGTGAGGGATACTGAGTAGGGTTCGATTTTCCACATCACGTGGGTCGCGCGGTGCTGACTGCTCGCGCCGTATTTGGTTTCAGAGGAAGGCGTACACGTGGGTGGAGTGTCGGGCAACGGGGTTTTGCAAATGGGGCGTGGGGACCTGTGCTGCTTGTAGTTAGTACCCTCTTTTCCTTGTCCAGCTGAACGAATCATTCGCTTGTGTACTGATACGCCTCGAGAACGTGCACAGCCCCCGGAACATACTTCAAAAACTACCACTGCGGCCAGTCGGACATTCGTCTCTTGAGGATTCCCCATGAGCCATCTGCCCCTGTCCCCTAGGAAACACCTGTGCTGAGGCGCTCTGCACCCGAGCAGAGGATATCCAAGGGAACAGGAGAAGATTCTCTGCACAGCAATGTCCAGAGTACAGCACAAATGTCCGATGCCCTTCATATCCAAACATGAAGCCATCAAGGCCATAAAGGTAGGAATGCGTGGGCATCATGAACGTTGTGAAGGTTGTTGAGCCATGCAGGTCGTGAAACAATGCAGGTCATGAAGTCATGAAGGTCATTTCGGTTGGTTTTAGGATGTTCAGTTTGTCTGAGATTTTTAGGGAATTAGGTCCCTAGTACTCTTCATGACCTTCATATCAAGTAATGATAGGTTTCGGACAATCCTCCGGTGCAGAGCACCAGTACTCCCACATCGTCCGCCAGGGGACAGAGGGATGGTCACAGCGAGTCCCCGAGGAACTGATAGCCGACCTCGTTGACAGCTACCTGGATGCCCATCAGAAGGTGCTATTGGCTCCTGGCAAGTTGTCAGTGACAATGAAATGCTGCCAGCACAGCGAAGTTCCTGAAAGACGGCGGCAAGCCGCCGGAGCATAGGAAGAGAATTTCCAGGCATGTCGCACTGAGAGGCAGTGACCTCAAGTTGGTATGAAGCCACCTGGACATTTTCTTCGTACAACACATGAAACAAGGCTTCCTTTCATAGGTCCAACGGGCGCTTTTGAGACCGAACATTGAGAATGCATAGCTCATTTGCGTGTCGTCCGGGCCTGTTCGCGAAAATATAATTAACTATCCTGTCAATGAGTTTCTGCCAAGGACGACGTTGGGTGGGCGTCCACCGGTCGTTCTGGGCCGGGGCTGCCTTTCTGGGGCATTTCACTGCCATCGTATACCAATTTCTGTCACCTTGTAACTGGGGTCAGTTCTTACCACCGGATCCAAGGGGCAACCGGGTGACCCAATCTGGGCGTAGACAAGGGGACCGGTCAAGCTTGCCCTTGGGTTTGGCAGGAGGTTTGGTAGCGAGTGGGAACGGCCATTTGGGCGTGACCCTCGGCACCCCCCTTTGTTTTGTTTCGCACCCACCCAGACCACCTTAGTAGAGCGAGTTTCGGTTAGTTGTGGGATTGAGAGGGAGTTGAGTACGAGAAAATGGGAGCCGACCCAGGGTTGAGTCACCATCAGTGTGGCGTTAAGTACCATGCGAAGCGAGGGGCACATTTCAAGTGGGTCGCCGATCGGGTCTTGCATTACTGAGGTGATGGACACCAGTACATTTGCGAGTGTAATGTCCTGTCGCGTGGGGAACACCGGGTGCAGGGGTGGGGGTTGGGGTGGGGGTGGGGTGGGTGGTGGTGGTGGGGAAGGAGACCGGTAAGGCAGAAAACAAAAGGACCAGGATTTACACAGACAAAGAGCTGCGACGCCGCCGCTGCCCACAGCCGCTAATCTATTTGGCACCGAATGCACCATATAGGCCATGCTGATTTCCGAACAGCACTACGCTAGGAGTCCAGTCATAATATTCAAGGCATTCGCCACAGAAGGGATCTGACAGCCCCCTCGTGGTGTACAAGGCCCATGCTATCAACACCATGTGCATTTCTGCACGTGCTTCCCCACAGGCCGACGCCCGCACACTACCACCAGCAGCCATGACCTTGCATCTCCATCTGCAACATAAGAACCAAACATCAACTCTTTTGTGAAATCCCATTACTGCAGCTGCCAAAACCCCACCATGACAAACCAAACCACTGCACCCAGCAGATGACGAAAGGCACAGAAAGACACAACACCTGTCGATCACTCAATGAATCCTTGGGGCATAAAGACGTGGCGCAACGGCAGCTGCCTCATGCTTTTGAAATTGGCGCTGCGTTAGACTACATGTGGACCACCCGTTAGACTACATAGACTCACATGCGCTAGACTACATCTGTGGCACAAAAGTTGCGCGATCGGCTTTAAGTTAGTGAAAGTGAGGAGCAGGGGTGTGTGATCATCGCATATCACGTTCCTTTGTTCTTAAAAAGAGAATCAGTGGTGCAGTGAATGTGAAACCTATGGAATGAGAAGGCGGATCATCTGCAGAACTGCCCACAACGCACCTGCAACCCTACCTGCAACCTGACAGAACCCTTCCGAAGTCAGTCCACATCTTAACGACAAAAAGCATAAGGGCTAGTTGAGGAAATCGTCATTGTCACAGGCTGTTCATGTGCATATCTTGGAATTGTGCATGAACGAATGGTATGTAAATGATATGAATATGATAAAAATGACTCTCCCAAAGCACAAAATAATTGGGAACAACAGAAAGTACATAGCCTGCAGAGTGCACACCAGGGGCTCCTTCACAAGTATTAGGGTGCTTGTTCTTGTGTATGATCGCCACGCATGTCCACTTTCCTGGAAAACCAGCACACAGCATATCACCCCTATATTCCACTACTGTTGCTATCAATTTACAAACCTGAACTTTAGGAATACTTGCTGCAATGCACTGCTCGAGTCCCACTGTCTTTGCTGGGAATTGACAAAGTGAAGGCCAGTGGTGCACTGCAGGTACTCACAAGGCAGTGCTTTGTCCTTGACAACAGTGCATGGAAGCTAAGCACAGCATGGTGTGCCAGACTGGAGCAATGGATACCAATGGGTGCACACAGAAGCACTGTATGGGACCATATTGCCGACTAAACTACTTCAGCATAGGAGCAACTTCCCACAGCAGTGGAAACTTACATGCAAACACAGCAGCTCAATCTACACTTGTATCAGCATGGGTTGGCATGGGTGACATGAATAAAAGGACCATTCTTTTCACTGATGGGCACTGCGTAGGAATCCCTCCCGAGGTAGCGATGGCTGACATTGCGGTACTTGATGTACAATATGAACCACAGCAGCAAGCATAACCTGATGCGAAACAGCATCTCCTTGACACACAATCCTTGAGCTTCTTTACTGCATGTTTCTTTTGGTTAGCCAAAAGGATGCAGGTGGGGCCCCAATATTCCTTCTCTCCAAAAATTGCACAACGTGAACGCACCTCCACATCTGTGGGTCCGTGTTAGGATCCCCCACATGTTGTGCCTTGGCTTGCACGAGCTCCTGCCTGGCCTTCCTTCGGGCCTCCTTTTCTTGTTGCCACCATCGCCCATGCTCAGTCTGAGTGCCCTGCTCCCAGTTCTTCGCGAGCGCGCCTTTGGCAGACCACTCCGCGATCCTCATCCAGGGCTGGACAGACAGACCAGCTGGGGGATCATACCTGCAGGCACCACAAAGCAACATCACCATGAAGCAACTCCTTCGATTCCACCCATTGCAGCCTGGCAAGCATTGCAAATGACACAGCGAGGCTATACAATGGCACTGCTGATTTTGTTTTTGCATGCTTCTCCACCACAGTACCACTGCTTGTTGCAATCTGAGTTTGCATATTTGTGCCTTGCACTCGAAGACAGGTATCATCACATTCTCAAGACTGCTCACTACCAGAGCAGCAATACTTGTGGCCCTGCATAAACTAGACTCAAGATGCAGGAGAGCACTTTGTTTTGGAGAAAAATATACCAAATGCATGTCTCAACAACAAGGCAACGACTTTTCCACAATAAGTGTGCAAATGGAGCCATCTTGACCGCCGAGGGCACCGGAATTGGGTTGGGGAGTTTTGAAGATATGAGCTCTGGCTATGAACAATTGCTGGGTGTGCTGGATATGCCCCAGCTGCCCTGTTCACATTGTGGTTTTCGGACTTTTAACAACTCTGCTCGTGAGTGCTCATTTGCACTTCAATGTTTCATACCATCTTCCCAAGCACTGAGATGAGGCACGCAAACGAAAGGAAAAGTAAACACACAAGTAACGGGCAGTTCCCACTCTGAATAAGGAAGGACAATTTCCAGTGGCAGACACAAGCAGGCAAAACAGCGAAAACACAGCAGGCACCTCATGCACATGGAAAACAGACAGCCGCCAAGCAGAACCTGATGGCTACAGCAACAAGGAGGACCAGGAGCACGGATATGAGACTCCAAACACGGAGGCACAAAGATTTTTCGTGTGGGGGCACCGGAACCTCAACATTGAGAACCTGTCGCAGCTGCAGTGGCCCAGACAAGGCGGTGTATGCCACTTCCAATACAGAATGCTTTTCGTGCTCAAACTGCAGCCAACCGTTCCCATTGCTGCAGCACGGAAAAACGTCCAGACTGTCGCAGTCAGGTGGGAACTGCCCGCAAACATCATGTGTTCACTTCCCCATTGTTAATGGAGCCGTCTCGTTTGTGCCCTCTTCTCGCGACACCATCTTCACGGCATTTCGAAAACGGTCCATAACGCCCAAGCTCCCATGCTGAAATGCCCACCGGCAACCACCAGGGCCCAAGATGGCGACACGGCACGGAACGTCGCGACGAAATCCCTGCGCCCCCCGGCCTCCGTTTGAGACGGCAACAGGTCACATAAACATGAGACCATGTGCAGCAGTCTGAACACGAGGACGACACATCACAACACCTGCTGAGAGAGAGAGTGCCATGAAACTGCGGAACTCGAGCCCCCAGCAATCCCGTGCTCACGAGCACGCCTTACGTTTCCACGAACTGCCGCAGAGTGCCCAGCAGCCCCGGCGACCATTGCCGCGCGGTTCCCGCCGCTCACGAAGATTGTCTTCCCAGCCGCAAACGTAACGCCGCACGACGCGCGCCCACCTCCCGGCCAACCCGCCCGGTCAACCCTTCCCCACATTCCAAGAGCCCCAGCGCCAAAGCCCGACGACCACCGGGACCGGCAGGCAGCGCGGTGTCGCGGTCCGCCGCACCTGCCGCCCGGGGGCGCCTTCCAGCGCGGGTTCCTGTACGCATCCTGCGCATCCACGGCCTTGTGCATCACCACCACCTCGTACACCGTCCGCTTGCATTTGCGCCAGTCCACCCCCATGTCCTCCAGGTCCGGCTGCGTCCAGGACACTATCCGCGGTATGACCTCGGCGATGCTGGCCTCCAGGTGGCGCTCGGCCTCTCGACAGGGCTCGTTCCAGTCGCGCGCGGAGAGGCCGTCCAGTCCGGTCCACGGCCGGCCCTCCAGGCCGGGGGGCTGCTCCATTGGGGGCGGTGGTGCGCGCCCCTGCGTGCGCTGTGGTCGCGGTGTGGGGTGCGGGGGTGAAAGTGTGGCCCCATAATGGCCCTCCGATGCGACTTGTCATCGCAGGCTCCGGGCGGCTTCGCGATGCTGTGGACGGGCGTACGAGGCACGGAGGGTAGGGCCGGGGAGGCCGCGGGCCGCTTTGGGCGGCGCGCGTTGCATGGGGAGCGATCCTTCGAATATCCGCATGGATTCTCCAGGGCGCTGTTTTGCTGCCGCCCGTCGGGCATTGCCTGGAGGGAAAGTGAGAAAGGGGTCCGGTAGTTTCCGGCATGTCGCGACAGCAAAGGGGGTCGTGGAGGACCCCTATATTTTGCTGCGCCCTGCCGGGCATTGTCTCGATGGGAAAATGACAAAAGCAGGACCCAAACGCGAAAAAGGTGGCCGTATGACATGGCAGCCACCCGGGCGAAAATCCACAAAGCCCCAAGCCTTCGCCTGTCCTACCTTCCGGCTCGATAGGATTCGCGTCGAAGGAGATGAATCTGGGGACATACAGCTCCCCTGCGAACACGTTGCCAGCGATTCCGCCACAGAAAATCCAACTCAAACGGGCCTCCGGGCCTTGCACCTCCTGGCTCGCGCAGAAATCCGGCCCTTGGGTGAGAAACACATGGGAACCCTTCGATTCTCACCGAATCGCTTGGAAACCCATGCACTCGAACGGCAAAAATGCAATGGGTGCGATCTGTCGATATCCGAGCGCAGAAGACCTCAAACTCTTGGTCGCAAAACCATTCTGATCGGGCTGCACGCCACGGCCTGCGTGCACGGCTCGCACACGTCGAGACTGTCAACAGGGTGTTTATAAATTCATGGACTATGGTCCGTCCGTTCAGCCCCTCAGACATGCAGCCTGCGGCCGCACACAGCACGGCAGCCACTCCCCAAATACCCTAGCCATGTCAGAATGGGCAGTACAACCCAATCTTGTACGGTTTCTATCAGGTCACACCCAAACATGGCAGTTCACATCATTCTCACTTTCCTTGCGCCTCATACTTTACTATTCGTACCACATCTGAGCTTGCTTCTGCAAACGTCACAGCGTGCTCTTCTAATCCTCACACACACCCCTTGCAATGCTGGGGTGGACATCATTTCGCTCCTTCGTCACCTTTCCAGCACACGCCCAGCACCGCAATCGAATCTGTCCCGCGACGTGGAAGACTCACAGGAATATTCGTTCACACCTACGGCACCGCCTGCCCTTTCCCGACTACAAAGTACTGCTCGCAAACAACGCTGCGATGTCACAGCCACGCCATAAATCAGCCCAGCGATATTTCTTGATCGAATTAAAGGACTGATACACTTACCCACCGCATGAGCATCAAAAGTCCATAATTTTCATGACCAAATTCACAACCAGATTCCTGATGTTTCCATGCATGGCAGGCCGCATCCCTATTGGGCTGTAAAGCGTCACAGAACCACGTAAAACACATCTGCCTGAGGCAGAAGAATTGAAAAAAAATGACATCACACCTTGCCCTAGCCTGCTGCGAATAAATCGTGCATCCATCAGCCAGAAAATCCACGACATTTTGACATTCTCGCGCACAGCAGTCACTGAGGAGTCAAAATTATTTCCAGCAAGCATCTTGAGAATTCCTCAATCAATTAGAGCAGGACTTCAAATCTCCGATTCGCCAACGTATTTAGTGCAGGCTCGCAGCAGTTTACACAATGTCCAGTCGTACAATGGCATTAATCACACAGATTGACCGTCATCCTGCTTGAAACTTGGTAGCATAGACATCAATTGCATAGACTGCCTTGTAGATGCCGTAGATATTTGTGGCACACATCACCACCTCTCTTGGTGCAGTTCCAGTTGACCACCTTTGATGGAAAGCTTGGCCGACATTCGCAAAGTCTTCCCGTCTTGGAAGGCGTTTCGAGACGCACAATCTCAGTGGTACAGCATCTCACTGGATGCCCACGTTCGCTGCCCTGTCTGCCACTGTGAGCTATCCGGTAGCAGCACATCATTTGGCCCCCCAAAGCCCGTCACCAGTCCCGTGAGACCGTTGCTGCATTGCACCACCACCAGCGCTGGCGCCTCTCGCCGTTTGCGCGCTTCGCAAGCCGCAACCACGCGCAGCGATCGAGGCCTCCACCGGGCCAGTGGATCCATCGGCGAAGATTCGCTACGAGTCGCAGCCACCGCCGGTCCCACCTATTGCCATTGGTGCTCGCAGGCCCTGGATCCCGATTGCTGGTGCGAGCCAATCGGACACGCATTGCAGCGGCCGATCGGTGCAGATCCATCCTTCCGGCAGTGCTGCGCTGTCGTAAGTGGTTCGCGAGTGAGGATGCAGCTTCACAAGCCACAAGTGCGCGTCCAGAGGGGTGGCGCCCGGAGCACAGTGTGTCGCGTCATTCCTTGGGATGTGGGCCCTCCGTGGCGTCGGTATCCTGTCGCATATCAAAATGGGTCCTGGGAGTATCCAGAGCTTTTAAAGGACTCCTTGCGCCATTTTCCCTCATCTTTAATAAAGCCACTTGTCCAGACATCTGCTGTTGCTGTCCCGCATTCATTGGCTCAAAGCGGGCCTGCTTTTATAGAGCTTTGACAACCATCAAACCATGACATCCTTTGTGCGCATTGTACAAAAACTCCATGAGTACGTGACTTGTACATCACATATGTTGACAGCGTTTGCAGCCTGACAGCTTGTGATAGTTGTAAGACATCTGTGGTCGTCTGATTCGCTTGGAAAGGCTAGAAGATACACAAGGGAAATGGCACACATAGAAATGGCTCACACAGAAACATCTTCTCAGGCTTCCGTTCACGACACATAGCAAGGTGGAATCTACACCATACCTGCTATGATGCATGTGTATTATCGTGGTAGGTCGAATGACAACAAGCCCAAATCGGTATTGGCTTCACTGACACCAACAACAACGTACATGCGCATTCACATTTGGATTTCATTAATGCCGCAATGACTATGTCGGATTATGAGGCGCCTTTCAATCGCACCCACCGCTTCCAAATCACCCAGAAGACACGCAATTTTCCCCACAAATGCTCTCGCCAGTTGTTGCCGCATTCTATCATTTTGAACCTCAAATGCGAAAAGACGTGAGCCATCAGTATGAAAACATCATCCAAAATAAACACACGACGAGTTATTGTCGTGATTGTTCTAACAATCCCCAAGTGTCTCCGACACAGTATGATGGTATCGCGAAGGACAAAGCATCGACACAACCGCGTATTCGAGAGTATCGCACCGTATTTTTTTGTGCGAGCCTCGCTTGAAATGGCCACGCCGTATTCTTGGAGCACCTTCCTATCTGATGGTCTATCCTGCTGCATTTTGACATTCCCGCAAGTTGGCACCAGTCTCGCCTCGTCATTGGACTGTGTACACACTAGGCGTCCCACTGGCAAGCGTTCCACAGCGAAGCGGATCAACCGGTGATGGAGCTCGTGAGAATTTTCCCGTAAGCTGCTACTGACGTCGTGACAGGCCAGAGCCTCAACTGCATGTGTACGAGGACCGCAAGGAACTGCTGCTGGCTGCACCGCTTTGCCGTCGGGCAGCAACCGCATCCACGTCGAAAACGATTCTGGTGAGGAACGGGGCAAGAGCGATTATCAAAAATTTTCCCGTCACACAGACAAAGAAGGAATCTTGAGCGTAGCACGACTTGTTGCTGTCTTTGTGCTGGGACGAAAGACGCAGATTGCAGCTGATTGCCTGCGTCAGGTAGCCGCAGCATTCGCTTTTAGATTTGCTCAATTCTCCTTCCACAGGTCAAACAATTGTTTGCGTTTGGAACTGGAATCGACGGTAACATTTAATGCCCATGTGCGCCTAATTCGGTGATCAAGGGCGGCAACACTTATTCGGGCTAAAATAGTGCCGAGATCATGGTGTCGTTGCTGGCTCGTTGTTGGGCTTCTCGGAAATGTGCTTTGTCCACAAATCTGCAGAGTTTGTGGCATTTATTAGGCGCCAGAAAATGCTTGGAGAAATAGAAGTACTGCAGCGGAAAATGATCAAACAGTTGCTGCATAATGAAAATGGGATGTGGCAGTTGTTAGCTCCGCGCCCATTCCCACGTTGTCACGATGGTTCCACTTTCCATCAACTGATGATTCAAACGTTACGCTTCATTGCTTTCCGCTGTGCAACTAAAGAACATTGTGGAGCAGTGGAACGATGACCAGGCTCTACATGCTGCCCTTCTTGCTGTGTATACAGTAATCCTTGCACACAAAGGTATGCATCAACGTCAGGAAGAAAATGGCAAACCTGTGTGCTAAATCGCCGAAAGGTGGACAGAACGAATCTCCCAAAGCCAGCAGAGCGTGAACGGCCCGTGAGGGCCGCAAAGGGTGAGAAAGATGCTAGATGGAAACCCCCCAGCCTGTCGTGTTTCCAATGTTCTGTGTGAACAAACAGAATGCGCCGGTGTACAGCACCCTCGCCACACACCCGCTCCTGACAGATTTTCCACAATGCTCTGTTCCCACTTGTGTCGAGAGCTGCAAGGATCGGCTTACAAAAATTCTACATATCTGGCTTTTTCAGCGACCCATCTGCCAGCATCGACATTGTCATTCTGTGTGCTTCTTTGGACAACGGCATGACATGCATGCCAGCTATGCCATTCAGGCTCTGAACCTGCGCCACAGGAGCTGCTGTCACGCCCGGGTTTGGCCCGCAAAGAGAGAATGCAGTAGCCGTAAGTTCACAGGTATTTCAAGCAGCAGGCGGGTCAGCTAGCGCAGAAATAGAATCTCAGTGCCGATTCAGGTGTTGGGCATCAAAGAGGTGCCCATAGTTTGTCCATAGATTCAGCACACAGCAGATTACTGGGTCTCCACGAATATCTCAATGTTGTTCCTCCAACAATTATGAGGTTCAGTCTTCCATTCAACCCTTTCAGTTATCAGGGCGGATCCTTGATCCCTTGCAAATTCGCCGTCCTGAAAGACCAAACTGCATAACTTTGCACTGAGCAAAGAGGAGTAAACGTGAACACAACATGATGGCAAACATCGCAAATACAATGTATCCAGCATCTTCATGAGTGAGTGCAGTTCCAACACGCTGTGGCGGATTCGTTCCCTGAGTAAAGCCCTTGCTTAGCCAACGCAGATCACAATGTCCTGGCACTGTAACCTACATCCTCATGAATAAGCCTTTAGGTCCAAAAGCAACGTCTCAGGCCTCTCATATTCCACAAAAGGGATGTGGTGCTTGCATCTGAAGCAAGGGGCTACATCAAGCAGCAAACCCCTGATGATGGAACACTGAAAGTCAGCACACTAGACTCAATTTCATATTGCACAATGCCAGACGTGGTTTCTATCAGGCCAGATTACAAAACCTCGGACCACTTTTCATCGCACCTTGCTGATTAAGTCTCGGTTCCACTTCAAGAAGAGATCTGCTTCTGCCTCTGGCTGTGCGTCCCCTGTACAGCTCAATTTCGCAGCTGTTTCCTCCACAGCCGCTAATCCATCTGCTTCGCACAGCTTTGACCAGAATGAGAAATTTTGTGAGGAGGTCACCATGGGCAGGCCCACCACGACTTGAACTGTACCCAGGAGGCCAAGCTTGTCTGCATCGTTGAGCCAATGCTCAAATGGCTGCCAAGCGAGTGGAGGCTGTGTGAAGATGACCTCTGCCCCGCAGTCGACCTGCGTCAGGCAAATCAGCTTTTGTCTAAATGTGATAATTGGCAGTCGAGACAGTTGCTAAACATCACAAGTCATGTACATTGTGGCTATTAAAATTGCCAGGCGCCATTTATGTCCCAGGCTTGGGTTCATGAGGTTGCCTATGCTGTCCAGTACGTGATGTGGGATGTGATGACAGGTGTGGCTCCGTATCGCTGTCACAACATGAAAGGTCAAGTGGCATTTGTTGCTTTTGGAATGCCACATGGCATCCGCACTCATGAGCTTCAACTGCCGCAGCGAAAATGGTGCATTTCCAAGCCTTGGAACAACCCCTACGGTAGTTGTGGTGCCCATGCAGTTACAACTTCGCCCATTTTAAGAATACTGTGGATTTCGCAACAAAGAACGCATTTTGAGCTTTTGGATGGCAGCAGGATGTATTACAGTCAGATGCATGAATGGTAAGATTTGTCTGCTGTAGATGAGTATGTGGTACTTTCAGGCATATTCAGGATCACACATATGAACGAGAAAATCCACATGGAGGGGCAATGGATCTAGTCTGGCAACCCTGGCAACTCTGTTCCCACCCTTGGATTTATTCACAACCTGCATACCAAGCTAGTTCACCAGACTTGCGGTGGTAATTTGAAATGCTTGCTGTTTGAATTGGTGCCATCACAGTATGGACCAGGACGGACTGCTGCCTGCTCCTTGGCTGGCACCAGCAGAAGGCTGCAGGGCGCCTGCAGCTGCGCAACTGTTCTCACTCTAAAATTGAAGCTCAAGAGGCAGCAGGCATTTCCAGACGTCCATTCAACCATCTTTTAAAAAAATCGCGAACAGTGGAACATCTGTAACAGCGACCTAAAACTATTTCTCCCACAGGCTACTTTGTACCTTGCGTGCGAGTCTGTCTGCAGAAGTCTCGACCAATGGATTTTCAACAGCGCAGATCCTTACAGCTGAAGATAGCAGGCCCTGCTCCTGCATTGATCTTGCTTCCTTCAGCAACCAGAAACTATCCCTTGAGGGATGCCTGCAGTTCAGGCATTGCCATCTCAAGATTGCCCTTCCATTGGAAGTCACCCAGTCTAAAATGCTCACACTTCAGTATGGCTCAGCATTCCATCTGAAAGGTGAAATTGGGTCCTGGACAGTATTTGCAATGAGTTGGCAGCCATCAGTTGTGGTGTAGAGCCATACACTCAAATATGTGAGTTATATGCAAAAATGCAAAAACTTGCTCCTGGATGGGCAGATGCACTGGCACACAGCAACCATATGTGTCAACATGATGTTGGCTGGTCGCACAACATTCTCGCACTCTTTTGCACAAACAAATAGCGGTCCACCACTCCCAATTGTCCACACCTAGCTTGATCTGCAGCAGCCGATTTCAAGTGGCCTGTGCCAGAAACCACAAGGATGCCCGTCAATGGTGGGTCTTCACTACAGCCACTCTGTGCAGACTGAAGGAGGGACCGCAGCGTGCTCTCACTGCGCATCTACACGACAAGTATCAAGTGTCACAAGCCTGGGTACACTTCTTCAAATGCAATGCAGTGGAGCACAAAAGAATGCAACAATGGTGAGCTAGCCACGTCTATCCACCTTGGGTGAAAAGCAAGACGATGAATCGAAACAAATGGCTTTAAACCTCCAAATTGATTGGAAATGTTGACAATCTGGCGCCCTTGATTAACTGAAAACTACAGTACTGTCACCTGCACTGAGCATCAATGCATAAATGGTCAAGCCGTATTTGCTGGAAACCACAACCACAGATGGCAACTTCCCAAGGGGAACAGATCGTTGGTCGAACAGGATGATTGCAACAGAATCTGCTGAACATTGAGTGCTTTCACAAGGAAAGTCCCTTGTGTTGCTTTTCAACGGCTTCAGCCTCTGGGATGGTGCATGCATCAAGCAGCAGTTGTGGATGATACCTGAGCAGCCACGCTTTGGATTCGTCCTCTTTGGGTATGCGCTCCCTGCCCTCGTCCAACCAGCCACTGAAGTTGTGGCTCTTTAGGGTGATCTTCTTTGTCTACAGCACCTTTGTGTGCATCCACTGGCAAATCAGGTACAACCCCAGCATCGAACAAGCCGGTTGCCCAAAGCTCGTTGTCAAGTCCAGCTCGTTTCCCGATCGACCGCTCAAGTGTCAGCATGAATGCTCTCAAGGGCTTTGCACCCTGCTTGAGATTGGTCTCATTGTCACAGCCCTTGGCCTGGTTGCCATTGTGGCAGTGGGGAGTATGTGCATCACTGGCAAGGGACCTCAGTGCCACTCTGGCAGTCCAGATAGCACCAATGGCTTGAGCATGGCAACCATGGGGTCTGCTGCTGGGTGGAAACATGTACCTCCAACTTGTGCGCTGCAAGTATGGCGCAGCCATCTGGAAAATGGCAACAGGACAAATATGCGCATCACAAACTGCAAAGGTTTAAAGCTTGTGTGGTGTCCTTTATGGGGCCAAGTGTTGCATTGCTAGGGGTAAACAAGATCAAATTTTGTTCCTTAAAAGCAAAAAGCAACCAGTTTTTCACAGCATTGGACCAAACTGAAAATCCGCCAGCAACCAGACAACATCAGGGACTGGATGGGTGGCCAGAAGTGCACTTTGCAGGTTATGGAAATAAATGAAACGCATGCGCTTCAGATGCCACCTCAAGAAGCAGCTTCCTAACTTGTCCATCAGACTACAACTTCCAATGTGTTGTCAAATGGTGAGTTTCAGTTATCAAAGCGACAATATGGGTGAAACATTGCGAGCTAGGTAAGGACCGGGGAGCAAGCGCTGCGGACTATCAACGAGCAGTCCCAGAGGCAGGTCCTCACCTCAGGAAAAAATGACCGTGTTCACCCTGCACGTACAAGGTTTGCAACTTTGCTGGCCAAGACTCGACGCCGGTATTCTATCCGCTCCCAGGCTTCGTTCCCTTCAACCCCGCGAGCACCCGTGCGCGGGCAGGGTATCTGCTCACTCTGTCGAGTTTGCTTGGCGCACAACGCCGGAAAGCCTGTCGACGATGACCTGACGATCGCGATTTTGGCAGTGTTCTTCCCATGTCATTCCGACGGCACGAAATGACGTGAACGGACGCCTTTGATGTCGACTGTAGGAGCCCTCATGCGCAGCGCGGTCCGTGGAAGTGCTCTCAAGGAGGGGGGCAGCTATGTCGTCGCTGTCGTCCCTGTCTGGAGCACCGGCGCCCGAAGGCAGGTGGCAGCGCTCTCAATCGGGGCATGGTTGCTCCGTGTACGCCCATTCAAATGAACACCGTTCCGAGTTTCGCTGGAGACATTGGGCAGAAGAATCAGATCACCCTGGGGCCGCACCTCCCTTCCTCGGATGCTCAATTAAAATGTCTGCGTGTCCACAGCCGCTGAGCTCATTTTGTGCATGCCGCATTGAATCGTTACGATGAGTGCAAGCCATGTGCGCCTCCGCAGGCCAAAGTCGTCAGCGCGTCCGCAATCGGCCCCTCCCTGGTGTCGAGAGACCTTCCGTAAGTTCGTTGTCCTGTCAGAAGTAGGAGAAACGATGGCACGCGCCTGTTGTTCTTCCTTTGCTTCAAATTTGGTTGGTGCATACCTGCCGAGGCCACTGCATCTGCTGCATTTGTTTCTCTTGTGGTTTGCCGCGCATTCTGGCATGGGACGAAGGTTGCTCCTCTCGTTCTACGTTTTGCTGCGTATCTTCAATGTCGCGTTCAGCGACCTCCATGACAATCACAACAGGGTGGAAAGAGCTCGACATTTACTTTTGGGGGGATGCCTGCCATATGACATGTCTGCTTTGGAGCGCTACTTGCCAAAACCTTTGAAAAGTTAAGCTCGAAGCATCCTACCTTACGGCCACGGACAAAAATTACTTACTTGTGGCGGCACTGAGACAAACACCTGTGTGAGCTTCGTTCCCGCGTTAATCTTACAGGCGGCACTGCCAGCGCCACGCTCCAATGTTAGCACAGCTGGGCTGGATGCTCTTGAGGCGCTGTTGGATGAACCCGCTCTAGAGGTGATGGCATTGACAGCCCTGTGCCAACCTTGCTACTGCAAGATTTTCTGTTTCTGCCTGGACTTGCTGATCCAGATGATCTTGCCTCTCCATTGGTGGACCAATAGGATTTCTAGATTCATGGTGTGCATGCAGTTTGTCCATGCTGTTGCTGTGCTGCATTGTGTCGTTCTTTTGTCGCCTGCCCACCAGCAAAGCTCAGGACATTCACTGTTCTGCATTTGGCTACCATGCAGGGATGTCTACAGAAACTTTCCCACAATTACCATAGGGTTTTCAGTTTGCAACTGGGGGTGTCACCCACATTGCAAAGCCCCTTCAGCTGCTTCGTCGGGCTTGATGCTCAACAGAGCGGTGCTCAGCCACACACAAAGTAACAACGCCTGCAGTTTTTGTGTTCAATAGGGTGGATCTGGTAACAAGATCTTTGCACGCCACCAGCCACACTCTCAGAGACGATCGGGCCCACAGACCAAGAGTTCGAGTTCCAGCAGCTTGCAAGATGACTTTCCAAATTCCCGTGGGCTGCTGCAGAAGCCCGCAAAGAAAAATCAAGCCCCTTTGGCAGGTTTGGACTGCAACTGTGGATAGTCAGAACAAATACTGGAGTAGTTGGCCACTGCTCAAACACTCTACTTGAGATGATATCCATGAAAACTTCGTTTCAAATACCTTATTTGCCTTTGCCATTTTCCAGTTTTCATTTTCATAACCATATCAGTGTTTCAGGTCTGGATTTCTCTGGGTGTACGCAGTATATCTGCACCACAGTGGCCTCAATGGACGAATTTCTAAGTCTGGCTGGGCATGAGCAGGTACTGAAAGGAGCTACATTGACCAGCACACTCTGCTTCTCACGCAGGCATTTCTGCTGCTGGCTCAGATAAGGGCAGCTACCAAGACAGCTTTGATAGTGACATCGATGGTGAGCCCTTGAGGACATCGCCCACAGACCAGACTCCTCCATCAGAGGACCGTCTGCGAAGTGTACCAGACGCCCAACCCTCATCTCTCCAGGACCAGACCAGCTTTCCCAGCCCTTCTTTAAAGTCAAACCTTCAGCCCCAGGGACGAGACTCAGACGACAATGGATTTGGGAGGATTCTCGCCTTCCTGAAGGATGACAATGAGGACGAGGAAATGCAGTCAACTACTGAGAAACAGGGCGGCGATCTGGACTTTGACGTTTTTGGGATTGGGGTGCGGAGGCCACATTCGGCAGGGGTTGGTCGCCGAGGGCGCCGGAGCCTGTCCACACCACGAGACGACTCTGCTGCTGGGGAAGTGGACAGTGTCCCTCCCCGGCCAAGATCAGCTCCACTTGCCAGTGGAGGACCTGTTGGCGGACAACATTTGGCAGATGCAGATTTGGAAGCATCGTCCAACGTGAAGCCAGGCTCTTTTTTGGGGGAGGGGCCTGTGGCGATGCAGGCTGCCACATCAGAGCTGAATGACCAGAGCTCGCGGAGATCGGCACCCATGCCAGCCAGAGTGCGGCAGGCTGAGAAAATTCCCCCAGAAGGCGACTTAATTCCAACGAGAATTGATGATCAAAGAGGATTGGCTGTTGGAAATTCGCAGCAACCAGAAACAAGATCGGATTCATATGCTGCATCACAGCGTTTGGCGGCCTCCCGCCGCTCAATGGCGCCCTCTTCGACTGTTCCAGATCATGAGTGGGACCTAGATGTTGAGCTCCTACCTGACAGTTCGACTTCAAAATCACCAAGTGGAACCATTTTGCAAGATCGAATCCAGGCTGATGCTGGGCACAACAGCGCATCAGCCAGCTCACAAGAGCCAGATCCAGGCGGCTATATACCCTCGTTTGCATCAAAACCGCGAGTGTCACGACCCAAAGGCCAAGTTCAGATCAATAAGGCAGTTGCTGACCAAGGTGAGCTCAATTCTGGCAGCCCTGGAGGGCCAAGGAGAAGGAAAATGGGCTTTGCTGATCCCGAACAAGGAATGGCAGTACCACAGAAAAAGGCAGGCACTGCTCAGGAAGGTATTAAGGCTGTGGAGAAGGCCTCCTCATCAGATGCCCAGGAGGAGGAACAGGTCTGTAGCAGAAATCTCACCGCAGGCGTATGCAAGCTTCACACTTTTTTTGGCTTGTGCCTACAGCTCACAACAGTGCACATCAGCATGCGAGGCAAAGAAGGCCATGTTTATGCCACTTTACTGGCGTTTACAAATGACAAGGACCACACCAAAAGGTTTCCTGAGTCAATCTATCTGGGGCAACATCTGTGCCCTCATTTCATTCTAATTGTGCAGCACAGCCCAAACCAGACCAATGCCTTTCCACTTTTGCACTTGAGCAGGCTCGGTCCTCCATGCTGGCAGCCATGAGGCGCAGGGAGGAGCTCCTGCAGAAACAGACTGAGAAGGATGCCAAAAAGGAGGCAGCTGTGGCAGTCCGCAAAAGGACTGAATCCGCAGGGTCTCCTGCTCCACAGCTCACATCTCGAGCCAGCCCTGCCATGGTATCAGCCACCGGTGGCATTGCTCGAAGTCTGGCTGACCTGGGCATTGAAGATGGGTCTTCCACAACCGAATCTGAAAAAGGTAGCAGAAGCTGGCCATTCTTTTAAACTGCAAGCGGCAATGCGATTGTTGTTCCGGCTCAGCAAAAAACAGGGCCTCCAGGGAAACCCGAGGTTAGGAGTATCCTTATGGTGCTGCGTAGGCAGAATCGTTAGAAAGGCACCCCTAAACTACGCAGTTATTTCGACGAATAATTGATGAAAACTGATGAGCAGTGATGAAAAATAGCATATCAATTCACAGGCATGGTGCTATGCTTGATGACAATTCAGAACTTTTCCTTGTGTGGTGCTTGGCCAAAAACTGCAAGGTACAAAGGCACTTATTGTTTGTCAAATATTGAGTGACGTTGATATTCCCAACATTGTGTGCGCAGCGTTACATCGTCAAGCCGTGCACTACATATCCATTGCATGGACTTGTCAAACGGAAACTATACAATGCATACGCCCATCGTGCCCATCGACCTGCATTATGATGAAATGGAAATTGGAATTTGTACACATACAGTCGCCAGTCGCAACAATAGATATATGCTTTATAGACCTTCGTGACAACATCTCGTCAGCCGTTGCGCCAAGGCAGACCGGCCCAACCACGCCAAAGAACAAGACAGCAGCTGCTCGGCGCCCGCCTCCATTGCACATTCTTAGCACCGGACAGTCAGCTTTGGGCATCAGAGCTGGAGCTCCGATTGGCAACGTCCCAGACAAATCCGAGGCTCATGCCCCTGCTGTCAAAGACCCGCCATCTGGCAGCATTCGGGAGGATCCGCAAATGCCTCTGGTGGGAAAAAGTTTTGAACTTGGTGGAGACACCGCCGCCACGACATCGCAGCAGCCGGAGGTGCAGAAAGCCAGGGTCGGGCAGAAAAGTGTCACTTGGCTCCACGCTATTGCCCCCGAAGTGCAGCCAATTGGCGGAGCAAGCACTCACAATGGTGCAAATAGGCCGCCTGCTGAAAATGGCAACACAACATCGGAAGGATCTGACTCTCGCATGCCAGGAAGTACAAGTCATGTTTCAAGGAATGAGTTTAGGGAGGAAACGCAATTCAGAAAGATTGAAAAGGTGACCTCAGAACCACGTTCAAGAAAGAAAAATGGAGATAGGAATGCATGCACTGACGGCACTCTCCTCTTCGCCGTCTCATTAGTGTCCGCATAACGCCCCGTTTGTACTGGCACAGTCAGTGTGGAACTTAGCACTGATGCATGACTCCGTGGCCCATGCTCTTCCACTGCTCGAATCTGATTGATCACCGCCGCTTCAAAGTGCTGAGAGCCTTCATACCCAGACGCCTGTTCAAGCCTCGGTCGCAATCTGCACCACTATTATTTACCGCCATAAACTATCAAATGTCTACACAGTCACAGTATTACCGATCAATGGAAACAAGCTACCTCCTTTGATTGACTGCTCGCACCAGTACCGTCTAATCTCTTGTTCTGTATGTCTCTTCTATTTTCCCTCTGACTCCTATTGTTGTCCCTACACATGCAACCAACGACTTTCTGAATACAGGATGCTGGACTACCCCTGGATGCACGTGCAACACCGCCAGAGCCTTCACATGGTTTCCCAAATATAGATGAGGCAGATATGCTAAAGGACTCAGCGACCAAGGCGGCAGCTAGGGAGCAGCCGGCGGGTGTGGCACCCACAGCATGTACCAGGTGTTGATTCGCACATCTGACATACTCTGTATCAGGCGATCACCGGGTCATAATCCATGCAGAACTGCATGCCGGTGGGCATCTGACGAATGCGCTGCTTCGGCCTGGCTGGCTATGCCGAATCCCATTTTTTGCGCGCTATCGCTCCGCGACGGTTATTGAATGTCGTTTGCGCTAGGCTTTGGAAATTGACTATGTTTCCAGCTTTCAAAGATCTTGCCGGCGCGATTTTGCTTAGCACTTCCGCAGGCGTATTTCCCAGCTTTCTGTTTCATTCCGGAATATCCTTGTGTGTTGCTGGCCTCAAGATTGTCGATTGCTCCTTCTGCTCTTGATGGGTTGAGGTAGCACGCTATGTATGACCCGAGCATCTCCTCGTGGCTGTTGGAAACCCCTCTCTCACCGGTCGTGGCTTTCCACTGTGATTTGGGTTTGCTGACCATTCCGCAGAATCTTATGATATGTGCTTTGCAGTACGCGAAGTGAGTGTCGTACTGTCAAGCACGGTGATACCGCCAGCAAAGAAAGGAGCATGGAATCGCTGCATATGGCTCATGCGGCGAGTAAGCGTGGCTTTGAAGAAAGCAACGATGCTGAGGCAAAGATTCTGCGTAGAATGGAGAACATATGGAAAGAAGTGAGTGTGGTAAACTGGCAAATCGTGCTATTATTGTGTGTCTTGTTAGGTACACAGCAGCCCTACAGTCGCTGAAGGACAATATAAACAGGCTTATACAATATGCACGTAGACGACAAAATACAATGCAAAGCAAAGGAAAATAGGAATGGTCGTAGGGCCAGCGACCATGGTCAGGATATCGCCTAAGTTTTTTCGAAAGACGTGGCAATGCCGATCAGCTCTGCCAAATGTTCTCTGGAAGGAGAGAGCTTGCAGTTTTTCATTCCTAAATTTTTGAAGAGAACACGGGAATGCTGCATGTTCTGTGAAAAAGCTTCACATACACTTTTGTTCTTTGACAAGAAGGAAATCGACTTCATTTCTGGATGAAATGGATTGCCAGTGTTTGAACGACGCCGTATCAAATGCTACTGTGCCGGTCATCACCCCGCCCCATATCATACTCGTGGGTTTTGAACTGCCTTCCACGCATTCGGTCACTTGTGTACATGTGTACGTGATATCGCATTGATGATATGCATTTTTCATTGCATCTGGACTGACCAGACGTTGCTCTACGGCTAGGTGGAAGCAACCGGGACAGCGGCCAGAGAACGTAACGAGTTTGTCTTGCAGCAGCGGGAGCAGCAGTTGTCGGAACGCGAGGAGCGCGTCGATTCTCGAGATGAGTTCTTGCGAGAACGCGAGGCGACTATTGGAAGGCGGGAGCAAGCGCTGGAACACCTGAAGGATCAGCTCGCGTCGGTGCTAGTGTCATTGGAGAAGAATGCAATGAATGATAGGTAGTTTGTGAATGCAACATGCACAGCACTCTGTAGATTATGTTGTCCATGGCGTTTAGATTGGTGACTGAAAGTATGTTGGCTTGCTGCCAGAAGTTACTGGTGTGCCGCAAATAAATGGATTGCCCAAAATAGAAAATGCTACTTGGCGAGTACCCTGTGATACAAAATTTGGTGATACGTCAGTGCAGATACATTGATCCACTGTGCGGCCATTTCTCAAACCACTTCTCGCGCAATTTAATGCAGGAATCGTTTGCTCATCTGCGTTGGCTTTGGCTCGATACACAAATCCCAAGACGGACAGCGGACTGATTCCCGAAGGGCCGTCATTGCCTGTGCGTCACCCATCCCACCCAGACTGTACATTGGACCACATGTGGCGCGCAGGGATGAGCTTCAAAACGAACGCCTGCGGCTCATCAGGGAGCACGCGAGACTGGACGCATTCCGAGGTGTGCTAGAGAGCGAGAGAGAAGACATTCGCACTCAGCTGGAATGCGAAAAGAAACTTCTGGAGCAGGCGAGGGAGGAAAGGAGAAGGGTAGGCGAGGATATCGCCATTATTCGGCCTCGGACTATTCCATGTCTGTGCACTTCTTTGCCACTAATTCCAGTCCAAACACGGATACGTACGTGCGTGCTCGCGTCCGTGTTGGAATTCATGCCGAGCAAACGAACAGACACGTTGTGTACACCATGGTGTACTGACGGCAGCAAAGGCTGCGCCTGCGTTCCGGCCCTCCTCTACCGGCGGGCTGCGCTCGACGACAAACCCGTCCTCCCGCCGTTCCAGTGCAGTTCGATGCAGCTGTGCTCCACAGCGCCGGGCCTGCCCTGCCGCTGCAGGAGCGCGGGGCGGTGCTGTCAGAGTGCCACGCTGAGCGCGTGAGGCTGGCGACGGAGCAGGCCCAAGCGGTCGAGGCGCTGAGAGAGTGCCAGAACGAGGAGGCCAGGGCGAGAGAGCGGCTGGCGGAGCTGCGAGGTCGCTGCGACGCCGCTCGGCGGCGGGCCGAGGATCTGGAGGAGGCGAGCGCGGCGCGGTCGGAGGCGATGCAAGCCGAGCGGAACGAAATCAACGAAGACCGTGTGTCGCTGCAAGTAAGTCGGTTTGTCGGCGTTTGGACGGACCGAATGGCGCTAATGGGGCGTTGCTGCTGTGGCCGACTGGGTGGAGTCGACCTTGGCGTTCCGTGATACTGGGGACCTGCTGCCGCGAGTCCCGTGATTCTTTTGGGGGAGGGATTCTGTGGCTTTCAGTGCGCACGTTTCAGCGAAAATCGCGATATACGGGTGAACGGAAGTTCAACCTGATATGTGCGCAAACGCCTGTTGCCCTTCATTTCCGGACATGAAATATGAAGGTCATGTTGGTTTTAGGGTGCTTAGTAAGCACCCTGAACCTAGAAACTGATAGGTTTTAGTTTCCATCTTCCCAGCATCCCTTAGCGGCCTTCATGTCCGTAAATCATAGGTATTGGAAAAGCCAAGTGTGGCTGTCTGTTAATGATTCGCGTGGCATAAAAAGGCGATCGCCAAGTGAGCACCACAGCAAGAAGTTCCCTGTTCACTAGGCTTGCAGAAAATGTCTGAACTTGCATGAAGTGAGCTTGCATGTCCCAGAAAGAAGCTCAGGCGTTGAAAGACGAGGGCGACCGCATGGCAGAGGCTATGGCGTTCCTTGAAAGGAAGATTGAAGAATTCAGAGACCTGAGCCAAAACCTGCCTGCCATGGTGGAAGGGCTTCGATCAAGTCGGCAGAAGCTGGACGCAGAGCGGGCTGGATGCTTGGAAGAGAACGCCAGAAACAAGAGCGAAAGGCAGGCTCTTGAAGAGCAAAGGCTGGTGGGAGGCTTGTTTTCCTCGAGTACCAATGCCAAGCCAACGCCGAGCGACGGCCGGCACAGTGTCCGAACTGCTGCGTCTGCCGCAAAATCTGTTGAAGTCCCGATGCCGTGCGTCTGAGAGCTGTACTTGAAAACTCAACCAGTGCCAACTGCACCATGCTGGGGGGGCCCTCGACCCAAACATGACCATGTCCTTACGGCGCACACTGCTGTACATTGACGCCAGTGAAAAGACCCGGCCTAGCTCTTCCTGCTGCGGCGAGGTCCCTGCTGCAGCGGTATCATTCCACGCGTCTTCGAGCTGAAGCGATAGACAGGTTTCACAGAATGCCAAGATCATCGCACAGTATTTGAGCTCTTGAATTGACCGTCAGACTAGTCGAGCATTGCAGCGCGATCGTGCGGATTTTGTTTGATCATGTGCAGCAACTCGAGCGTGTCTGAATGGTGTCGTTCACTGCAGACCCAAGAAGCTGCCAGGCTTAAAATCGCGCAAGAGAGGAAACTGTTGAGCGAGGACCGCAACGCAGCACACCGCGCCGCGGGGGATGCCAGAGAAGCTCGAAGGCATTTGTCCGAGGCCATCCGAGTCGCGTCCAAGCAAGGCCTCGTCGCCACAGTCTTCTGGGATAGCTCCAGGGCGACGATCCAGACCGCAGGCCCGCATGGGTGCGAGACGACAGCACAAGCGATTGATGTGAATGCTGACGGACATGAGAACTTCACCAACCATGACGCGGAACACTCACGCAACCCGCAAGCAATTCATCGTCAGCGCAAAAACAGCCAAACAAACGCCGAAAAGAGAGGGCGAGGCACCTTGATGAAGCTCGTGAGGCAGGCAGGGCTTGACTTCAACTCCCTCGAGCGCTCAGCATCTCAGGCCACGGCCTACGCTGCGTCTCAGGCGGCGTTCATCCAGCAGCTCCGGGCCTCCCACAAAGAAAACCTTTCCGGCGCTGCCCCGGCCACCCAGGCTGGCTCACTGCGCGACGAGGGCGGCGCGACCCACGCCGCGCGGGCCCCAAGGCCCCAGCGCCACCCGCCGCCCGCCAAGAGACACACCCCGGTCGCCGCAGGTGCACAATGGCAGCCCCGCGGCGCCCCTCTGCCCCACCAGGCGGAGCCCTGCGCCACTCCCGCGCTCTCCTGCCCGGCCACGTTCGTCTTCCCCGCCTTTACCCCCCTGCTGCCCATCAGCAGCACCTCGGACTCCAAGGGCACGCCCCCCAAGGGGCAGGACTCCCCCTGGCTGCTGACGCCTGGCGGCCTGCCTTCTTCCGAAACTGTGACCGACAGCACGGCGACCCCGCCAACGGGCCGCCGCCGGCCGTCATCGACAGATGCAGAGATTGTGTCGAAGGGTTCGGCCGGGGAAGGGGCCTCGTGCAATCAGGGCGCGCCCGGACGCAGCGGGGAGGCGAGGGCGGCGTCCGTGGCGTGTGGTTTCGAGTCGCCGGAGGAGGTGCAGTCCTTGAGGGAGAGGGAGGGAGACGAGTGCCGCGGTGCGCGTGGCCAGTCGCCCAGGCTGGTGGCGAGGAACTTGGCGGCGGAGGTGTTCGAGCAGGAGCAAGGTGGGGAAGGAGGCAGCGAGGAGGAGGGGCTGGCACACGAGTGAGGCGTCCGGGAGGGTCGTCGCGGTGGGCGCTTGTGCTTGCCTGCAAGCCCGCGCTTGAACAAGGTGCGCGCCGTCCCCCGCAGGTGTTGAGATTGTTCACCTCAGAAAAGCGATGCAGAGCTCTCAGAACGCACAGAACGGTTCAGCTGGGCAGAACCAGGGAGCGACTGCCATCGGGAGACTATGCTGGAGGGATGGCCGAACGACGATAGAGTCACTGTCGCGTCGCAGATTCGAATGGTGCCACAAGCGCGCAGAGCGGTGCGCGGACAGGGGGATTGGTGGCCAGCCATGAAGCGTTTCGCCTCCGGATCGGCGTTGGAAGCCGCGCCCCTGGTGAGGGACAAATCCCCGTCGCCCATCGGAAAGACAGAAACGATGGCCTCGGACTTACAGCCATGAAAGCACCGCATCCAGGATGACGCAGCGATCTGGTATGAGGGCTGTGATGAAACGAAGGCGTGGAAGGGATCGGCCAGCCATCGTTCCGACTGCTTGCAAAACAATTCGTCCATGTGTTTCCTTCCGCATTATTCCCGCATTGGAACCATCTAGTAGTGACAGTGCAAAATGAAAACGTCATGCCATGTGCGGTGTGATGCCTACCCATTGCTAAGCATTGCCCATCCCGGACAACACAATCGCAAACGAACGCCTGCAAAAACAGCAGACACCCATCTCCCAGTCTGGAGCAGCTTCACGTCCAATTAGTAAAATGTGCACCATGCGAACCTTACTGCTAATCGACAGAAGCCCCGCACCGCCGCACATCGCGAAACATGAAACAGACCCAATGTCGCCCACTTCCCTTTGCGTGGCGACTCACCGAGCAACTTGCCAGGCACATCACGATGTAACACGGACTACAACTTGCACAGAAGAATGTAAGACGTTGCCTGCGTGCGTTTCCTGAGGCCTTCATTGTTCAATTTGGCAGAGCTTCCGCAAAATGTCCGTGCAGGAAATGACGCTGACGGGCTTCATGTTCTCGTCCACGACGAACGTGCGATGAACGCGATTTCTTGTCAACAAGCTCATAACCTACACAAAGAACAATCGCCTCTCAACACTGAAGTTGACGGCCATTATTTGCAAACAACATTGTGGAAAACACCCGCACTCAACCAACCGAACGCTACACAGTGGGTGGTGGAGTGAGGCCCGGGCGCAACACCCATTTGCTGAGTTGAGCATTAAAATTGGGTGCGCATTTGAATTGGGTGCTCAATGGACCGATGGAAACACCGTCAAACATTCTCAGCCGCACGATGTATCGCTGGATGCCAGTACATTAGGCCGTGGTGTGCACTGGAGATATGTGCATAGGAACGCAGCGCCGGGATGCGCAGATTTCGCTCTGTGTTCCTATGTGCAAAACACAGACGACACTGGACAGCTTGTGTGAGTCACCGTGCATGATTATTGGCAATGCAGACCATGAGTAGGCCAGAGCAAGAGCCTGCAAATTCGTCAGCAAACAGCAGCTCGCACCAGGAATAGCAATACGGAGGCCAAAAATGAAGCAAGTAGCGATCCTAGGTGGCAGCATCCTTCCCAATTGTAGGCAACATGATTTCGAAAACACTGTGTCCAACATCATTCCAAATCCCCCACACAAGCACCGCAAAGAGAGCGCACATTAACTCACCCCTTTCAGAGTTGTCAGTGGACCACACACTACCAGCGACTGCCCCACTTCGGCACCCGGCAAAGCCACCCTCCCTAATCTGTCCCTTGCAAACGCGTGGGCATCAGTGCCCTGAACTGCAGTCTCCGACGCGATGGTGTAGCCAGAATACTCGGTTCCGTGTTCAAGAGCAAGGAACTCTCCAACTGGCAGTGCCAGGCTGCCAAAATGCTCTTGGGTTATTGTCCTGCATCGGACGACGGGCGGCAATCAGCTCACAAAACAAGCTTGACATTGGCGATGGCCAAGACAGGCGTGCATCGCATACCCGAATTGCTTCCACGTATTGTTCCAAGTGGTTTCTGATATGAGGACAGAATATTGACAGACTTCAAGATTTCAAACACAAGACGTTGCTCCCATAGGCAGACAGCTGATGGAGCTACATCTGCCAACAGCATCAAGAACAACGACACTGTCCGGAAAATGAAACGGCACGCCTTGGTTTCTACGAGTCTTGTGTATGGTGTGCTCATTGGCCCGGAATTCAGGGTGCGAACGGGCAGATAAAGCACACAAACCCTCAGGTAGTTGTGGCGGATACCCTGCAACGTGCAGCAATTGAGCTTGCACAGTTGTCCAACGATCATGCAAATGTGCGCAGGAAAAATTTTCTAACCTCATGTCCGTTGCGCTGAAAGTCCCAACAATCTGTCCTTCGCTGTTGACAACCGCTACTGCTCCAACGTTGTTGTCCTCCATGATCTTCAGCGCCTCGACAGCACTCTTCTCCGGTGGAACAGTGATCAACTGCTTGGTGGCCATCCCGAGGTCCGCTATAGTCTGAGATGCAGCATCCGACATTTTGTCCACATGTTCCAAGAGGTACCTAAAGCCACAAGCATCGATCAGTCAGCATTGAAGAACAAACATTCGAACAACTCAGGACAGAGCGACCCCTCACATGATGGCCTCTCCACTATTCGTAAACATGTAGAAGGCAAGAATTCTGCAGAGCACTGTGGATAAAGACGGCTCGTTGCGATAACCACAGGTGGAGTGTGTGCTATTTTGTGCCCACAAACTGCTGCTGGAGGGCAAAATCCTCTTTCTTATCCCAAAATATTACAACGCCTCCCATCGTCTAGGTGCCGCCCCGCCAAAAAAAAAATGTTTGGCTGGTCACACCCCGCAAGGAAATGCTTGGCGATGTCAATACCAAAGTTTGTTCCCAAAATTGAAAGTTCAATCTCAAGAAAGTTGGAAGTTTGGTGAATGTGGATGCTCCTGCATTGCGAACGACATGATGTCAAGACAATGGGAAAGAAGAAATTCTGTTGTGCCTTCACGAAAATGAAATGTGTCGGGCACAGACTCAGCAAGAACAGCATTTGTGGCTCCAGCTGTGGTGAACAAAACTTGGAAGAAATCTTCCAGAAATTGTGTGAAATGTCACAGAAAGTTCCTTGGCTTTTACTGGAAGACAACCAGCTTGCTGCTCCGTGACTGCTGAAATCACTGTCCCCCAATCGGGGTGGCACATCATGCCAACTGGAGCGTGAGACGCTGCCAGCAGCAGAGCTATTGAAGTGATATGTTAAGCATGGAGGCATGCCATAGGAATACAATGCATCTGTTCAAGTCATCCAGTCCTTCACAGTCTCTGTGGGAGAACTGGATCTCTCCCAGGCCAGGTTCTGTTTCAACATACCGCACTGAAAACTGGGGTGCTTCTGGTTCGAATTGGCAACTGCACATGTCGGGGTTCCTTGGTTCCATAATTGACAAATCCCATAGCTGACCACATATGCATGAGTAGTTCATCAAATATACTACACCTGCAGTTGGTAAATATCCCAGAGCTACTGCACAATCAGGCAAATCTCCCACCCAGCCATTGCTGGTTCAGTGTGTTATAGACTTGCTAGTTTTGAAAAGGTGTGGCTCAGTTTCTTTGGCTTCAAGTTTTGGCCAACCGCCTTCTATTTGAGGACGAAGGAAAAGTAGATACCTGATAAAATGCGCTTAGCGTAAATTTTCTTAGCACAACCTGCAAACAGCCCATGCAGTGCACGCAAAGACTTGCTAAAATATACCTGACAATGTCGGATTGGCTAATAATATTAACGATCCTCCCAGAAGAGTCAAAGATTGCTATCCTGTGAATGGCTGGCCTGCCTTCCGATCCTTGTGCACCACTGCAAATTGCAACAAAAAATTCGTAAGCTGCATAATCGTTATTATTCTTATCGTCGATAAAATGTCAACCATGATGGCAAAGATCCCATGACACAATTCAGTAGTGTCATGCACAGCTCTTGATACAGCATGCCAACCACAGCATGTTGACAAAGTATAGTCTGCGGTGCTAAAGGTCACAAAGGGAAGACGCTATGGTGATTTTATTATGTTTAGTGCAGGCACCATGTCATACATGGTATGCTGGGCGGGTGGGGTGGGGGTGGGGGTGGGGGGTGGGGGGAGCTTAACGTCAAATTGACGCTAACCGTACAAAAATCGACATAGTGCCTTCCCTTAGCAGCATTGCCAAACAGCACAATACGATTGTCAGGATGTTTTTTGAGGAAGACAATTGCCAGATTTGCAGCGTTTGAACTGGGCTACAAATGAGATTCGAAAAGCTACACCAAGTGACGGGGGCAGCCTCGAAGGCAGTCAGTTGAGATAACATGGGGCCTTAAGGATGGAACGATTGAGGGAGGTTTTTGAGCAACTCATAAAGTAGTTTGCCGCAGATCAGTGGCGTTTTGGGCGTTTCCACAACTTGTGTCGATTTTGTGGCATTTGCATAATCTCTGAGCGTCACAGGTCTGAATTCCCCCGCCTTTGCATCAAATTGACGCTAAGCGTACCAAATTCGACATAGTGCCTTCCTTAACATTGATGCAACACAACTGCTGTAACATGCGAACAACAATGGAGGCTGTAGAATTCGTTGCAAGGGGTACTGAATACAGCACCAATGTGCAAACAAGATTTTGTCCACTGGAAGAATACAATGTGAACACTGCAGCATCTGATGGTGCCAGCCGGAAAGCAACGCAAATGTGCTAGCAGAAATCAGATTTGTGGGACAGGAATCCTGCAGGAATGCCATCCAACAATACACTGTTCTTGCTTTGCAGACTACAGATGAAAGCTGAAACATTGCAAGGGTGATCCTTCCCACTGCATACCATCTGCTGGGATTCAGAAGATAGCCATGGGCAAGCTCAAACAGGTTCACTGCCTGTTGACCAACATGAAGAAAACAACCATCACCACCTGCATGTGCACACAGAAGTGCTCTTCACTTCTCTTTCTACAGGACACAAAGCGTACATAGAGTATTAAATGGAGCCTCTCTTTAGACACCCCGGTAGTTCTTCACCTGGAACATTAAGCCAACGGTCTACCATGCTGTGTTGTTGGTTGTTGATTCCATTGAATAGCATTGTACCTCTGTACCCTGTGCGTAGGTGTGATGTATTGCAGTAAATATCCAGCCAGCACACAAACATGTAGAGGGTTTCTGTGCTGAAGAACAAACCAACCATGCATGCATGCATGCATCAGGTTCATTCAGTGAGGTGTCATCGAGCTCAGACACTCAACAAGCAAAGATGCCCAGAAAAGACAAGGGCCAGAAGGCCAGACAAACAACAAACACATGCCACCTAGTCACACACAAACTTGGATCGGAGGACTGTGCAGGGAATGCATTGGCAGGGTGGATGGGATACAGACCTGTGAGGTGCAGCTCTCTTATTGTCCTGTGGGAGAATGCTGTCCCCTTCTGCTCCAAGGCGCGCATCTTCTTCAGCATCGACGGATATTCGAGAATCCCTGTGTCTTTCACATCTGCAGACATAAACCAGCACAACTGCACAGTGACTTTAATGAAACAGAGTGCATAGCTGCATCGTTCCTCACATTGCATGCACAGTCTGATTTCTGGGCAATCGATACTACTACTCTGGCACACCCACAACAAGATGCCAGTGATGCAGCAGGCTTTAGGAATTGAGATAGTTTTACAGCATGATCACAAGCACAGGTACAGCAGCTGGCAAAACATCTTTCTATCAGCAAGAAGTCTCAATGCCCCTATGGTTCCCTCGCTGGTATCAAAACACCACAAAGCTAAAAATATTGGACAGTGCTAATGGCTGTGGGCATGTTGCGCTTGGGGCGTTTAAGGGCTGAGGTACAACAGACCTTCAAGGAAGCAGTGGATGACATCTTTGATGTCGACAAACCCAAGGACGTCCTCTGGGGCCTTCTTGAAGTGCCACACAGGACCTGGGTGTTCATCTTCCTTGGTGGCTACAACAACAGGGGCAGAGACTATCCTGTGCGCTGCCAGCGTCTGCCACAAGCCATACACAAGAGGATGAGTGTTGGGGTCGTGCAAATTGGGCAATTAGGTGCCACAGGATAGACACAGCACACTCTCCAGTGTGGACGCTTGATGTATTCCGATCAACACCAGCAAGGTCGACAGTGTACAGATGGTGTGCGAAAATATGCTCCACCATATGTTACCTGCTTCGCAATCTAGGCTCAAGGCAGGGATGCCAGTGAGGCCAGACCCTGCCTCTCACCAGCAGTTACAGCTAAATTTGACAGGCCACACCAGAGTATCTTTCACCATTTGAAGTCCAGCAAAAAATGGCTTTTCGTTCTGTTATTGGGTTGGAGATATGGTCCTTGTACTCCACTCTGAACACATCCCAGGCAGCTACCACGCCAGTGCAGGCTAATCTATTGGCGTTCCATACGCGAATTGTACGGTGGACTCTCGCGTCTGCCTATAAAGAACTGAGACCTGCACCCGTCCATGCCCAAGTAAAACTGTGGCAGCCTCCAACCACCGGAGGCCGCAATTTCGACTCCACCCAATTGGCTTTTCCGAAATTCGCAGCGATTCTGCTACAAGCCAGCCTTCGGAGTTCGGGAGGAAACCTTGACGGGGCGGCTACGGTGCATAACTTATCAGCTGCACGTTCCAATCCATCGATGGCGACAGCGACATTGTGCCGGATGCGACCTCCAGGCCGCTCGCCACATCAGCCAATACTCTGAGATGACATGACGAAGGCGCGGCCATCGGTTGGCCGGACTTCTTGATTGCGAACCGGGGCCGGCCCAGCAATCCCGCATCCGGTTGCACATCGCAAACCAGCACAGGCGCCGCGGCTCGCCGCACAGCAACTAAACACCTCGCAGCGCCGACTCGAGGTCAGGCCTGACAGGAAAGCCTGTTCGCCAGCAGAGCCGGCAGCCCTCGCGAGAAAATGATGGATAAACACTCCGCAGCGCACGCCGTCGACCGCACGCCCACCGTCTCGGGCGGATGCGTCACATGCCCCCCTCATGCTCAATCATTCTGCTTCCGCCCATGGGTTCGTTTTCCCACCTTCAGGCAGTCCCCCACGCTCGCTGTGTCTTTCAGGATGGCCACGTGCTGCAGCGTGCGCAAGTCGCCCAGGGTGGCCGTGCGCAGGACCGACGACTTCCTGTCCGACGCGAGATCAGGCATCCTCCTCTGAGCCAGAGGCGACTGCTCGGGCAGCGCGGGGCAGTCAAGAAGGGGGGGTGGGGGTGCTGCGGTGCGAGTTAAGCCGGTGGGCGTAAGGCAAAGTTCGAAACCGGCGGTGGCTGTGGCTTGGGCCTGGCTGCGGCTGCGCCTCTGGGATATACCTGTTGCGTACTGCTGCTGCTGACGGTGCCCTGCGCGTGCAGCCCACGTTGGTCCTCATCAGCCTGACGTGGGGGTACTTTTCGCACACCCGCCAACAATGCCTCCAATATCCATTCCTTTGAAACCTTGGTGTAGGTCATGCATGAAACTTCGCATCTCTCTGGTGCCACCTTGGCACAAAACACCTTAACAAGAGCAGCTGGATTTCAGGAACGCAGCCCAGCCAATATTCGCCGGTTCCTCTGCTGTTGAACATGTGTCATTCCGAAATGCCGCAATGTCGAGCAATGTGTACATTCCCTGCGGACTGCGCGACCACAAACGAGAGAAACGACTGACAGGACCGTCGTTCTCGTAACAAAATAGCACGTTTCTGCCAGGGCCGTCGTTTCTTGTAACAAAATAGAACGTTTGTGCCGCAATTCACAATAAAAAAACACGGCAAGAATCAGGTAACAACAGAGGAGGCGTGCCGCTCGGTGCACGTGCCCCATGCTTCCGTGTGCCAGTGCGCAACACCCCGATTTGGTGACACGTTTCCCCAACACCACATTCAAGGGACATGAATTAGTCGCTCCGTCTTTTCTGTGAAGATCCCTTCCTGTTTGGACACTGTTGAAGTATAGCATAATGAATCGCGGTCGATTTCATCTATGCTTTACTCATACCTCATTTCTGCTATGTGCGCTTCGTCCAAGAGTTGATTTGATGGCTGAAGGATTGTCGGGTCGGCCAGCTGTCATTGGCAACGGCGTTGGATGATCTGGCGGAAGGACAGCTGTGGGTTGAATCAAGTGTAGTGACAGCTGTCATGTTTGAAAGGCACATTGGATTGTGTGATGGAAGTGCGGCTGTCGGATTGAATGATGAGTGCATGGATAGCTGTCGTATGTGAAACGATTGATGGGAGTGTACGATGTGTGGTTTGGCGTACAAAAGTTGGACATGGCGACATTGTAACAGATCCTTGTGGGTGCTGGGTTCCGTGCTCCGGGTGCCGCAAGGCCACGTTCCAAACCGCCTGGCAAATCGCAGGCCCCCGACGCCGAAGGCGTGGCTTCCGTGAGGCTGCGCGGCAGGGGATAGCTACTAGCAAGTGTGCGGACGCGGGCCCCGAACGTGGGGCATCTCCACACGCCGGCGCCTTACTAAGGCGCGCGGTGATGGGTCGACACGCCCCGTGAGGGCTGTGCGATCGCGGGCGGAGGACTCCGTGCGCCGGCGAGGGCGTTGGCATGACGTGGGCTAACGGGGAGCGACAGGAGGCAAAAAGGGAGGGCGCATTACGTGGTGCATCGAAGGAATCGCGAACCGTGGACGGGACTGCTGCAAGGCGGAGGTACTGCGGGTTCCGGCAGCGAGCGCGGGCTGCGAACGAAGGCCGAAAGGGGGCGATGTGCGGTCGCCGCTTCTCTGGCTGACTCCGGAGGGGAATCGCCCGTCATTCTGCGTGTGATGGGGCGTTAACTTCAACATGGTTTCGGAGCTACGTTGGGCTCCATGGGGATCATGTGAATCATGAATCTGATGAATCTGAATACGAAGATGGCAGCAATGAACGACGATGATCAAAGGCTGCTCTATAATACGGAAATTAAAGGGGGATTCTTCTTTCTTCATGCATCAGAACCTTTGTGGTTGACATCTGGCGATTGACTCTGGGAAAGCGCGGCCACCACCGGAGCCCCTCATCTCGCTCGAATTTTAGTATTGAGTAAGGGAGGCTCTCCGGGTAGGGTAAATGCAGCGGCCACCACCGGAGCCTTTCATCTCGCTCGATTTTGAGTATGGAGTAAGGGAGGCTCTCCGAGTAGGGTAAGTGCAGCGGCCACCACCGGAGCCCCTCATCTCGCTCGAATTTTAGTATTGAGTAAGGGAGGCTCTCCGGGTAGGGTTAGTGCAGCGACGAAGGGGGATTTGCTAATGCACACTTAAAGGGTTTCGAATATGATGCATTCTTTTTTTTGAGAAGAATCTGATGGGCCCACGAAGAACCGCAAATTAGCATATTCGATGTTGTGACATCATGGCTACACGTATCATTCGGAGTTTGCACAGTGGAAGGCGGGAGTGCCCATGTTGAAGTATAGCATAATGAATCGCGGTCGATTTCATCTATGCTTTATTCATACTTCATTTCTGCTATGTGCGCTTCGTCCAAGAGTTGATTTGATGGCTGAAGGGTTGTCGGGTCGGCCAGCTGTCATTGGCAACGGCATTGGATGATCTGGCGGAAGGACAGCTGTGGGTTGAATCAAGTGTAGTGACAGCTGCCATGTTTGAAAGGCACATTGGATTGTGTGATGGAAGTGCGGCTGTCGGATTGAATGATGAGTGCATGGATAGCTGTCGTATGTAAAACGATTGATGGGAGTGTATGATGTGTGGTTTGGCGTACAAAAGTTGGACATGGCGACATTGTAACAGATCCTTGTGGGTGCTGGGTTCCATGCTCCGAGTGCCGCAAGGCCGCATTCCGAACTGCCTGGCAAATCACAGGCCCCCGAAGCCCAAGGCGTGGCTTCCATGAGGCTGCGTGGCAGGGGATAGCTACTAGCAAGCGTGCGGACACGGGCCCCGAAAGTGGGGCATCTCCACACGCCGGCGCCTTACTAAGGCGCACGGTGAAGGGTCGACACCCCCCGTGAGGGCTGTGCGATTGCGGGCGGAGGACCCCGTGCGCCGGCGAGGGCGTTGGCGCGACGTGGGCTGACGGGGAGCAACGGGAGGCAAAAAGGGAGGGCGCATTACGTGGTGCGTCGAAGGAATCGCGAACCGTGGACGGGACTGCTGCAAGGCGGAGGTACGGCGGGTTCCAGCAGCGAGCGCGGCTGCGAACGAAGGCCGAAGGGGGGCGATTTGCGGTCGCCGCTTCTCTGGCTGACTCCGGAGGGGAATCGCCCTTCATTCTGCGCATGATGAGGCGTTCCTTCAACAACACCCTAAACCCTAAACCACTGAGCCACTGACCCACGCTGGCCTCGTCAGCCGAAGAAGAAGGGATCCTCACGGAAAAGACAGAGGGACTAACATATTCTCAGATTCAAGGGCACCAGACCCGAAGCCGACTGGACTGTGTACAAACACAACAAGGCCAGACCGTACACATCATTCCCCCTGATTCCCCCTGGCTTCCTGGCGCTATTAGGCCCATTCTGGTGGGCGCCCGCCGAACCTGTCGCCCAGCTGTCAGCAGCACACGCACGCCACGAACGAGTGTGACCGCGGCGCCCCGGGCCGCCACGCGGCCCGCAACCAACCAACAACAACCCTTGAACCGCATCACTGCAGCAACCCTCAATATCCTGGGGCACCCACGTGGCTTGGTTGCGAGCCGCCAAAACCCCGAAGGCTGGGGGAACGCCCGCACACGCGCCCCACGCGGCTCGCCCAAAGCGGCCATAAGCAACCCAACTTCCGCCGCCAGCAACGTACGCCATCCGCCGCTGCGCCCACGGACACTCCCCTTCCCCCCCCCGCCCCCGGCTCCGGCGAGATGGCCGACGATACCATGACGCTGCGCTCTCGCACGCTGCGGTACGCTCCCAGCCAGGTGGTCACCATACGGTGGAGCCTGGACGGCTGGAGCGCCGACAGAGGGGGCTACTACATCGACGACGCGTGGGTCTTCACCGAAATCCCTGTCCAGGCTTTCGAGTTCAAGTTCAGGCTGAACAGCACCGTGTGGCAGAAGGACAACAACCTGGTGATCAACGACCCGGCCCCCGGAAGGATGTTCGACTACGACGAAGGCGCGGTGGTGTTTGAGCCCGGGCGGCTGGAGCAGCAGCTGCCGCCTGCGGAGAACGGCACGGTGGCGCGTTCGTTCTTCTGGCCTGACCTGGACGAGGGCAAGGAGTACGACGTGATTGTGATCGGCTCGGGGATCGGCGGGGGCGTCGTGGCGGACGCGGCGGCGGACGCAAACCTGCACACCCTGCTCCTCGAAGCCGGCTCGTACCTGTACCCGACGCACATCGCCAACCTGCCGCGCAAGCACAGGACAGGTGACGCCCGCGGCGCTGCGGCCCGCGCAGAGGGGGCGGTTCCCAAGATACCACGGACGTCAAGGTCTCGCGACGTCTGTGGGAAGCTTGAATCTTGAACCTTGAACCTTCGATTTGCTCGATTTGGGCGAAGGCGATGCGCGAACTGGCGTGCATCCCCCGTCGGCCAATGGCCAAGGGCTCTGCGCAATTCTCACAGTTACAGTTGAGGGGATCGTGGCAACCAATGGCTCTTTTTAGGGAGCTTACCCGCCTTTGTTTTGTCGTATCGGTGCTGTGGGCGTCTTTCCCCGCGGCTGACGGGCGACAGCTTTGCTCCCCGGCAGCGCTCAGGTCGCCTGAAAGGGTGTGGGCTGCACAGGTTTCTTCGCCAAGCACGTGTGGTCGCTCTGGGGACAGGGTGAAACTCGAAAGACGCCGTACAATGCCATCGACGTCCATGGCGACGGCAACGTGTACAAAGGCGGGTTGGGGTACAACCTGGGCGGACGCAGCATCTTCTGGGGCGGTTTCATTCCCAGGATGAGGGAATACGAATTCGACGGGTGGCCGGGCGCGGTGAAGGCCGAATTCCTCCAAAACGGCCTGTACGACAGGTGCGAATGAGTGGCCGCCTCCGTTGGTTCTTGTGACTGCTGCCCCTCAGCTATGAGGCAGTGTTGCCCAGTCACACTGAGGCTGGCGATGCAGAGCAATGCATTTCCTTCCTTGACCTGCCAGAGGGATCGAGTTGCGTGCGAGTCAGGACAGAGGGGCTTATCTCCGAATGATCCAAGCCATGGTTTTGATCGCGTATGTCATGCAGCACGGTATGCTCCGCAGCCAAGAAAATCTCTATTTTCGTGGAAGAAGGTGACTTTTCTGGCACAAATACTGCATTCTCAGAGGTCTGCACCTGGATTTGATAGCCGGCAAGGACAGGCAATGCGCAGTTGCCCAGTTGGCGCGAGGCAGTTTCGTGCCGAACACACAAGGAACACATCGTGGCAACCCGCAGGCCACCGTCACCGCTGGTGCTGGAGCACGAAATAATATTACTAGCTGCACCAAATCGGTGACTGCTTGCACCAAGTCACGTGCTCACTGTGTCCTAACCTCAGTTTTAGGGTAAGGTTTAGTTTCAGGGTGAGTTTTAGGGTTAGGTTTAGGGTTAGGGCTAGGTTTAGGGTAGGTTTAGGTTTAGGTTTAGGATTTAAGTTTTAGGTTAGGTAAGTTTTGGAGGCAGTTAGTGCAAGCAGTCACCGATTTGGTACAGCCAGTAATTGTATGCCCTGGAGCACCGCGCAGGCGCAATCTTCACTGGTCCCCCTTTGATCACTGTACGGCAGGGCCGAGGAGCTGATGAAGAAGGGGGATCGAAGCTCCGAGTACCAGGAGCGCACCAAGGCGTGGCTGTCCGAACTGCTGGGCGACGAATTCATTGTGGTGGACGCCGCCATGGCCGTGGACCGCCTGGCGGACCCCGCCCTACGCACCATCTCCTCCGGCATGTTCTCCACGGCGGACCTGCTGATGGAGAGCCGCGCCACGGAGGGCCAGGTGGGCAACGAGGACCTTGTGATCAACCTCAACCACTCTGTCAGGAGGATTGAGACGGACGGCGGCCGCACGGCCACGAGGGTGGTGGCCTGGGACAGGATAGCCCAGCGGGAGCGGGCCTACAGGGGCAAGAACGTCGTCCTGGCGGCGGGCACGCTGGAGAGCGCCAAGATCGCGAAGAAATCCGGGCTGGCCGACGAATCAGGGACTTTGGCAAAGGGCCTGACGGACCACCAGGTGTTCTTCACGCACTTCGGCCTGAGCCCGGACAGCGAACTGTACACGACGGAGGCCAGCGCGAAGGTCGTCCTGCAGCACAGGGACGCCAGCGCCAGCGCGCACAGCTACAACTGCATCATCGAGCTGGGGGCGGACTTCAACCAGGGCCGCTACGTGGACCCGGACATCCTTAAGGCCCACCAGGACGAGCGGGAGCGCCTGCAGGAGAAGCTGTGCGAGATCGTCTTCCTGACGGACTCGCCGCTGGTCGGGGAGAACTGGCTGGAGCCGGACGAGGGGACGGAAGACGGCAGGCCCATGAAAGTGAGGATGGAGCGCTCGACGCGGGCCGACGGGGCGCTGTTTGACGAGATGGACGCCCTGAAGGACAAGATCCTCGGGGCCCTTGGGGCCAAGGCGCTGCAGGACGACCAAGAGACACAGGGCCTGGCGCTTCAGCCGACGGACATCGGCGCGGTGGCCCACGAGGTGGGCAGCCTGCGCATGGCGGGCTCGCCCGACGCGGGAGTGGTCGACGGGGATCTCAAGTTCTGGGGGTACGACAACATCTACGCGTGCGACCTGTCCGTCTTCCCGTCGTCTCCCGCCGCCAACCCCACTCTCACCCTCGGCGGCCTGGCTCTCCGCCTTGGGGACCACCTGCGGGATGCCAAGTGAGAGACGGGGCCGCAGATTGTGCGGGGGATCGGCTGCTGCTCGAATGCGCAATCTGGGGAGGCGTCTGTTTTGCCATGAAGAGCTTTGTGCACCATTATCCGGTTGCTTGGTCACAAGGGATGCGAGGGTATCGTTTGCTGGGCAACAGAGAGTTGGCGGTGCAATGCGTATGGTTTAGCCACAACTGTGCTGCACCAATCAGTGGCAGTACGGTATCTGATTTAGTTAGGAATCAAGGGGCTGAATCAGAAGGTCAGCTGCGAGAAATGCGGTTTGGGAGGTTCAATATGCAAGCGGTTTGGATGAGAAACTGCGTAAAATTATATGCATCCGATGGCTCATACGAGAACCAGCTGCCTCGAGCAGCACACGTGTCTGTTTGAAGCACAGAACAATTTGTAACACTAGATTTTTTGGCTCGGCGAATCAAAAGCGTGAAACGCGACGCGTGAGGACTGCAAACATCGTCCCAATCTCCTGGGATATTCGAGGCAAATGGCTGACAACACCCAATCTGTGCGAAAGAGACAACTCTCTTAACAGGCAGTAATCTAGACAGAGGAGCCGATTCATGGACACCCTCTATCAGGGCCTGTTGAACTTGGCCGTTACCAACCTTTAAAAAGCATGGCTAATGGCTGCATCAACTTCACTCTCCGGCCATCAATGACGGGATACCTGGACCAAGAAAGCTGCATTATATATTATGCATCCAAACACTGCATGGAAACACCATCTTTATGCAGTCAGAAAGGCTACAGCAATAGAAAGACCAGTACAATAACACCGTTTGTCTATGAATACAGCAAGAAATATAAAAGGCTGTTTGAATGGCCAGTTACATAAGCGCAATATGCTCAGAATAAGTCGGATTCAGGCTGGAGGATGTGGAAGAGAATTGAGTGAGCTGCTGGAAAGGTCTACTACGACAAGAAGAGCAGTTGCAATCAATGCGACGGAAATAGAGATGGTGGAGGCTACATTTAAACCAGCATGAATCAAACATCAATTATAAGAAGGATCTACAGTTTCGATTTCACTGGTTTCCCGCCAATTCTGAGGCATCCAAAATGACCCAGCTTTGTCCGTAGGATGTCTACTCAATTCATATATCGTTCTCGCTTCTCCATCTGTCCTTGACACATCAAGTGGTCAATCCACTCAGATTCAACCCGACAATTGTCTGTCTGACGTGCCGTCCAATACAGTTGCCAATGGCAACGAGCCGACCCAACATACGGGTCGTATCCTAGGCAGAAACACCCAATGAGAGATTGCACAGCCCGCCGAGTCGCCAAAGGCTGTCGCCAAACCCCTGCTGCCCATCCAGACCCCATGCGAGCTCTCTTTTTCCGACCAGCCAGAATGATGGCAAGGTGCTGCGTGCAAGTGGAGGGCTGGAGGCTCCTCCTGGCTGACTGGTTGGCTCGAGGAGGCTTGTGGCTTGCCACCTGCTTCCTCGATGTTGCGGAGCGTCCGCTCGGCTTCTGGTCCTTTGTATTGTCAATGCAGATGCCCTTCGGCACCGACGATGGTTCATGGCTGCAGGGGGAGATGCTCAACGGGGAGGATCGGGAGCTATATCACGTCCAGGATGCTATGCAAATGATTAACTTCTGCAAATCACCAACGAAACTCACGTGCGGACCCCGTCTGCCATTTGGAGACCGCCCAAGCTGGAACTGGGTGACCGCCTCGCCGGGAGGCCCGACTTGGGTTCGACCAGCTGTGCCGAGGGTTTGGACTCGTGAGCTTTCAAGGCCGTATGACTATATGGCTAGGGGTTGCAAATCAAAGTGGATAGAACAATAAGGCCATTGTTACTTACAAGTGCACCAAAGCGCACCAAACCATGATGCTAGTGCCAAAGAAAGGGTTGAAACCAATAATTTGGTAGTATGGTCTAGGATGGGAACTATGAGAGGCCCTTTATAACGACGTGTAATTTAGCTCGCAACTAAAATGAAACCTTGGAATGGAATTTTTGCAGCCAGACGCTGAATCGGGGTAGTTTGCATTTAAAGCGATGGAATAGCACAATATTGGAGCCCAAGCTTTGCGCAAAAATACGTGGAAATTTTCCAATCTATGCTCCCAAGGTGGGGCTTCTGCCGGCGGCTAGGGCCAATTTCTGAGTCAAGGGGCATGCTCCAATCTTTTTTGCTGCATTGCTGGAGGCAAGCTATCAAAAGAAAGAATCTACGCTCACATGATTTGGTCGTCCGAGGTGCTCAGTTCAAGAATCAGGGGGAAGATGCCTCGGTAACTTTGATGAGACTCACTGCCACCCCAGGGAAGCGTTGACCCAGCGTGTTTGGCCAGCGAAGGCATTCTTGAGTAGAAGAGCGGGGAAATGACTACAAAGGCCGTGCTCCAATCCAGCTTCATGATGCACAGCGAGTGCAGAACAATTGGGTGTATGAACTCATAACATTGTTCCAGTCTATGCATATGTGTGCCTCAGGCCTTGAACCGAGCTCAAAGCCTGACCTTGGTTCAAAGGTGCGTGTCGACCATGTGTGCGAGCGTGGTCTGGGTCGCCCATAAACCTGTTGGGTTGTACAACCTTGTTTGTGGCTCGAAAATGCTCTAACATGACAGCACCCATCCAGCAACAATAGTATACGGGGATCTGGCGCAACCTCTTCGCCCTGACGTGCATTGTCTCTTGATAAAGTGAATAACGCAAAAACAGCAGATTTCCGGATATATCTTATGGCCCGCTGTGGCGTTCAGGCTCAAGCAATTTAGGCATCGTGGGGAGAAGGAAATGAAATGGGTTGCAGAACATCAAAAATGGAAAACGCGTGACCATTGAATGCATGAAGCATCATTTCAAGAGTCTAGAACACGTAACATAATCCCTCATCATGGATATACTGGTCGCCATGCCACCCATAGATGTTGTTGTACGGAAGACTTCTGTATCAACTTTGTTTGGTCAGCACTATGCATCATTTACATCGCCGATATTGGCCCTGCGACATTAACGTGTTGATTGTTATCGTTTTATCACCGTTGTTATTGTTGTTCATCGAGACGCACCTCTGGATCGTGCACATGAACCGGATGATCAAAGGCGGCTACACACCAGCAATTAAACACCAGTAAAAAACAGCCTGTTAGTGATGCCAACTGCGATGCTATTTGACACAAATTGATGCCATCTCGGCCCCTTTATACCATTTCAATCGCTGCGACGGCACCATTTGTGGCAAAATGGGATCGCAGCTGACACCGCCAACATGACGTTTAAACGTAGAAAATTTTCTACCAGTGAAAGGAATCTGTGGGGTCTCTTTTCTTGAAAATGCTCAACTGGTGCACTATTCAGAATTCTGTGTCTTTAGTGCCACCGTCACCTGCGTTTGGGTTCCTAATTCCATCTATGTTTATGCTCTTTTCCCAGGTTAATAGTCTATGGGAGATTCAGGCCTTCAAGAGATTGCCGCTGCATCCGATTATCATCAAACCACTGGAGGTCTCATAACACGTTCTTAGACCTGACTTTCAATTCAATTGTGTTCCTCCGCAAGAATGTTGCACCGATGTATCTCAAGTTTAGTTGAAGTTTGGTGCCTCTTCGCACTACATCTTTTCTGCGAACGCCACATAGAAAAAACATGGCAACGTGGCAGCAACTGGGTTTTCTGCAAGGGTATATTAAATTTGGCTTTTACTACACATGCCTGAATGTAGTCAAAGCGTTGAGTTGAGGCGGTACAGGGCACACGTTTTTCTACAATTCATACGCCACATTATGATGCGATAAAGCCGAGTCAGCTTTCTGTCTTGTTCTCGAACGAGGACTCCTCATTCGCCTTCTTGCAAGACTGTTTTTTTCAACATATTATTAATATAACGTCGTTCGCACTTTCCGCCTATGTTCACACACGGTCGCTCCCATGGACAGGAAGCAAGCCGCACCGGATGCATTACAGATGATTGTTCCATTCATTTAATGTCCACTACAAGCGTGTCCAATTCATGTCCCTCCCCACCATTCCCCATTTCGCCATATTTAACACCATATTCAATTCACCATAAGAACTTCACCCTCCACGCAATCACTTATGTATCTTTCTCGTTTTCACAATTAATATTCGTAATATTATAAGATATTCCCTGACAAAGTGATATAAGCAATCATGCACTACTGGATTCTGGATTTCGTTTGTCCAACACTTTGGGTTTCAATGCATATATAATGGATGCAGATTGCCTTGGGCTACATAGGGAAAATCAAAAGGTATCTAATAAGCCGCCATAACAAATATGCAGGTATCGTTTGGGTCAAAGTTGGCGCAGGGCTATGCATACTCATAATGATAATTATTGGCTATCCTGTTGAGTTTAGACAATGGAGCGACGGCGCAAATCATTACCCTAGAGTGCTCACAAGAAACATGGATACACCACACACCCAACACCAGCCCAAACAGGCTTGCACGCAGCTTTGCAATTCATCTCCATAGTGTTGTAAGCATCGTCACCAAGCCGGAAGAATTGAAGCTCGCCATGGTACAATCTGAAAAGGGTTTTGCCTT